GGAGTGCAGTGATGGTGGGGAGAATGTGTGTTTGGAAGTGGAAATGAGAGATGGGGAATGAGTGAAAGGGGAATGATCTGTTATAACTGCTTTGTGTTTTGGTCTGAGCAGGTATAATGACTCACTGGTACTTTATATTCAGTCATGTTCCCTGGTCTGTGGATGGTGGGGTGTGTGTGTGTGTGTGTGTGTGTCCTTTCCACGGAAATTATTGATTCCTCAGAGGACTCAACTGTTGACTAAATCTTATACTTCACCTGCATGTGGTATGTCCTGTGCAGAGATTGCTGATCGGCCCCTCTGTGAGCTGTGATGCCTGCAGACAAGATTTATTTATCCAGCACAGTGTTTTAGGAAATTACAAATATCAGGAGATTATACATATAAATTCAGATTATCAGCTTCTTTTGAAAAACTGGAATTCCTAACGCATTCCCACACGGCCACCATTGGTTGGAACTGAGCCTTAGCTGCTGCCTTGAACCTTTAGAGGTGGCCAGTTCTCCCGGTGTTCTGGGGCCCACCAGGTTTCCTTCGCTTCAGTGCACCATCACATGTGCATGTCACGTGTGTTTGCAGCCCCTGCCTTCCCACCGAACCCGGTTTCTGCTCATGCATTGTGCTGACAGTTTTCTTCTGTCCTCTGGCACTTCTAAATCAGGAGCCTCAGTGCCCCAGCTGCTGGTATTACTCCTGGCGCTGCTTCTCAAAATGGTGGTGTTAGAACTGGCACAAAGAGAGGGCCAAGAAGTGCAGGGGAAGTGGACGAGAGGAGGGGCAACCGCAGCTGGCCACCTGCAGCTTCTGCCTCTGGACTCCCACCGTGCTGCCTGTTGGAATTTTTTAAGGTTGAATGTGAACCAGGGCTTATCCGCCTTCCATGTTCACGTTTGTTCATTTGTGTCACTTTGTGTTTATTGGAAAACTGTGGAAACCCTCTCTTGCGGATGGGGAGGGTGACTTGAACTTGGCATTGCTGCAGGGCCAGGCACAAAGGAGGTTTTTGCTGAATATTTGTCTGATTGAATTATGAAACTGTTCTCTCTGTCAGAGAAGTCTGTGCAAATATGTCTTTGCAAAGAATTAAAAATCGGAATATGAGGTTAACAGTCAGGAAGAATGGTTTTATTTTTACTCACTGATGACTTCTGACATTTCCAAAGTGTTTCTCAGGGTGGATCTCATGTTCAGAGCCTGTGGTCTGAAAGCAGCAGCTGTGCTTTAAAGCCGCGTGCTTGGAAAAGTGGTCTTTGTCGTGAGTTCACTTAAATGTGACATACGTGTGTCCTGTTGCCCTCCTTGGGGAGTCATGAAGTGTAATGCCCTCTGTGCTTCTCTCCGTCCACCCAAACTCATGAAATATTTTCTTCCCTGTGCGATGCAGTCCTGTGCCCTCATAATTGTAGCTGCAGTTTGGCACAGGCTCTGAGAATGTAAATTTGGAACCGAATTTTGTGGCATCAGATCCTGCCTGGTTCTGACTCTCAGAGTTGTCCTGTCACCTCTCTGCCTCAGTTTCCTTACCTTAAAATACTATCATAAAGAAAATTAACACAGGTAAGCATTATATTTACATCTCTACGAATCTCCTAGAACATGTCTAAATGGCTGCTATTACTTTGTTGAAGAACACTTCACATTTCTACTCTCTGCTTCAGTGTGACCCACAAGCTAAGAATGGTTTCTACATTTTTAGGTGGTTACAAAAAATCAAAAGAGGAAGAGTATGTTGTGATATGTGGACGTTATATTAATTTCAAATTTCAGGGTCCACAAATAAAGTTTTATTGAAACACAGTCATTCTTCTCACTGGCTCATTGGTCTGTGGCTGCTTTCACATTACAACAGGGCAGAGTCATTTCAGTAGCGACCAGCCACCTGGCTGGCAGGGTCTAACCTAGGTACTCTTGGGACCTTTACAGCAGAAGTTTTCTGACGCCCTGCTGTAGGGCACAAAGCACTGACTCAGCACACCGACAGGGGTCACTCTCCCCAGTGTAGGCAGAATTGGCCACTGGGCATATTCTTTCCCTCCTGGTTCTTTTCCTCCATCTCTGGGACATTCTATGCAATAACTTGAATTTGTTGGGTGTAAATACAATAGTATTTTATTGGCGACCATATGTGTCATGAGTGCAGCTCTGTTTTCCGGGTCATTTTGAATCATAGTTTGGATTCGTCTGAGCACAGGCTCCTTCTTTCACTCTGTGGGGGAGGAGATTCACTGGCTGTGTTCTCCCTCTTTGGCCACCCCATGGGTGCACGTGGGCCTTCTGAGGGCACCAAAGGGGACTACTCACCCATAGGACCGTCACTGGGGCATGAGGGGTGGGGAAGTATTGGGAGAAGGGGACACAGCACAAAACATGTTTCTTATTGATTGCTATCAATATTTATCTGAAATTTTGAAAAAGAATAAAGAAAGAGTTGTTGTTACTGTAGGGTTTTTGTTTTTAAAGAAAATAAAGGCATTGATTGGTTACCCTTGCCTGACTGAGTGACTTCTAGAAAGACAGGACTGTGTCTCGGTCATCTTTGTTTCAACAGAATGCTCCACAGGGAGTCTTTCTCAAAATTTGTTGCTTGGTAAACAAATGAAGGAATTGGATAAGGGAGGGATGAAAAGAGTGTCAAATCCAAAGAAATTAATGCTGCCTCTTAATGCCTCCTACTTCACCACTGAGCAGCGGTGGAGCTTAAGGAAGAATCCAGAGAGTTTGCTGCCGAGCTGTGCCATCTCGTGGTGCATACCTAACGCTCAGGCGTGCTTAGTATTAGCACAGTCAGTATTTTTGAATGGGATGTATCCATTTGTGTCATCAATGAGTGAATTCAGTACCTAGAAGATCTTTCAGTACCTATGAATTGGCACTACCATGTACTCAGATTTAGAGAATGCTCTTACCATCCTTCTTGGGATGAAGAAATACTTATTTTTTTCTGTCTTTTCAGACATTGTTGGAATTTTATGGCACCTTTATGACAGTAGAAATATTAAAGTTGTATTTGTGAGATGAATGATGATATCAACTATTTATTGAACATCTGTCATCTTGTTGTTTAGTAGATGAGCAAATAGACACCGAAAGACCAAGTAACTTGCCCAAAGTTATATGGCAGGTCAAAGGCTTTTCTTGTCTACAGTGAGGTCATTGACAGACATTCATAATTAGTTGTTATATGTCCAAATTAGAGTACTTTGTTATGCTGTTTTATATTATTTATAAGTGTACAGGAATTTGAGAAGGGGTAAATGCTGCCTAGACATAACTCAGCTACCCTTGCCGTCATTATTTCCTAAGATCGTTTCTGTGCTTAGATTGCCCTATTTGTTTCTCCTATGAACTTGACCTATATTCTTGCCTCTTCACTCTAAGACCACAGTATGTTGCTGCAGTGTACTTTGATTGGAGGAGAAAGGGGGAAGGTAGGAGGCAGCAGGTGACTAGGGTCACTCTGCCCTTTGCTTTCACTGAGAGTGGGCAGCACGTCATTCAAGTGCAGGGAACTTGCCCTCGCGCTGCCTCCTGAAGTACTTCTTCTGCCCCTGGACCATGCCTCCTGCGGCGTGCAACTCTGTTTGTTACTGTGACCCATAGAGACAATCTGTGTGTCCCTGACACCATTGCTGCTCATGAAAATGGCAACTGGGAAGAAAAAAGCAGCTTCGTTACAGATACAAATGAGTCATCGTTTATTCTTTACTGGTTTGACGCTGAAAACTTGACCGTGCTTCCCTCCTTCAGCGTATTTGGACTCTGGAAAAGCTGCATGTTAGAAATCACTAGTTGGCAACACATCACACTTAATTAAAAATGTAATGAATCAAGAGGAGAGGAAAAAAAGAGATAAATGTGAAATTTCAGTAACTTCCAGATGGCTCCCTCCCCCTCTTCTATTTCAAGCTCAGAGTAAAATTTTGCTTCACATGACTTTATGTTTTTAAAGTGAAAAGGGAAAAAGGTAAAATAATTATTGGTTACAAAATATCTTTATTATTGGAAAGAGATAAAACAATTCATCTCTGTGGAGATTTCATATTAGAAGGGAATAATTTGATACAGTGGAATGGCACAATATTTATGACATTGGACTTTATAGTTTTCTAGACATTTTCACATAGTATAAATTATTTTATCTTTACGATAACCTGTGATTTAGAAAGAGGTTAAACAGCTGACTTAGGTTCACCAGCAGATTAATGGTCAGATCGGGGTTCACACCGAGCTTCCTGATTCTCTGTATGGTGATCGTCCAGGTGCACACAACCCCTCAGTTCACACAGGCAGGCAGGACGGAATCTGCCTGGGACAGGGTGGGATCTTCTGCTTGCAGACATCAGAGGGTGTGTGTCCGTGGCAGATGGCGCTATTTATCAGTCAGGGATGAGCGTATGGGTTTAAGAATTCTATAAACTTTGTCATTCAAAACCCTGGACTGATACTGGACTTTGACACAGAGCCCAAAGTGTCTTAATCATTCAGAAATGAATAGCTAGAAGTATGGACCTAGCACCTAAGCCATGAGAGTTGATGACGAGAGCGGAAATGAGTGTTCCCGTAACGGGAAGGCAGAAAGGCTTTATCATCCCATGGAAGTCAAGCGCCATCATCCCATGGAAGTCAAGTGCCGCCATCCCCGCACACTTTTCACTGGCCTCCGCACACGGGCGATGTAGACTCATATTTTTACTGCATCTTTTTCTTCTTCCTTCTCAGGAACATGTACCATCATCAAGGCTTCTTGGCATTAACCACAGCTTTATTTGCCCTCTCCCTAAGAAATAATGCAATTCACATCCTTCAGCTTAAACCATTTGTGGTGAGATTTTGAAGTTCTCTGTATTTTCATTTGTTCTTTTATACAGGGCAAACCTGAAGAGTCCGCTGATCATCTAGAATTGTTAATTAGAAAAAAAATGAAACCGTTTACTTGTTTGCCAGGCACGTGTGGAATTTCTGCAGCAGAACTAACTGGTACCCTCCTGTTTGTTCTGTAGAGCGGGAAGCCTCCCATCAGTGACATGTTCACAGACCTCAAAGATGGCCGGAAACTGCTGGATCTTCTGGAAGGCCTCACAGGAACATCGCTGGTGAGAGCGGTCGGCACAGAGAACGGGCGGGTCGGGTGTCTGCCTCTGATGGTTAGCGATGCTCGAGGACCCACTGGGGCTGCTGAAAATGTAAAGGCTGAAAAATGAATGTTAAAAAAGGGTGTTCTAATGAATTCTTTGATAGAGCAATATTTAGGCTTTCGGGGGTGGGGGTTGCTCTATGTTTATTAAAGATAAAATTACATTAAATGTTTATTGCTCTCTGACAGCCTAGTAGAGGATCATAAGGAAGAATGAACATGCGCAGAGGGGGTAATGTTTTGAAAAGTAGAGCATGTAGCAACACAGTTAAATGTTATTTAACAGTTATTTAAACAAGGTTGTTAAAACGATGGGATTCATTTTTATTCAACTTTTCAGTATTATCTTTATGTTTGTTTCCCCATCAAATCCTACTCTACTACTTTATATGCAAGATACTGCATACTCTCACAGAAATAACACGGCTAATGAAGAAGATGCATTTCATGAATACAGACTTTAACACTAGAGGTAGAATTACTGGAAAACAGTTACATAGGGATGCACTCCCACAGATGAATTCCTTTCTTGCTGAAGTGTGGGGTGTCACCCTGTCCCTTTTGCCTTCCAGATGGTGGGTAGGCCCTGTTGGAGAGGCGGCCGATCCCTCTCTCAGATAAGATTCCCTGGCCAGTGAGGCAGCAAGAAGCCACCCAGATCTCCTTTCCCCAGGTTGCAATTCCTGCCCTCCCAGTGGGCCCTTGTAATGCTAGCTGGAGCCTGGGGCAGCGCCTCTGAGTGCCCCTAGCTGTGCCCACACTAGTGCAGTACGGAGGTGACAGAACTTCAAAATCTTCCTGCATCCAGACCAGTTTAGACAAAAGGGGCTTTGTCCCCCGAACGTGTTTGTACATTAGAACCACCAGGGAATTCTAGAAGTTCCAAACTGGACTACACCCCAGACTCACTAAATCACAATCTTTGGGAGTGGGGTAGACAGAGGCAGTGGCATTTTTGGAAGCTCCCTAGGAGAATTCAGTGCACAGGCAAGCTAGGGAACTACTGCGTTAAGATGTTGTCATGTGGGATCTGTCAACACAAGCCCCCACGTGACCTGAGACACCAGCCAGAGCTCCTGGCACAGAGGGGACTCTCCATGCTGAGCTGCTGGCCTCTGTCCATCTCAGTGCTGTGTTGTCAGGATGCGGGGGGACTGTCTCATCTGATTCTGTGTTTTGTTTTCCAGCCGAAGGAACGTGGTTCCACAAGGGTACATGCTTTAAACAATGTCAACAGAGTGCTGCAGGTTTTGCATCAGAACAATGTGAGTGTGTTGTGTGACTGGGGTTCTCCTGAGCCATCAGGATGGTCTGCTGTTGAAACCAGCCACCTGCTCTGTGCGTTGGCATCCGCTGATTTTTGAAAACATCTTTCTCATGAGAAGTTTTGAAGCTTTTCTATGAATGAAGGAATAGTTGTGCTTTGTTTGATTACTGATCTAGTGTATAATTGATATAGTTTTGAGATTTAAATTTACCTGACTCTCTAAAATGAAGTCTCTCTTATTATCCCCTTGTATTGCTGTCCAGATGTGCTAAAACAACACCTTGGGCTTCTGTGGAGAAATGGTCTTAACCCTGTCTTATTTATTTATTTTTTTAATTTGTTTTGTTAGGTGGATTTGGTGAATATCGGAGGGACTGACATTGTAGATGGAAATCACAAGCTGACTCTGGGGTTGCTTTGGAGCATCATCTTGCACTGGCAGGTGGGAAACTTTCAATCACTTAACAGGAACGAAAAAGGTACCATTTGCGTGTTAGTTCCCTAAGGCTGCCATCACAAAGTACCATAGACTGGGTGGCCTCCACGATTCTGGAGGTTACAAATGTGACATCAGCAAGGTGGTTTTTTTCTGTAGCCTCTCTCCTTGGCTTGTATAAGGAAGGTCCCTTTCCCCTTTGTCCCCACGTGGTCTCCCTCTGTGTGTGTCTCTGTCCTAATCTTTTCTTCTTCTGCCAAGATAGCCATCACATTGGATGACGGGCCCCCCACGTGGCCTCAGTTTACCTTAATTGCCTCTTTAAAGACCTGTGTCCAAATTAATTTATATTGTGAGGTACTGGGAGGTAGGACTTCAACATAGGAATTTTGTGGGAGACACAGCTCAACTCTTCACAATTTGGAATGGAAGAGACTGACAAATGGCTCTGTTTTTCCTGGCATAGAAGAAAGAAAGTGTCTTTTAAAAATACGGAATTTAAAAATTTCAGAGTTATCAAAACATTGCAAGAATAGCTCAAAAAATTCCCAGGCACCTTTGACTCAGATTCCCCAAATGTTAAGAATTGTTTCCTCTCTTGTATTCTCTTAGTGTAAATACTCCAGTGTGTATTGTCCAAAAACAAATTGTTCTCCTAAAAACACAGAATTCTCTTTCATAACTACAACATATTACCACAATATAAAATGATACTATAACATTAATATTTCTAATTTGTCATTTCTCTTTCATCTTCTTTAATGTGAAATAGTTTCTGAGTCTTTTTCTGTGCTTTATATTGACGCTTTTGAAGAGTACTGGACAGTTGTTCTGTAGAACGTACCTTCAAGTGAGTTTGGCTGGTATTTCCTCATGATTAGATTCGGGTTACTGATTCGGGACGGAGTGCCACAGAAGTGACGCTGACTTCTCCTAGCGCACCGCCCCGGAAGGCACTTTCTGTCCATGTGTTTTTCTGGCAGGGTTAGCTTCATCTTTTGGGTAATGTGGTGTCTCCATGGTAACACGACTGCCCTACATTATTAAAAAATATCTTGTGAGAAATACTTTGAGACTGTGTAAATACTCAGCTACATATTGAATCTTTGTCCATTAGTTTTAAGACCCATTCATAATTCTTATCTGATCGCTTATTATTATGATGCTGGGCAAGTAGTGATTTTCTAATGTCATTGTTCCTTCCTTCTACATTTTATGAATTGGCTTTCTACTTGTAAGGAAGAGCTTTCCCTTGTCTTCTGTTTTTTTGTTTGTTTGTTTTTATCTATCTACTTCATTCTTCATTCATTCATTGAACACTCAGTGAACACTCGGATTTTTACTTATTTAATAGGTTATAATTGTTTGCTACGGTTATTTTGATGCTTAAATTATTCCAGATACTGAGGTACTAACACAAATCTAGAAGTGATTTTTCTCATGTAATTTCTCAAGTGATTTGGCCCATGTAATTCCCTTTAAATCATCTCTTGTATCCTTTCGATATGCCCACATCATTCTTGGGGCAGTTCCTTAAAACACATGTGTTACTTTGGAATAATGATGTAAAATTTAGTTCTTTATGGTAGTCAGGAAAGGTACTTCATTCTAATGTTTGTTGTAACCAAACCAGTTTAAGCCTCACCTTTAACAGGAACCTAAATAGCAAAATAAACAAACAAACAAACAAACAAGCAAAATATAACCACAGACAATAAAATAAAGAACAGGCTGACAGTGACCAGAGGGGAGAGGGGAGGGAATTTCAGAGGAAAAGGGGAAGGGTTTGCAGGAACAAGTATAAAGGACACATGGACAAAAACTGGGGGGGTAGGGTAGAAATGGGAGGGAGGTGGGTAGGGCTGGGGAGGTGGGCTGGGATGGGAGTGAAAGACAGAAAACTGTACTTGAACAACGATTAAAATAAAAAAATAAGTATTGCTTAAGATATAGAAAATGCAGCAACATATAAAGGTGAGAGAAAAATCACTTCTAGATTTGTGTTAGTACCTCAGTATAATCACTGTTTAAAGTGCACTTACCCTTCTGGTGTTTAAAGGGAAATTTGAAATAAATTGAATACCAGTGACCCAATCCAGAGTGGTAATTAGTGCTAGCCCTCCTCCTTCGAGGGCTTGATCGCACTGCCTGTGTTAAGAGTTGGCCAGCCTGGTTTCTCTGACGCAGGTGAAGGATGTCATGAAGGACGTCATGTCCGACTTGCAGCAGACGAACAGCGAGAAGATCCTGCTGAGCTGGGTGCGCCAGTCCACCAGGCCGTACGGCCAGGTCAACGTGCTCAACTTCACCACCAGCTGGACAGACGGGCTCGCCTTTAATGCCCTGCTCCACCGACATAAGTGAGACGCGACTGTACCCAGCCGTGGGCTTTCCAAATTTACATCTCCTCCCTCCCTCCCTCCCTCCTCGCTCCTGCTCCCTGAAGCTCCTGCCCGCTCCCCTGCTCTCCTCTCCGCACACCTTCCACAGGGACGTTAAGGGAAGAACTATGATGGAAGGAAACTGCTCATCAGGTCTTTATTCTGTAGGACTTAAATGGCACAGCGCAGTGTCTGTGGTTCCTTCTACATAGTTATAAGTTAAAAAGTGTAAAGGAATCTACGTGGTTCAGTCCCACTCATTCAGCCCTGACCAGTAATATATGCAAAGTGTTGTGCTAGTATTCGTTCCTATACCGAAGGGACAATTCTATAAATTCAATGCAATCTCAGTTAAATATAGAAAATGATTTTTTTTTCATGAAACTTGTAAACAGATTCTAATTATATGAAAAACCAAAGGCCAAGGAAGAGCCAGTGCCCTTGTGAAGAAGAACCAGGCTGAAGTATTGTACTTCTCAAACAGAAACCAAACCTAATTATGAAGCTACATTAATTAAAATAATGTAGTACTATAAATAAGTACAGTAATATAATTATAGGCTGAACCACACAACATCCCTAGTACTTGGCCGTTTCAGACATACAGTATGACAATGGCCATTTCTTACTTCAACCTAACAGAATAAAGGGCTCGGACATAAAGGGCTCCATCCTGATACGCAGCTGAACCGATGTTGCGGATCAGCAGATGGTGTGGGACAACTGGCTGCCCATACGTAAATAGCTGAATTGGGTCCTTACCTCGCCATACCCACAGATAATTTTCAGGTGTTATCAGGGATTTAAATGTGAAAGACAAGATTTGTTACATGTTTTATTACTATTTTAAATTATTTGTCTCAAATTTTGTTTCCTGTGTATTCTTTGCTGATACACAAAAATATAATTGACATTTCTACACCTTTGATCTAGAAGCTCGTTAAATTTTTACAAATTTTAAATTTGTTTCTCTAGTTTTAAAAAATATTTTTTTGTAGACGGTCCATGATTTATAATAGTTTCCCCCCCTCCCCTCCCCTCCCCTCCCCTCCCCTTATTTGTGACTTGTCCTTCAACACAATGTTGATTTGAATTGGGGGTAGTGAGCAGAATATTTTGTTTTGATAATGAAGGGGGTGGCTTAACGTTTCCCCTTAAGAATGATATTTGCGTAACTTTCTGGATTTACTTTCTATCTGGTTAAAGAACTCCCATACCCAATCTTTCTTCCACTTTATCAGTTTAGAGAAGTTACCCTCTGTTCCTAGTTGGTTAAGATACGTAGTCAGAAAACTTGAATTTAAGACAACACTTTTTCCCATTGATTGTGTAATTGATTCAATGAGTACGTTTGCAGGACCTTCTCTGCGTTAGGCACAGGGTGTGTAGCAGAGGACAAAACAGGCAAAAATCCCTGTCCTCGTGGAGTTTATGTTCGAATAGAGGGAGGCAGGCAATATTAAAAAAGGAAAATGTAGGTTGTATAGCATAAAGAAACGGTAACCATGCTGAGGAAAAATATATCCCTCAGGAGGAGGGGGGGCCGTGGGTGCTGTGGCGTGAGCAGGGGCGCAGTGGGAGACGAGGCAAGAGAGGGAGCCCAGGTGGGAGTGGGGGAGGCACGTCCCGGAAGGCAGGCGTGTCCGAGGTGCGGGGGCAGAGGGTGCGCAGAAAAGATGATCAGCTCTTGGGTGAGGCGGAGCAACAGTAACGTCCGGTTTGCGGAGTTAAAAGAAAATCCAGACAGAAATGAAACACGAGACAACGGTAGTATGGAGATGGAGAGGGGTGACTGGGGGGAAGGTCTGTCCTGGCCTCCGCTGAATCCATCCTGTGGATAGATTAGAGCTGGAATTTCTGCTTGGGTATCCTGGCCGCTCAGTAAGGGAATCAGTCCATTAACACTAATTGTGGTCATTGAGGTACTTAGGTTCATTTGTCATTTTTTATCAATTGTTTCGAGCTTTTTATTTCTCTTTTCTGTAGTTTTTCTTCTTATATTAATAGTTTCTCCTTACTCTTTTTTTTTCCCTTCACTATTTGGAAAATACATATCATTTCTAGTCTTTTGGTGGTTACTCTAGAAAACTGAACAGGCATCTTTAACCAATATAAGAGCTTTAGAATGTTTTCTCTGTTGTTTTCACATTTATAAGTTACTTTAAAATATTATGTATTTGGCAAGTCTTTGGAATGTAAAGTTAACCTTTTAAATTTAAGCTCAGACAGAAAAAAATCTAAAACTGAAATGCTTTAGATGATAACAGTGACCACTTCATTTCACACGTTTTGTCTTCATTGCATCTTGTTCGTGTGGTGTTTTCAGACCTGATCTCTTCAGCTGGGATAGAGTTGTCAGGATGTCCCCAACTGAGAGGCTGGAACACGCCTTCAGCAAGGCTCAGACGTACTTGGGGATTGAGAAGCTCTTAGATCCTGAAGGTATTGTTCAGTGTTTAATTTCAACCTTGACTTCTGCTTTGTAATTTTGGATACTTAAAGAACAGTGTTTTCTTAAAATTTTTTTAAAAGATTTTATTTATTTATTTTTAGAGAGGGAAGGGAGGGAGATAGAGAGCGAGAAACATCAATGTGCGGTTGCTGGGGGTCATGGCCTGCAACCCAGGCATGTACCCTGGCTGGGAATCGAACCTGGGACACTTTGGTTCGCAGACCGTGCTTAATCCACTGAGCTACGCCAACCAGGGCTAAAAATTTTTTAAGAATGCATAATGAGAATTGAGTAGTGTTCTTACTTTTGAGACATGGTGCAAGTTATTTAAATGCAGAGTCATGTGTACTTTTGTACTTAACAATCTGTGGGACACTTTAGGAGGAAATTTAATTACATCATTGGAGAATAGTTATTTGATACAGCATAAGATTTCACATTTTAGGAAAATGTAATTATTAGATAAACAATCCAGTATTTGGCTTATTTTATTTAAATACATTTTAATATAAGCTTCTTATATATGATATAAAAACTTCAGTTACAAATGTTGCAAAATTGAATTCTAGACTTACTTTCATAATGTGAATAAAACCTGTCATTATCTTAAATGGTAGCTTATCTTCGAGCATTTGGATGGAGCTTTTAGGAATGAATTTTAAGAAATGGGATACTGAATAAAAATAAGAAACCGTCTCAGCCTTTGTCTCATCCATTAGTTTTTGCAACAGAGACTGACTGTACTGCAGAGATTGTATCATTGTACTGTTTATGGGCACTGAGGACAGTTACTTTGTATCCACTGTTGAGCAGTTCACGCATTTTGGACATCTAATTTAGCTGGTCTTTATTTTCTCCCACTTTCAGATGTTGCTGTTCAGCTTCCAGACAAGAAATCCATAATTATGTATTTAACATCTTTGTTTGAGGTGCTGCCTCAGCAAGTCACTATAGATGCTGTCCGCGAGGTAGAGACTCTCCCGAGGAAATACAAGAAAGAATGCGAAGAAGGAGATCTTAATATGCAGGTACAGGTCCATTTTCACTGAAATGTCTGACTTGCCATATTTGTCTTCTTGTAGGTACTAGATTAAACACTGTTAGGGGTTTTTTTTTTCTTGCCTGGGGACACCTTGGTTTTTCCGCTGACAGAAGCCTCAAAAGTTCGGTTTATCATTCAGCATGCTGTCACATGTCACATGCGTGTAATGGACAACTGTAACTCAGCTGATGTCTTACGAAGGAGATACGTTATTTCACACAATGAGGGGTCTGGGCTGTGACCATGCCACCGTGTGTCGTGCCACCCATGTTTTCCTGTCCCTGGGACGCCTTCTTTCATCACTGCCGGTTTGACAAGGTTTTCCTCGTGTCAGCCTAGCTTTGTTCTAAGGGCTAATTTTCCTTTTTTTCTTTTGCCTCTAACAAAAGGATTTTTACTGTTACATTTTCACAGAGACTATCAAAATACAAACTTTATTATCCTTTTTATTTAGGAAGAATAATTGACAATACGTTACTTGGTCGGTTTTTCACTTGTAATGATTTTAGTCATTAGGATATAAATGAGTGTCCTCCCCTCCCCCAAGAGATATAAATAAAGTCATGAATTTTTCTTCCTGAATTATCCTGCCTTGAATTAATCCGTATTTTATTTTACTCTGTTTTAGTCTAACCAGTCCCCTTAATTCATAAGATGAGAGAATCTTAACAGTTGGGTGAGACTTTAAAAAGTCATTTGGTCCAACATTTCAGCAACCAAGAGCTACACATAAATTTCAAAGTGGTAAGAAATACATTTCGGAGAGGCAGAAAGCATGGGCTTTGATGCTTAAATTTCGTTCCCGTTCCTCCTTGATTTGGGTTGGTTACCTGCCTTCTCTACTGCAGTTTTAGCTGTAATATCTGGATAAAACCACCCGCTTCATAAAGACAATGAACTCACAGTGTTTAAAGTAATATCAGTAAGCCCTCCATAAGCAGCAGCTATCATTAGTGTAATTTCTTCTCCGTGTGTCTCGGTGTTATTGTTCATTCCCTCTCAGCACGGTCCTGTTTACACATGTCCGTTAATTCTCATGTAGCGATGTTCATGGTCTTCAATTGGCATAGCATCTTTTTTTCCTTTTCCAAGTTTCAGAGAACTCATTTCAGATTTTTTTCGCATAGTAGGGACCAATCCTTTTAACTTCTTCATTTCAAAATAGCGTGATTTATAGGAAAATAACGAACTTACTGAGGAAAAGAGGCAAGAGATGGGGCCAGATTGTGAGCCTAGGGCTCCTCTTCGTCATTTTGAAAAATCAATGATACTGAGGGAATAGCTGTAATTCTTTGTAATTGAGTGGAAAAAAAAATGCTGAGAAGCATTTGTCTCTAGTGGTGCAGTTATTACCCTTCATTAGTGATGTAACCTTTTACATGGCTCAGATAATCTCCTGAAGTTGGATTTTGGTTTGAGTCGTTTCTTTATGGGGTTGGGCTCCATTTGTTAGAAAGCTGGGTATTTTACTTCTAGCTAAGGCCATTCTCTCTGAAAAAGGAAGGAGATTTCATTTGCTTTTCATGATGGGTAGATAAAATGATCACTTCCGTTTAGGGCTCAGGGTGGCATGATAAGAATTGTAGAAGCCATTTGCTGTTTGATTAAGAACAAGCATATTATTAACATTAAGCTCTTCATTTGCATGCTTTCATTAATTCATTAGAGACTGAATTAAGCTAATTGAAGAAAGAAAGTGTGGTCCAGTTGTAATCATCTACTCTGACAGAGCTTGCCATCTGACACTTTGCAATGAACGCTACTAGCCAGACTTTCTCCCTCGTTCTGCAAACGTGCTGTAGAGCATCAGGTGGTCAGCGAATAGTTCTTCCATTTCCCCTTCAATTAATGTCTCAATTGAAAGTCTCCTCTTGTGTTTAAATGAATAACTTCTGAACATTTGCACTTAGATAATGCCTTCCAATCGCCTTCTCCCACATCGGTAGATCCCAGTGCTTATCTCAGCAACCTTTGGCTGGTCACTTACTAAGTTCCTGGTTCTCAGATATCCTCACTAGAGCATAGAGGTTTGGTACTAAAAGCTCCCCGGGGCCACTTTGGCTCTGTGGTTGCAGAATTGGAGGTCCAGAACCTAACTCACTTTCCTTCCCTGTCTTTGGCAGCATCAGTCTCCTGTGTTTCCTGTGTGTGCTCATGGATTCATTTCTCTTAAACTCCCGCGCACAGTTTACCGGGTCTGTTGGGTTCTTCGTCTAGAATGTCTCTGGTGTGTGTTTTCTTTCTGTTCCAGCCTTCATGCTAACCAAAGATCGCATCTTCTCTTGTCGTTTGCAATACCCAGCCTACCGCCCAAGTTCATCTCAGGCGCTGCTCTGCAGTCATGGTGGACTGCTCCCTCTGCTTCCCCCGGATTCCTGTCCCTGTGGGTTTCTCTCTGTGAAATGCTCCTCCACCCACTGTTTGCATGGCAAGCTTCCAGTCTTCCCTCAGTGTCAATGGAACTTTTTCAGAGAAGTCTTCCCTGATTAACTTATTCAAATCCAACCCTACACACACTTACACACGCACACTCACTCGCTCAGTTTCCTGCTGTGACGGTCATTTTGTAAACTATGTTAAGAATTTTAAATTGTATCTTATGGGGAAGCGGTGAAAGGTTTTAAGTGGGGAAGCCTTGTGCCGTGATGACAAGCTCCAGAGCTGGTTCTGGCGGCCGAGTGAGGGGCGGGTTGTAGAGGTGGGAGAGTGGCTGGCGACGGGGAGGAGATGGCAGGGAGCGGGTTAGCAGGCTGCGGTCCTGAGGACAGGCGGTGGCGCTTGTGGTCTGGATGGCTCGGAGATACATTTTGAAGGTAGGAATTGCTTACATAGTAGATGTGGAGGTGGAAGAAAGATTTGAGAAACCACGGCTGGCTCCCTGGTTCTTAGCTGGAGGAATTTAATACAGGAAGGAGCCATTTACTGAAACAGGAAAGCCTGGGGGAGAATACGTTTGGGGAAAAATAAAGGGTAAATGCAGACATGGTTGATAGGCCTTTGGGACACTGAAGCGAAGATGTTCAGGTCGTTGGACACAGACATTTGGAGTTTGGGATCAGATATGTAAAGGAAAACATCTGCGGGGTATAGGTGGCTCTTTACATCCAATGGGACTGAGTGAAGCTGCCCAGACTGAGTTCACAGAGAGAAGATCAAAGGGCCCAGGACTTTGCTTGGCGGAGATTCGTTACTTACAGGTTGGCTGTTGAACCAGGAGGAAAACCAAAGTGGTGTCCCTGAAGCTGGGGGAGGAGGGCTTCACAGGGGTGCTGCTGGGAGCTTCCAGAAGGAAGAGAGGGGCTGTGTCTGGTCTGCTTGGAGCAGTTCTGGTTTCTGTGTGCTGTCCTAGCTCTGCTCTTACAAAAACGTTCTGCCTGGTTGGCTAATTACACGGTCACCCTTAGGATGATGCTAGAAAAGTGGATTTGCCCATGGGAAGGTTATTGGTGGCATTGGCAAAAGCCTTTTCAGTTGAGTGGTGGGGATCCATACCAAATCTGAAAGGGATGGTAATGAATTATTAGATGCATGAGCATTTCTTATATTGTCCTCTACACATTTTGGTGTGTTTGAGATTCGTAAACATTGTGGATGAGAGGCGATTAAGTGGAGATAGGCTGTAGGAAAATTTTAGAGAATTTTAAAGAAGGGACAGATGAACAAAAGAGAGTTTATTTGATTATAAGATTCTAAAGTATATTAAGAAAATCTTCCATTGAGATAAATTTATTCCCATGGGCTTTAAAAAAAAGCCCAGCAATTAAACTAGAGGGTAACCACCTCCAGAAAATAGCATCAGCAGCCTGTATGTGTGGCTGCCTTTCAGCAAAAATGCATTTTAGCAAAAGCAGTTTAAGTGGGGTCAAAGCAGAGTTCTCATCTTTATCTTTTTCCTTAACTTATATTCACCCTTTAAGGTCCAACACGATCCTCTGTGAAACTTTCCTGTTTTGGCCATTGCTGAACTCAAATAGCATCTCCTGTTGGAACCATGGAATTTATAATTTTGCTAATGGCCATTTTATTTTTGTTCAGAAGGGGTTCATGTGGGTTACTCGTCTCCTCCTGACCGTGTCAGGGTCCCCAAGAGCACAGGGTGGGCGGGTGCGTGCTGCTTCTGCCCTCTGCCCTCCCTGTGCACCTCACTAGCGCTTTCTCACAGCTCCGGCCCGCGCACCCGGCTCCTGAGAGCTGGCTGGGTGCCCGGGTGCAGTGGGTTCTTCCCTCCTGAGCATTCTCCATCGTGTGTCTCTGTTGAGCACGCTCTCCTCCTCATGACACTTGTGGGTTTTCTCTTGGCTTCGGTTCCCTAGAGCCCAGCGCCGGAGCAGGAGCACGAGAGCCCCCGGGCTGAGACCCCCAGCACCGTCACCGAGGTCGACATGGATCTGGACGGCTATCAGACAGCCCTGGAGGACGTGCTGACCTGGTTGCTTTCTGCCGAGGACACGTTCCAGGAGCAGGATGAGATCTCTGACGATGTGGAAGAAGTCAAAGACCAGTTTGCCACGCACGAAGTAAATAGTCTGTCACTGATGGGTAAACTCTGACCGCCAAGGTGCCTGTGCCTTATCAGGGGGTCTACCCTGATGTGCACCGAATTCTGCTCTATGGAAAGGTCGTGGCATATTTTAGGGCTCGTGGTAGTGAAATAGGGCTTTGTCATAAAGTTGGTGTGCACTGGAATTAGATTGCAGATTTTAATCGTAATTGTAACTTGTACATTCTGTGGGGCCACTGGTAGAAATCAATGCATAGTACTGCTAGGTTCTGAAATATAATGTTATAGTAAAAACACACAGTGGCTAATCAATACACCAAGTCTTTAGATTTGGAATGTTTCCCAGGAAGTGATTACTTTTATTTATTGTATGATTGAGCAAATCTCATATCCAGTGTTCATGTATAATTGTATATAATGAAAATTTGCTACTATTTTGAGGATACGTTAGGTATATTTCACTGTAGTGAATGATCACATGGACATTTCTTTTTGATTAGGTAGGTTTTTGTGTGTGTGTGTGCTGGTATGTTAATTGACGGGTCTTACTTGCTGTTTAGGTTTGCAAATGATAAAAGTTGTTATATTCTTTAAGCAGTTAGTTCCCCTTGGGTGAGCCTGTTGTTTTACTTATTTTCACTTAATTCTGTGTTTACCATCTGTTAGTTTCATAATTGGCATTTACTTAACAATAGTTGCTGTTATCCGATGTAATATTGTCCTCTTTGACCTCTTCCCCTTTCCCCTCAGGCCAGCTGCTGCTTTCCTGTATTCAAAGTTGGGTCAAAGTCTACTTTATCTGTAGTCTCCATGGCTGCCTTTTTTTGCAGCTTTGATATTTAAGTGTTGATAATTAATTGATTGTTATTTTTCCATGAGCGGCTCACAAACTGTAATGCTGTGCCTCTCCAGGCTTTTATGATGGAGCTGACTGCGCACCAGAGCAGTGTGGGGAGTGTCCTGCAGGCGGGAAACCAGCTGATCACACAAGGGACTCTGTCGGATGAGGAGGAGTTTGAAATTCAGGAGCAGATGACCCTGCTGAACGCTAGATGGGAGGCCCTCAGGGTGGAGAGCATGGACAGACAGTCCCGGTGAGTGGCAGCAGAGGCCGGGACATGTTGTGCCATTGAGCGCAGTGTCCAGGTTAGCTGGAGTGAAAGTTGGTATGTCCACGAAAGCCAGATAATCACAGAACTTGCCTTGTCAAATTGAACTCTTTGTATCATGTTGCTGGAGTTTTGCATGATTTTTGTTTCTCTTTTGATGTGTTAACCAGATTAAAAGGTAAAAGTTGGAGTGTAGAAATTAGGAAAAAGAAAAAAACATTTCATATGGACAGTTATCAATTTGTAGGATTAAAATTGGCCAACTATGAACTCAATATGAAGACAGGATTGTGTAGTCTTTATCTACAATTCAGTTTTGTAACATTTATAAAAAGTCCCTTTCCCTCCCCCGCCACCCCATGGTTCATTTTATTTCCTGCTTTGTGTATTAAGGAGCAAACTGCTTTCCACTGCAATTTTCATCTCCTTAATATGCAGGAATTCCTGATTGAAGAAACAGTGATTCTGATATGGATGGTGGGTGCTGTTCTTTGCATTCTTTGACTGCATTTAATGGACTCCATTTAGGAAGAAGATGAAAGTTTTTCTTTGGCTCGTTTCTGTATTTAAAGGCTAAACGCTGCATGAAGTGGTCGGACAGGAGGGCACTTCTTTGCCCCATTTCTTTGCTGCCCAGAGTGCATATGTGCCTTTGCGCAGAGGAACAGCGAGTGGGAATAACGCGGTGTCCCTCTCTGGACAGGCTGCATGACGTGCTGATGGAACTGCAGAAGAAGCAGCTGCAGCAGCTCTCTGCCTGGTTAACGCTCACAGAAGAACGCATCCAAAAGATGGAAACTTGCCCCCTGGAGGATGATTTAAAATCCCTGCAAAAGCTGCTGGAAGATCATAAAGTAAATCTGGCTCACATTTCTTTTATACCTTATCAAATATGAAAAGGCAGCACTTAGCGTTCCCCGGGGCTTCTGTCATTAGTGCAGAGGTGGGACCCTCCTCCAGTGTCCCCTGCTGTTCAGCAGCCTGGAGGGTGGAGTTCCTGGGGATGGGACTTTTCTGGGCTGAGTGCACAGGTAAAATTGTATTTGGGTATGTATAGTTTTCTTAGGAAAGCACATAGCTTTCATGAGGTTCTCAAGGGTTGTTTTGGACCTACAAGTGGTTAAGAGCCCTAGTGTGTGGGTATTAATACCACGTGTGGGTAAAGAAGCAAACCCTCAGACTGACCTGCACCTGGTCCTTGAAGGAATGCTAGTCCTTCTCCTCTGACCTGGGAAAGTACTGGGCACTAGGTGGAGAATTGAAATTTGGTAGGTATGTTACCTTGTTCACAACTTCAGGAGATTACTTTTCATAGTCAGGGAAAGATAAAACAAATAGTCTTTTGGTAAGTTATTTGAATAATCTGATTTTTCATGGAAATATCTGGATAATTGATAAATAAAGCTTTAGGGATACTTAAAACCCAACTCAAGAGGCATTTGACAACACTCTTGGTTGTGTTTAAACAGCTTACCTGTATACATATGTCTTTGCACCTGCTGTGGTCGGTCTTCCTGTTGAAGAGCTGGCAATGGAAGTCATCTGTGCATCCTCAATTGCTTTCCTGGGTTGTTAATCAGATTAGCTTCTGATTATCAATAGCACCTACTTATCTCTCATTTTAAGCCATGCTGCACTAGAGAAAATGATCTCGTAGAGTTAAATTCAGGATGTTTTGATTTATCAATCCTATGTTCTTATCTCAATTCCTAGTATAAACATTTGACTCACTTATGCTACATTATTTTTCCCCCCAGAATTTGGAATAAAATAATGACATCCCATTTGGAATCTGTTATGACATAGCATTTTCAAACTGCTTTGGTTCATAATGAAACATAAAGATATGTAACGGCCTGTTTCATTAGTAGAACACTTAGATTGGAAATTTAAACATGATGCCTCATTAAAGACCTTTAATTGCTATTGACAACCTAGTAGATTTCTAAATAGGCAAATATGATCGAGTAGAAATAATGTATATCTTAATTTTTTCCTTAGAGTTTGCAAAATGATCTTGAGGCTGAACAGGTGAAGGTCAATTCATTAACTCACATGGTGGTAATTGTGGATGAAAACAGTGGGGAGAGCACCACAGCTGTTCTAGAAGATCAGTTACAGGTAAGGACCCCGAGAAGAAGGGTAATCCCAAGAGACCTGAGACCTCGCTACCGGTTGCCCTTGTTCTTTATGTGCCATCTCACGGTTCATTTAGACGAGTAGAAGACCCTGTTTCGGGTTGTACCTCCCAGCTAGGCACCACAGCCTGTGGGTTACAGGACTACCTCGGTATCATTCCTTTGCATCAGTCCTTGGGGCGAGTGGGCGGAGCAGTTTGAGGTCATCGCCTCCTTTCGTGTAACAGTGACGGGATTGGGACGAGTGGTCCACAGGCCTCTTACTCAGAATCACTTGAGGAATTTGTTAAAGTGTAGATTCCTGGCCTCCATGCAGACCTGAGTTCTTGGGAGTGGGGCTCAGTGCACGTGTACTTTTAAAAACCATCCCGCATGTATTCAAGTTTGAAAATGTCAGGTGTTTAGGATTTAATATCCCTGTTTATTGGGTGGATCAGTGTGTGAATTTCAATGACAGGTTGGGGAACCCTGACAAATTGCTTCTTTTTGCATAAAGGTTATAGTGTTAAGTCTTTATAAAGAGATTTATTGGTTTTTCATTTGAATGTATTACTCAAGTGAATAATATACTGGGATTATCTCTTATGATATTGCTGCCAGTTTATGATTTTCGGAACCTTTCAGGCTATAATTTTATCACATGAAATCCTTTCTCTTCTGTATCATCATTTAAAGTTGGCCAGTGGTTCTGAGAGTTTGGTGCAGGAGCCCTTAGTTATTACAGTAACATGAGAGGCAGGCGTTCCTGTGGGCTAACCCCACCGTGAAGACACTGAAGCTCAGAGAGGTGCAGCGATGCCTGAGAGAGTTGAGAGAATTGTCCTGCTGAGACCTGCCTCTGGCTCTCGGTCTCCTGCCCCTTGCACTGGGCAAAGCTTCCTATGGTATTGAATATCAAAATAAGATAATATGAATTAAATAATTCCCATTTGTATGTAAGTAACATACAAATAAAACTGAGCATTTGTTGGCCATTATTTATAAAAGGGAAATAAAATAATGTGTTGAGAAAGTCATCATGAAGAATGATTTTTTTAAAAAAGCAATCAAGTTTATTTAGTATTGCCAATATTTCTAAATATTTTGTGGCTAAATTTTGTGGAATTTCCTATGGATCATGCAATGTAAATAGAAAAAATTAAGTCATTTAATAGGAATTCTTTCAACACAAAGTTTTTATAAGGTTAAATTTTCATAATTTTTGTGCTATAGTTGGACATTTGGAGAAAGTGAGAGAGAGAGAGAGAGAGAGAGAGAGAGAGAGAGAGAGAGAGAAACATCAATGTGTGGTTGCTGGGGGTCATGGCCTGCAACCCAGGCATGTGCCCTGACTGGGAATCGAACCTGCGACACTTTGGTTCGCAGCCCGCGCTCAATCCACTGAGCTACGCCAGCCAGGGCCCGAAATCAATTTTTCTCATCTGTAAAATTATAGGACCTATTTGTATTGTCTTGAAGCAACTTTCATAAAAATATATTTTAATAAATTGCTACTCCATAATAGAAAACAACAGATATCAAGAATTTGTTTCAGGATTGTGATAGCTATCCCCTAAAGCTCGATTGACAAAGGGTGGTTTCCCCCTTTACTAGAAACTTGGGGAGCGCTGGACAGCTGTGTGCCGATGGACTGAGGAACGCTGGAGCCGGTTGCAGGAGATCAACATGTTGTGGCAGGAGTTACTGGAAGAGCAGGTACGGGACTGTTATCCAGCACGGTCGCAGTTGATGGTGGAGGGTAACTTATCCTTAACTGTGGCATTAGGTTAAAGTCTTACTTAACTTTTGCTCTAAAGGGACATTTACAAATAATTATTTGTTATTTTTCAAGTCAGATTTGTATCCATTTTCCATGAAGATTTTTCATAGAGACTGTACTATATGGCTCCATTGTCATAGCTGTGTTTACTATTCAGAATGTTAGTGTTTAGATATGCTACTTTCAGGGTTTGCGCGACATCCTAGTTTCATTGCATGTGTGGTGGATAGTGTGTTTGAATTGGTATCCACACGGTGTCCGGCATATATCGCTTGTGTTCAATAAATAGTGACTAAATGACTTCACACAGTACTTTGTGACCTGTGAGTCACAAGAATTTTTATTGATTTTTAAAAAGAATAACTATGAAGTTAACTAGAAAACATGATTTAGCAGCACCATTGATTTAACATTTTGTTAATAGTGTATTTTTCCCACTAAGGATTGCCATAGTAAATGAACCTTTAGCGCAAATCCGCCACCTCAGGTTTTCAGTTGGAGGGGTGGCCCTTTGCCCGCCTCCATTCTTCCAAAAAAGCAACCATCAAAACAGAATGCAAATAAATAAAACTTCTCTCTGAAAACACCAAATTGTTGTGGTTTAGAAAATAAGCAGGTACTCCGTTCCCACTGTCCATTTGGTGTCCATTTGGATGCTTTTAAATGCACTTGGATGTCCATTTGGATGTTTTTCAAATGCATTTCATTTCCACCCACAAAAAGAAACTGTATTATTTTCAGGTGATATAAAGGAATGTAAGATGTTTTGTGGTTTACCGAATATGGTGCAGACATAACATCTTAAAAAGTGGGGTGCAAAATCTGTCCCATTATAAATTGTCCATCACTACTCCCTGTCCCCAATCACTGGTCACAGTCTTCCTGTTAAGAATCACACAATGGGCCCGATTCTGATTCCTGAAATATTTACAGTTCACTTTACAAATACTTACAGTTACTTAGACCCTTGTATTCATGCCAAAACATAACGTCAAATAGGCACAATTGTACCTTAACAATGACAGTGGGAGACGTTGATTGCCAGAGAAGACCATTGTGTTCCTCTTCTGCAGAGCAAAATAAATTAAGATTTGGAAAGAATTTTACTTTGGTAAATGAAAATATTTAAAAGTAGTGGGGAGCTAGTGTTTTGGCCAATATTTTAAGTTGAAAACTGACCTTTGAATGGCTTTCTGCTGGCGATAGGGAAGGAGGGATCTTATGAAAACGGAGAACTGGAGCCGACATGGGTACTCAGTATAGAGACAATTTGATGTTGCAGGGAATGAGGCCAAATCACCTGTATCTGACTTAGAAAGATCTTTCGAGGGTTTATTGTGCACTCAGTTGCAGAGGCTTTTAAGAGTCAAAACAGACTCTGAACATCAGTTCCAAACGTCTGTAGCACAGGCCAATTTATGTGTGGCATGGAAGGTATTCTGGAAGGGACTCCTACTTACCTTTCCAATCTTGATTTTCCCTCTCTCCTTGCATGTACCCAGTACCAGAACGCTGAATTCCCAGTTTCATTTCTAGGCTTATCAACACTATAGGAATAGAGCTGGTTCATTCACACTGTCTATCCCAGTGCATGGCACCGTGTAGATTTGTCATGGTTTTCGTTGTTTTTGTTTTTGTCTTTTGAAAGACTAAATGTATTTCATTTGTTTCCAGCCTTTGTGTTCTTGTTTAATGATCTGCCATGAAATGCCTTTAGACTCTTTTATTTTTAAATTCCCTTCGGCCATCCAGAACCACGAAGCCATCTACAAACCCCTCCTGCTCCCCCTGTCTCTAAACTGGAAGTGATCTCTTGTGTGGTGTCTGCACTTTGTATCTTGTGCCATAGTGATTTCTGTGCGTGTCTTACTGCCCTTGCTACATGGAGGACAAGATCTGCATTTGTCTTTTATGTTTTTAATCTTCCACTTGTTGCGTGCATGTAGAACGTAAAGGAAGGGAATAGTTGTTAAATCCACGGATAAAAAACAATTAGAGAAAGAACTGATTCCATTGCAAACAAGAACCAAGATCTCCCAGCTTCCATTCTATAGAAAAGGGTTTCTGTGGTAGGCACTCATTTTGGGAATAATTACCTCAATATAGCCTGTTTCTTTCCAACCCTGCTTCAAGTTTCTCTCTCGACTTCTGCCTAAAAAAACATACATTGTTGGCCACTGAAGTTTGAATATCTTTGCATTGGCTTTGGACGGTCCTCAGACCTCCTCCCCTAACCATAATCGCTGTTGAACCTGGAGCATGAGTGCGGTTTCCCTGCATGATGCTGTGGAAAAACCATTAGCTTTGGAGTGTGGGTCTTTGATCCAGCTCTTCTGCGAACTAGCCAGGAGATCTTGGACACATAACTTGGCTTCTCTCTCCTTCCTCCCTAAGATGAGGAGCTGAGACAATGCAATGTCTGAGATTCCTTCTGCTTCCTGAGTGTTATAATGGGATTCTTTTTGGATACTTGAATAGCCTTTTGGATCCACCTAGCTCCCTGAGAATTCAGGTGTGGGGCTAATTTCAGGCTGATCTGTTGCAAATTTGAGAAATAATGTCTTAAAAGGAGATGTATTTTCTGTGTCATTCATGCCTCGTGCTCTGGTGTTTGAAGTCCTTCTTATCTGAGATCAGGGTGAAGCCTCTGGTGATAGAAACGTTAGAGATTTGGGAACTGGAATGAATTGACTTCCCAAATGATTCCCAAACATATTTCTAACTTTTGTTATTATGTGTAGTGTTTGTTGAAAGCTTGGCTGACCGAAAAAGAAGAGGCTTTAAGTAAAGTCCAGACGAGCAACTTCCGAGACCAAAAGGAACTAAGTGTCAGCGTTCGGCGACTGGCTGTGAGTAACACTGTTGGCAGCATCTGTCCTGTAAGCCTGTGATGTGTTAGTGCTTTGTATCAATGGGATGCTGCCGTGGGATGGTCTAGAACCAGGAGTCCTACGGTTTAGCATTAGAGAATTGCAAGGGCCCATTTTACTGTAAAATATACATGTTTACATTTCCTGACTGGGGAACAGGAGGATAAAGTCCTATTAAAAGGGAATCATCTAACAAATAATCTGAAATACTAGATTTTGAAGGAAGACATGGAAATGAAGCGTCAAGTATTGGACCAGCTGAGTGAGATTGGCCAGGATGTGGGCCAATTACTTGATAACCCCAAGGTGTTCCAGAAGATCAACAGTGACTCCGAGGAACTGACTCAGAGATGGGATTCTCTTGTTCAGAGGCTGGAAGATTCCTCCAACCAGGTACCTTTTGCTCTCAGTAGTATGTTGAGCCATTAAGGAGAAATGAAATGTTCAGGTTAGTTTTAGTGTTTATGAAATAAAAGAGTTGGTTCCTTATTCCTGGTTTACTATAAAATTGAAAAATTGACATATGACAATCTTCTTTAGTTTTCTAAAGTGAATTTTAATAGACCTTCAAAAACAAAACTGATTAATATCTAGTAATGTAACCCTTGGTGACTGATAACAAAGGTGAAACCATTACATGATTTTTAAACCTTATTAATTTAAAAATACGTTAATGAATTGATCAAAAAGAAAACTTTGGTGAACATGAATGTTCATAGCATCATTATTCATAATAGACAAGAAGTGAAACCGCTCAAATGTTCCATAGGTGGATGGATAAACAAAAGGTGGTATGTCCATACAATGGAATTTTCTGGGTGATAACAAAGGAACTACTGATACCTGCTATGACGTGGATGAACCTTGAAAACATTATGCAAGTAAAAGGCACCAGTAGCCAGATTATAGGCACTGTGATTCTGTATGTGTGAACTGTCCAGAATAGACAAATTCATAGAGACAGAAAGTAAATTAGTTGTTGCCAGGAGCCAAGGCAGAGAGGAGGATGGGAAGTGACTGTTAATGGGTTCAGTGGTTCTTTCTGACATGGTAAAATTGTTCTGGAATCAGAAAGTGGACATGGCTGCATAGCTCTGTGAATACACTAACAACAACTGAATTGTATATTGTCAAAGGAAGAATTTTCTGACATATGCATTGTATCTCAATACAGCTACAATAAAACACTAAAACTTCAGGGATTTCATTTCAGGTGACGCAGGCTGTAGGAAAGCTGGGGATGTCCCAGATTCCTCAGAAGGATCTTCTGGAGACTGTGCACATAAGAGAACAAGTAACCATGAAACGGTCTAAGCAAGAGCTGCCGCCTCCCCCTCCTCCAAAGAAGAGACAGATCCCTGTGGACATGGAAGCTAAGAAAAGGTGAGGACAGAGAAATTTTCCAAACCCGATACCACACACAATGTATTTCTGTACTCCGTACTTATTTTAATCTAGTCACTGATCATATGCAAATTTAGACATAGTTATTGTTATGCAAATTCAACTATTGAACCACTCACTGGCCCTGAGTCTTCTAATATTCTACTTCCTGCTGCCTGAGCATCTGCCTTGTCTTGGATGGTGCCATTTAACATGTGTGCAACCAGAAATGCGTGCTGAAATCCTTTTCTCTTCCTCTTTGTCATTTACCTTGGGAGGGTATGATTGTCCATGATTCCTCATCTGTTCTTTCTTTTACTGTCATGATTCTGACAATTTTGCTTTAGATAAATCTCCTTGTTTGCAACTCTCCGTTTTATGCTTGCAATTAAAAAATACTAAATTCAGGGGAGTAATTAGTCCTTTTTCTTCATTTTCCACCCTTCATTCTTTTTCCACATTCTCTTTCTTCCTTTGTGAATTCCTTTTTCTAGATTCATTAACAGAGTTTTGTGTTTGGCTTGAGGATTCATCTTTGGTAAAAAATATGTTTTCATTTTACTGATTCAAAGTAAACGTGGGATCTTTCTAAGAGGAGTCATCAGGCCTGGCACACGCTGAGCTTCTACTCTATTAAACCACACGGCATTGCAGGTACCACGCCTCGCATGCACTACAGCAGCTAACCCTCCAAGCAGCCCTTGCGTAGTACGATTATTCTCCCCTCTTTACAGTAGAATCCTGGTGCTCAGGTAAATGGGCATTTCGTTTTGCCTGAATAAAATGATGATTTCCCCAATTTGGCTTTTGTTGGACAAAGCATGACTCCAGTTTTGCCAGATGATTTTCATGTTGATGGTAGGGCTGTGCGTCCTCCTAAGGGCATCTTCTTGCAGCACCAGCGTGCCTGTGTGGAGCTGCTACTTTTGGAGCCAAGGTGGCAGACAAAGAAGATGCTTTTGATGTTAATATTGTCATAGGCCTTTCATTTCCTGAGTATTTATTTCTGCAAGATTTATCTGGTAGCGTGTTTCTCCAGTGCTGACTTTGTGCATTTGGAAGCAGAGAAGGTTGTACAAAAATACTAGGGTGCATATATAGATTTTGGTATCAATTTCAATGTAGGTGGGAGGGGGGTGAGGAGCTTCTCCACATCAACCAGCAATTTGGGGGACACCAGCTGGGTATCCTACTGTTCACCTCAATTCTGTTGCTATCTCCTGGGACACAGCGTCAGATTCCTCAGGTTAAGAGTTCAGTCCTACAAACTGTTGCTTGTGCTTCTAACCCACTGGCTATAAATCAGCGGTTCCCAAGACTTCCTCTTTGGGTGTGATTACTTTTCTAGAGTGGCTCAGAGAACTCAGAGAAACATTTTGCCTACTCGATCACCGGTTTATTATTAAAGGATATGACCCATGAGCCTCTAGACAGAAGAGATGCACAGGGAACGGGCAGGGCTGAGCCTCCGTGCCCTCTCCAGGGGGCCACTCTGCCGGCACCTCCACCTGTTCACCAATCCGGAAGCTCTCTGAACCCTGTCCTTTTGGGCTTTTCTGGAAGCTTCATTACCTAGGCATGGCTGACTAAACCTTTGGCCATTGGTGACCGGTTCAACTTCCAGTCCCTCTCTCCTCCCCAGAGGTCAGGGTTGGGGGCCGGGCTGAAAGTTCCAACCTCTAATCTCAGGTTGGGTCTCCTGGCGACCGGCTCCCATCCTGAGGTGGGGTCCGAAAGTCACTTCATTCACATAAAAATGACAACTTGGTTGCTCTCATCACTTAGGAAATTGTAAGAGATTAAGGAGCTCTGAGCCAGAAATGGGTCTAAGACCAAATATATATTCCTTATTATAAAACACAATATTGCAGGGCATAACTATAAAGTCTTAAACATGCTATCTTGTGTACAGGTGCGTTCTGTTTCAAAACCAGAATACTGTACCTGAGCGGCTTAATGAGCTCGCTGACTATCTCCTGGTGCAAGAAGCGAGGTCGGGCAGTTTTAAGGGGATGGCCCTTCAGCATCCTGTCCCTTCGTCTCTGCCTTCCTCAGCCGGGCGTCATGCCCATGGTCCCCAAGGCGCTGCTGCAGCACTGGGTGTGCCATCCTTGCATGGCCCGCTTTATGGGCAGTAAGGGCAGTTTTCCTTTCCTTCTTTTTCTTTCTTTTCTTTTTTTAATCGGGAGGAAACATGTTTCCTGGGAGACATTGGCTCACTTCCCCTGGTCTCACCGGCCAGGGCTCAGTCCCTTGTCCATGCCCTGGGTGTATGGGAGGTTGAAGCTGTCCTGCCTTTCAGACTCTGTAGTCGTGTTTTGGGGGACTCGGACGGCAAGGAAGAGGTGAGTGCCGGGAGGTGTCTGCTGGGTAGGCAGCCAGCTGTGAGGACAAGTCTTCTCGTTCACCAGTTGACTGATGCAGAAGTTCCTTCGCTTAATTCCTGGACATCTTCTAGTTCACCAGTTGACTGATGCAGAAACTCCTTCACTTAATTCCTGGACAAATCAGAGGCTTGAGGATGTCCAGTTCGTTATAGTAGAAGGCAGTGGAATCTCATTGTTAGAAATGTTGCCCCGGCAAAGCTGGCTCCCTCTCAGTCTACACACGTGTGCTAGCTCTGCTCTCTGGGGCACGATAGAGTCACGCCCCCTCTTCATATGGTACCTCTTCAGTACTGGAGGACAGGTTTCAGATTCCAGTTTCCATTCATTACCCTGAAGTCCAGGGAATCCCTACCATTCCTCCTGTGAAAGGGTTTCCAGACCCTTAGAAACCACTATTAACTTATCTTAAAACGTGCTGTTCAAGCAGATAAGAGCCTTAAATAACTGCTTAGCACAGCTTGTAATAACACATGCTTCAGAAATGGGGATTTATTTCCCCTTCTCTTCTCCTGGTGCTGCTGGTGGCTGTTCTCCCACCACAGGGACAGCCATTTCCTAGAATCTGGGTCTGTGTTAAAGTGACCTGAGATCACTAACACCCTGTATCTTTCGCGTCACTCTTGTTCGAGTTGAGGGGGAAAGAGACTAAGTCTCCAAGGTCGTTTTCAGTGTGGGCTCCTCGGATGGGGCTCCTGTCCTCTGAAAGCGCAAATAGAAATCTGCTGGTGAGATGGCAGGGGGAGGGGGGCACGCTTTGAGTGACGCACCGACCCCTGGTTGTGTACCTGGAGTGTCCCCAAATCTCTTACAACTTACAAAAAAAAATTTACCTTGATGAAAAAAGAAGTATTCATAGTTCACTAGAAACACTTGATGTTTCCCAAAAGAATCAGCAACGAGAACCGTGTTCACCTTAGGGCACCTAAAAGTATCCAAAGCTCTTTCTGGAAGCCCTGTGGGTAGAGTACTGAGGAAGAGGACAGGCGGCCTCAGGTGGAGCCTCAGGTGGAGCCTCAGGTGGAGCTCCAGCTGTACCGGTTAGTGACCCTGTGTTAGTGACCCTGTGTTAGTGACCCTGTGTTAGTGACCCTGGGTCAGTTACTTGATGCCCCCAGGAGCTCAGTTCCTGCATCGTTGAAAGGGGCCACAGTAGTGCACCCCGCACAGGGCTGTTGTGAGGACGCCTGGAGTCGAGAGTACCGGTGGAACACTTAGGAAAGGCCCTGCTGTATTACTGTGTGGTTGGCAGTCTGCAAATGGGCCTCTTCTTGTTCCTTCTCACTGTGGTTTGACTCTCCTTCCCACCGCCTATCAAGTCAGTCCCCCTCCTTCCTACAGGCATCGTTTTGTTCTGGGTCCTGTTACCACCATGGCCTTTTCTCAGGTCGTGGCTGCCTTGTGCTTTCTTCTCTGTGAACACGAGCAGGGAAGTAGCGTCACGGCAGTCCCATGCCTTAGACTGCACACAGGCAGCAGACACAAGGCCCATGGGCTGAATCTGGCCCCCCACCTTGTTTTATCTGGCCCAGCACCTTGTTTCTACCCGGTGGCAGCGCCGAGCTCTCGTTTAAGGAGTAGTTACATTTACACAGTCCTAAAATTACATTGGGTCCTGTGAAGGCAACCGTGAGGCTGGTGTGGCCCCCAGTGAAAATGAGTTTGGCGCCCCTGCAACCCTTCACTGGCTCTCAGTGGCCCTTTGTTTAAACCCAACCGCATCTTCCCTGCAGGGCCTCCCAGTAGCTGGTTGGCGTCCCTCCCTGCTGAGTAGCCACTGTTCCAGCCACACCTAACTACTTGTGGTCTGCGAAGTGTGGTCTTCCCTTTCTTTGCTCTCCCTGTGCCAGGGAAACGCTTGGCTTAAGGCTGTTCGACTCCAGGAAGCAAAGGAGCCCAGATTGGCCCGGGAGCCATCCTGTGATTCCTGGAATTTGCACCTATCAGGTTCTTTTTGTTCTTGCGCTTACTCTCCATTGTTCCTAGTAGACTGGAAGCCCCCTGAGCACTGGGAGGGCCTCGTTTACCTCCTTCCTATTGAGGGCCCAGACAGAGCCTGGGGAGGGGGGCCCACCCCGAACTCAGAAACCTGTTGAATTAAAGAAGCCATGAACTTCAGCAATGTCTGTACTTGTTCTTTTCTGTTATTATCTAACTAAATCTGTTTTTCATTATCTACATGCATTTATAAGAATACAAGTGATTTCTTTAAAAAATTTCAACATTGAAAAATTTATTTTCTTTAATTATTTATTGACATGACCGTATCACTTCTCATACTTTCATACTTTGAATGGTAAAAGTATGATTTTACTTTGTGTGGCTTCTGTATTTCTGGGTTGCCTTTTTGTTTTATTTTTCTGAGGAGTGTTTAGAAACACATGCTGGATGAGTGTTTTGGTTGCTCTCTTTCTCGAGCCAAGGGAAACAATAGAAGGAAATGAATGACAAATGTTAACATCTGAATCTCAAATTAGGTTTGATGCCCTGAGTGCAGAGCTGCTGGACTGGATTTCGAAATCAAAGACTGCCATTCAGGCCACGGAGATAAAAGAATATAAGAAGATGCAAGAGACTTCAGAAATGAAAAGGAAGTTAAAGGTAAAACATAAAACAAAAGTATACTCGTGAATAAAATATTTCACCAGGATAGATTTACTTTGGTATAACGATGTGATGGGATCCGAAAGCTTCCTGTAAAATAAATGTAGCAATAATGTAGCTGTTAGAATAATATTGTAGTAAATTTTGCACTGATTTAAGTTGGCTGGTATCAGATCCCTGTGTGGAAGAGGGATTTTTTTCTCTTCTTTCTTAATGAATGAGTTGTGTAGTAAGGAACAATTACTTCCTAAGGTAACCTAAATATTATTTCTGTTTTTAGCTAGATTAGATCTTAACCTGGTACCAATATCTTATGACCTTGTGTAGAAGAGGTTTTGCTTTCCGAATACAACAAACTATACTTATACCTCCTTATCCACAGCTATTGGCAACCAACCACTGACCAAGAATGTTAGCTGGAGAATTCCAGAAACAAACAGTTTATAAGTGTTAAATTGCATGCCGTGCTGAGCAGCACGATGAAATCTCACACTGTCTCGCTTCATCCCACCTGGGACAGGAACCCCACCTTTGCTCGGCGTATAGGCTACCCTCCCGGTAGTCACTTAGTAGCTGTCTTCATTATCAGATTGTCTGCCAAGCTGTCCCAGTGCATATGCCCAAGTAATGCCTATTTTACCTATCATGGCCCCAAAGCACGAGAGTAGTGATGCTGGCAATTCAGATATGCCAGAGAGGGAAGGTGAGTACTGTGCAGTAAGGTGTTTTGAGAGAGAGAGAGAGACCCCACGTTTACATAACTTTTATTACAACATGTTGTTATAATTGTTCTCTTTTTCTCTTTTATTCTTAGTTTCTTGTTAATCCCTTATTGGGTTTTCTCTATCATAGGTATGTGTGCTTAGGAAAACACATAGTGTACGTTGGGTTTGGTGCTGTTCACGGCTTCACGCATCTCCTGGGGATCTTGTGACATATCCCTTGAGAATAAGGGGGATTACTATATTTCAGATTTCTTTAATATATTCTCTTTGGACAAGAGACACATTTTAAAACAGAAATACTATTCAAGTTGAATGGTCGCTTAGCTCTGCTACTTTGTACCCACGCGGACATTACTGAGATTGTGACGGGAGATCGTAGTGATTTATGTCACTGGTGTTCATTCAGTCTCGGTACATCCTTTAGTGAACTATTTGGGTGTCCAGAGCTAGTCTGTATTGCCACCCACATCAGCAAGGAAGTTTGTCGGTAAGGAGTTGGAAGAATGTTTAAAAAATGTGTGCATCCCTGATGTTGGTTGGAAAGTGGTAGGTGCCATGGGAATAGAAAGGAAGCCAGGGCTGCTGCTGTCAATTCCGCACGGGGGACGAGTCCGGACGGCCAGGCGGCACTGCGCTGGCAGTGAAGTGGGGTGTTGGAACTGGAGGAAGGCCACACCAGGCAGGGGTGCCCCTGAGCAGAGGCGCGGAGGTGGGTGAGTGTGTTGTGATCTTTGGAGCACACACTTGTTTCCTGCAGGTGTGTGTGTGTAAAAGTAATAGAGTTCAAGGTTGGAGAGGTGGTGTGGATTCAGACCTTGACAGACTCTATATTTGGATGAGCGGTTGAGACTGATTTCTGCCTTAGCCTTCCATTGTGACTGCTCCCATTTGGAGGTCACCCGTGGTGGTTGGTTTCTAAATCCAGAGGATGGATTTCTGTTCTCGGCAGACCTGCTCTTCCCACAGTATTTGCCACTGTTTACCTTTCCCGTCTTACATTCTCGTAGCCCTTGGCTTCATTCTAAAACGTAAATCTGATTACGCAGCTCCAGGGCTTGCAATTAATGTAATGGCTTCCCGTTGCTGTGGGGATGAAACGTGAGGGCCACAGTGCCCCCGCCTGCCAGGGCCGGCCTGGTTGGCTGCATTCTTGCCTGCTGCTAAGTGCAGCCTCCTCACCTCTCCTTCAGCCGTCTGCTCTGTTCCTACTCTCCTGCCTTCACCACGTGCCGTTTCCCAGAATGGCCTTTCATTCAGCCTTTGTGCTACGTGACTGAACTGCCCTCTCTTCCCATAAGCCTCCCTCAGCCTCGTGTGGAAAAATTAAGCGATTCATCTCGACTTCCACATTGCTCAGATGTCGTTATTTGTTTATATGCCTGCTGCGAGTGCTTAGAAAGCGAGGGTGATTTTTCACTGAATGCCGTACTTGCGGCACTCAGTCGAGTGCGTGGATTGTGGGCGGAGGGGGTGATGACCGTGGGCAAGGGGATGGGGAAGGTTGTTCACCCGGGAGCCCAGGGAGTGAGGAGAGCAAGACGCGAGGGCCGTGTTCCATCATTTCAGGTGCTTCTTGCCGTTCTGAAAAATCAGTAGATGATAGTAATGATCGTTTTACAACCCAGTCCTCAAAGGCATTAAAGTGGCAGAGAATGTGGAAGTTACAGGGATCTTTATGGAACAAGTGCCACAAAATATTGAGTTACATGGGATCTAGGCACTATTTACCTTCACAAATGGTTACTATAACAGTGGAGGGGTTAAAAATAACAGTTGTGTGTGTTTGTGTAAGGCATGATTGGAAGTTCCCGTATTTTCCTTTAATATTTATAAGTTAATTTATTTTGTTGTTTTAGATAAGTGATAATAGATGCTGAATGGTTGTAAAAAATGTTAGAGAAAATTTAGTGATTGCTTTAATCTCTATTTTTTCTTGCAAATTGGGGAAAAGTCAGCTTAATTTGTTTTTAAGTAAACAATATCTTAACACAAGGTATTGTTCAAACAAGTAAAAGAATACCTTGTTTGAACCAATACCTGCGTGGAGAATTCCTAAGTCCAATCCACCACTACCATAAAAAGTATAAAAAAAGCAGTTTGTGCAAAGCAGGTAATAGTTTTTCTCTAGTTTGATGATGACTTTTTGCATTGGTACTCAGCTTAACAAAAAGAAATGGTATTTCTTAGACTTGTTATTTATCGATCTTTGACTACAAAAATGGCTGTGTTACTTAGCCACGTTAAAGTTGGTGTAGATCAAAATAGGATAGCTAAATTTATTTGACAGTGCTTACAGGTAGTGCCTGTTAGAAGCGGCCTTCTTCTTCTGTGGGTCGTCTGGTTGAAATAACGTGGGTTCCCTACATGTTCTGGTTGTGTACTTATGGACACAATTTGAGTAGTTAAGTAATAGATAAATATCAGTTGGGAATTGAGGATGGGAGAAATTTCAAACACTGACTGTGCACGCATAGGTGTGTGCGTGTGTATGTATCCCTGTGGGTTGTTCAGCCTTTTCTTAGAAGTCATGGCATTTATCTTCCCCCTGTCCCTAAGATAAAGGGGCATGGAGAATATCAAACCATAGGGACATGGGTATTAGAATTAGGCCGTTTTTAAAACAGAGAGGATAGAACACTTTAGTTTGGATACTAAAGTGTATTGTAATTATTTGTAAGAATTTGTGACTGAAGTTTGCAATAAACTCTAGACTTAATACCAACAAAGAATACTGGGGCTCAAATTATTTTTATCTCTTTTTCTGGTTGATTAAATTTTGTTCAGTGATCTTTGTTATAGCACATTCAGTTCATTTGACTCAAATTCTTAATTTTATGGTGTGGCCTATATGGAGGCTGTATATGTGAATCCAAGATAGATATCTTGGATATAAACACTAATTGTACTTATTTCCTCTTGATAGGAACTTATAATTATAGTGTACAATTTTTTTTCTTAAAAAGAAACCAAAGTTTTATGTTGTTTGTTTGAATTTACCCTTTAAAGTTTAATCATCGCTGGTGTTCTGGAGGCATCCTGGAATTGCATGGTGTTGTAAGGTAGTGTTCTCTTAGGTAAACTTTGTAACATCTGCAGAGAATATCGGAGGGCCATTAGACATTAAAACGTAACATAGCATCAGCATTACATTGAAAAGAAAGCTTGCAGTGTTCTTACATTGAGACTCTGTTTCCAGGGATTGGAAAAGGAGAAGACAGAAAGAAGCCCCAGACTGGACGAGCTAAACCAAACTGGACAGATGCTTCTGGAGCAAATGGGAAAAGGTGAGATGCTTGATTTTTCTTTTCCGTATATGTATCTTTAGATGATGGCATTGAATAATATTTATAGTTTGACAAATCAAATGTATATGTTTTGATACTCTTACCCTCTTTGCTAGAAAAATAGTTTTTAGAAACATTTTTGTCAGCACAGTGTTTTTTCAAATGAAATCTTGTGCTGAGGCTGATTATATCAAACTGATAAAAGCAAAGCTGTTCTGCTCTTAGATAGGAACAAGGCACTAACACCGATACCTCAGCAAAACCACTCCTGCTGGTGTAGAAGGTTTTAAAATCCCTTCCTTTGGGGTTATATATATATTGGGAATTTGTTTTTGGAGAGATGAAGTTACATTAAGGTAAATTCATTAAGGTTATTTAATTTTTTGATCGCTTTTAGTATGCTATATCAATTTATTTCTTTATAGTTAAATTTGATGTTCTTTGTATTTTTTAAAAATGATTTTATTTATTTATTTTTAGAAAGGGGAAGGAAGGAAAAGCAGGAAAGAAACATCAGTGTGTGGTTGTGTTTCAAGAGCCCCCCACTGGGGACCAGGCCTGCAACCCAGGCATGTGTCCTGGCTGGGAATCAAACCGGCAACCCTTTGGTTCACAGTCTGGTGCCCAATCCACTGAGCCACACCAACCAGGGCATAATGTTATTTGTATTTGAAGTTTTTACCAAAATTAAAAAAGCTTTTCTTTTTGAAATAGACCCAGTAACTCGGGAGTATAAAGATGAATGTTTCTGTTATGTAATTTTGTGTGTGATTCTTCCTTTGCTTTGGAAGACATTTCTCCTAAGCTGTGCTCCGTAGTCTGTGATGTCAGTGCTTTGGAGGTCTGCTTCCATTAGACCTATCCCTGAGCGAAGCCACAGACCCCGAAGCGGAGTCAGGAATGCTAGTTTGACAGGAATCTTCAAAGATGTAATTTTCAGTCTTTTTATTTTTAGAGCTTTTATTATAAACATTGTAAACAGATACACAATAAATAGAATATAAGGAATCTCCTTGTACCCATTACCCAGCTTCAATAGTTAATGGTATTCTGCTGTTCTTAATTGTCTAGGTCTCTACTCACTCCTCATCCCTGATGATCTTTTTTACCATTTATTTTAAGTAAATTTACTTATACTGAAATACATGAAACTTAACTGTGCTGTTTTCACAAACCTACACACTCAATATATCACTATATAGGACATTTCCATTGCTCTAGAAAGTTCCCTAATGGGCCCTTCCCCCACCCCCAACCCCGAGAACCACATTTTTTAAAAAGATTTTGTTTATTTATGTTTAGATAGGGGAAGGGAGGGAGAAAGAGAAGAGAAACGTCTATGTGTGATGGCCTCTAGCATGCCCCCAACTGGGGACTTGACCCGAAGCCCAGGCATGTGCCCTGACTGGGAATCGAACCAGTGACCCTTTGGTTCACTGGTCAGTGCACGATCCACTGAGCTCCAGCCAGGGCAAGAACCACATTTTTAAAAACCTAAGATAGTTTTCCCTCTGCCTTTTCAAAATATGTTGATTTATTTTGTATATATACTAAGGTCATACACAAATATGTATGCATCCAGTATAAGTTCTTTATTTAGAAATTATGCAAATGAACCCATTATAGATTGTTAGTACAATTTAATTTCTTTCATCTCCTTCCTTCCTCTCTTCCTCTCTTCCTCTTACCCCCTTTGTTCCTTCCTTTCTTTTTCTTTCTCTCTTTAATAGATTGGTATTTTTATTCAACATCTACCCCAGCAAAGTGTCTCAGTTACTGGGTGTGGGCACCCCTCATGGAGACTACTTTTAACAGTACTCACTTGAGGAGACCTAAAGACACAGAAAGACTATACTTTATCCCGATATGCTGATTCTTCCAATAATTATAATAAATTGTGTGCTAAATTTGGGTTAGTTACTATAGTAGATTCTTCACTTCTGCACCAGCATTGTAGCATAGGAACCAGACTTCGTCTGGTGTGGATGTGGGGTAATTTCATGAGTCCGCATGGTGATTTCCCCTCATTTCTGTGCTTAGTCAGTGTGGTAACATTAGAGTGCTGAGACTGGTGGAGAAGGCGGCCCAGGGGAGAAGCTGGTGGGAGGCAGTGCGTTATAGCGAGAATGGCAGGGGGCTGGGAAGTGGGAGACTTTGGGGTTGCCTGTCCTTGTCTGGTTTTGTGTCTTAGTCTTTGCTTCCTGTGCTACAGCTTTTGTTGGATAAAATATTACCCCAAATAGGCACATCCTATAAAATATATACACTGGAAACTGAGTTTATGTGAAGGAGCTACTTGCAACCTATCAAGTGCATTCTTGGGTAATGTATGATGTGACGTATAAAGGAATATATGGTATGTAAAGTAAAGGAGTGACTTTCGTGACCCAGTGTATGCATGTTTAATTTCATAAAAAACCTTTTATATTTTACATTGCCTTTTTTTGGGCTTTGGGAGAGCTGGAAATACATTTGTTACAGAACCCAAATTCTATTTATGTAAAAAAAATATCTGTTATGAAAATTTTTTTAGGGTGTGGTTGGAAGCTGAGAAATGCAGGCATTGACCTGAATAGGCCTTATATGTTCTGGGTTTAATTTTCTCATTTTTTGAAGGGTCTTTGCTTTTTGTTAGTGAGAGAATGCAAATATTAAAATAAAATCTCCCCACTGTTGTCCATGCTATCCATTATTCTGATTTTACAGTATTGCATGTTACTTCTCCCCATGTGGTTAGTGCTGATAATTCTGCTGCTATAAAACCAGAAATGTTGAACAGATATGAAAGCACAATTGAATTATTCTTTTCATTGCCCTCTCTCCTCCCTAGAAATTTGAAATAAGTCCCAGAACACTGATAATTAACATAGAGGGTGTTTTTTTTTAGGGTGTAATTTGGCTACAGTCTGCATAGGTAAGGAGGCAGGTAAATGATTGGTTCAGTTAGAGAAGTATATTCAGTGTTTCAGTAAAACAGATGTTCAAATGATCGTGTCACTGGTTTCCTCCAACGTCTCCATCTCAAATCCCACCACGATGAAACTCGCGAGGACGCTTCTGGTTGATGCCTGTGAACTGTTTTGTGACACCTCACGCGGCATCACAGTGTCGTAAAGATGAAATACCTGTCTCACTGGACTGCTGCTATACCCGATTGTTTTGGTTTTACTTACCTTGTTCCCAGAGACTGCCAGCAAAAATAATAGAGTAGTTGGGCATTTGGCTTTAAGAGTAGTGACCCGCATTAGTCCTGGCAAAGTATGTAGGCCCAATGGTCCCATGTTTTGTAAACATTTCCCTTGATTTCAGCAGTCCAGTCACTGAAAAGTATGAAGTCAGGTGAGCGTATGTGGCAGGAACATGTTATATTTCAACACTTCTAGGTAACTAGTAAGATGATGGGCTATTGATGTGCCTTTGATTAGTCATCTAGGAGCTGGGTGTTTTGTAGAGATAGAAAAGTTATAACTCAGGGTCTCTGGGAACAAAAGAATTATTTTAAAAAACAAGATGCAGTTTTCCTATTCTACAGTGCATATTGTGCTTTCCTTATTATTTGATATTGGTCCAAACTATGTTATCTGAAGGTCGGAGGAGGGAAATTTAAATCTTGATAGTTGGTTTGAAGGAACACAGTAAATGGATCAGGAAATACTGTCAGTGAGTGAAAGAAGGAATCAGAGGGGTTGCCTCAGCGTCCCTGGCACCTAATGTGCATGCCTCTTGCCTGTTTTCTAGTTGAGGAGCAATACTTCTTCGTCCCAAATAATTGTGTTTATCAGTGTGGTTTTCGTGTTTCACATACATTGCTGACATGAGGATGAAGGGGCTGATGTTGTTCTCTTGCCCGCTTAGAGTAGAAATGAGCTGGCGGAAGCCCAGCCTAGGTCTCTGTTCCTGTTAGTTTGCCAAGAAAATGTTAGTTTGTTATGTTTATGACCCCCGTTAATGGGGATAATTGAATTTGGACTGTGGTGTGAATGTTTTGCCTACGTCTAATTAATGTTCTATTACCTGCATCATAGACAGTGAACTTCAGCAAGTGACATGGGTGATATGTTCAAATTATGTCATGTTTGCATTTCTGATTATCAGTGGCTACAGTGTGTTACAGACATTTTTGAAATTGCGTCGTTTGTCGGTTGTAAGTGAACTTTTGTCGTACTTGCCTTGTTTTTTCTTTGCGCTGTCATTACCCTGGGTTTCGATGGTACAGGTTTACAAAGCATGATTGTTTGTATTTACTTCCGACTCAGAGGATAAAGATGTCCAGCCCGTTTTCTCAATCTGCATGCCCTCCTCAGGAGATACAGACACTTTTGCAGATTTCATAGTATTTTTATGTGGTTTGATGATACTTTATATTACAGGGCAGACTATGATAAAACCTGTGGTTATATATAACTTGATTATTTCTGTGAACATTCTCTAACTCTCAAAAGTGTGAGACGAGCAAAGGTGTGTATGAGAAATAGGTCCTGGAGATATAATGTACATAAATAAATAAAAAAAAAACCTGTTGGGATATTCCCAGTTAAAAAATAATTATAAGATGTCAGTAATCAACAGAACAGTGTTTTTTTTTTTTTCTGATCTGTTCCTGAAGTCAATATCTGCTGCACCGACATCATGGTATTTGCTGGCCTGCGTGCCCAGCAGGCTTGCGGATGCTTGAGTGCCTGGCTGCTGGCTGCTGGCTCCTACACCGCCCAGGTTGCTTACAGCACTGGGGATTCTTGCGGGTCATTTTGCATTTCCTATGACAATGTGGTTTGGCCTCCAAAGACTTGAGCTGTCTCCTAGTTTTTCTAGCCAGCTGCCCTTTTTCTGAAAACTTTTTCTGTCTGCCGTCTGATGTCAGGGTACCAGGCGAGTTCAGACAGTTCATTTTATTTCCCTGCCTTAGACTAGCAGCTCGCAGAGTGCTAGGATGCCAAGGATGCGAACACACTTTCTACGGAAAAGCAGTGGCCGAAATTCTAAGCTCTAATGATGTTCCTTTTGTGATAGTCATACCACACCGGGAGCTGTATTTCAAGCTCCTCCTCTGTCACTTTGGTCAGGGAATCGAACAGTTATTTTTAGCATCATCGTCATTATTATTGCATCATTATAATTCATAGTGTATACTTATTTATTTTGTATTGTAATTAACTATATATTTTTTATTTTAAAAGGGGCTTTTGAATGATCATCATATATTACATTACCTCTGTATTTTGAATATGCTAGAATATTTATAACAAATTCCAAAAAAGTTTTGTCATGATATATGAAGTGTCTGCTTGTTTTTCACGTCTGTGTAGAAGGTCTTCCGACTGAAGATATACAACATATCCTGGAGAAGGTATCATCAGAATGGAAGAATATATCTCAGCGTTTGGAAGATCTGGCAAGGAAGACTCAGCTCCAGGAAGATATAAACACTTACTTCAAGCAACTCGATGCACTCGAAAAGACCGTAAAGACAAAGGAGGAGTGGGTGAAACATGCTCCTCCTTCAGAATCTCCCCAGCAGTCCTTGCTGAGTGTGAAGGTAAAGAGCCAGCCATCTGGCACGTGAAAGAATTCTACGCCCAGTCCTGTATTTAGAAAGATGCTCCTCGTGTCATGGACGTTAGGTTAATTCTGCTCTGATTGACTCTGTTTGAGGACGTTCATCTTCAGTGAGTAATATGACCACATTTTCTCTTCACAGCGGGAACTGGCAAATCTCCTTGGCCTGCACCCCAAAATCAAAATGGTGCGTGCCAGCTGCGCAGCCCTGAAGGCCAGGCGTTCTGCTCCAGAGTTTGTCCAGCAGGGTTTTGATCTGCTTCTGGGCCGCTACCAGTCTGTGCAACAGGATTTAGAGGATCGTCAGCAGCAGCTGGAGAACGGTAAACATAAACGCACTGTGTCGTCTATCGCCTCCCCGGTTGCCTTCACTGAAAAACTACTCCCTGTATTGAGACCTGTAGTACGTCTGCTTGTTTCGAAGCAGACTCGCTCTGTTGTCCTCTGTGCCTGCCCCTGTTCTAGGTCCGAAAGTGTAGTCCGACTGTTTCCCAGATCTGTGATTGGTTGTTAAAGTGTAAACAGCTTTCCCAGGCTGTAAAAGTGTGTTAATAGGATATAATGATTTTTAAGGCTGTTTTAAAAGGGTGCTGTGTCTCCCTTTCCTTGTAGGAGGCCAGGCAGTATTATTTCTAAGGGCGAAAAAGAACGGTAAGTTACTTCAGTTTGCTCAGGAAGGTTCACGTTTTAACAATACCATCCTCTCTTTTCAAAGAAATCCTGTCCCTGTTTAGAAGTCTGAACAATTTTAAAGAGTTTTTACTTTTGGAATAAATCTGGTTTTGAAAAGTTGACTTAAAAATTTTGAGAACTCATCCTTCAGCTGTTATGTATTGTTTTCTCCTAGGCTGTTGTTTAACTCAGGAGTTGTGTTGTGTTAGGTAATGTTATAGGTAGGGCACGTGAAAGAGCTGTACATTGAACTACAGCCTTACCTGCAGTAGTTGTAGAGTAGATAACGGCAAGCAAATCTGTCACGTGGCCTTTCTTCTGGGAAGGCCTCTGGACACCATACTCTTTGTTTGTTGAATTCCTTTAACCTAGAGTGTGAAATATTTGAAAGTACCTCTTTTGCGATTTACTGTTAACAAAATATGCTTTCATTTTTGACAAGAATCAGTTGGCAATTGAAATATTTCATTTCTTGAAAAATGCCATTTATTTTTCATTTTTAATCATGGTAAAACACATATGGCATCAGTGCTACCACTTTAACCATTTTAAGTGTCCAGGGCGGTCGTGTTCAGTGTACTCGCGTTCTTGTGCCACCGCTCTCCAGAGCTCTCTTTATGGTGTAAAACTGCAGCTACACGCATTAAACCAGAGTTCTCCATTGCTCCTTCCGGATAGCCCCTGGCAACCACCCTCCTCCTTTCTGTTTCAGTGGGTTTGACTGCTCTAGATTACTCGTAAGTGGAATCGTCCAGTGTTTGCTTTCTTGTGACTGGCTTATATCACTTAGTATAAGATTCTCTGAGTTCATCTATGTTGTAGCATGTGTTAGGGTTCCCTTCCTTTTTAAGGCTGAGTGATATTCCGTCATGTGTATACACCACATTTTTGTGTATCCACTTATTTGTCGATGGGCATTGGGGTTGTTCCACCTGTTGCCTGTTGTGCATAATGCTGCTAGTTTTTAACTCAGGACACTAGTCTGTTTCATCACTTCATGCTTCAAATAAGCTTACTTCCTTTCCACGCAAGTGTTGCGTGTCTGTGGTTTTTACACTGGGGGGTGAAGTAGACTTCGTTCCAGTTGGCTTTTGCAGTCATTTCTTCAAGCGCCGGTGACAGCCTGGCTGTGGGGTTCTGATAAATGTCCACCGCCCTGTGGATGGCAGTTCCTCTGCTGCTCAAGCTTAGAGGAAGACTGGCTGAAGGGGTCTTTGTTTTCTCCTATTCTTTCTGTGGCTACCAGGGAAAAAGAGATTGTGTGAGATGAGAGGAACATTGTAGTGCCATCTTCAGAGAGGCATTCCATCATGACAAAATGAAGACAAATGACAGTGGGTTAGTTAATATTTCAAACATCGACGTCCGCAGGAATGATGTCACTGTCTGACGCTCGCAGATGCCGGTGGAATGACTTCAGTGACTCACAGAGACCCTTTTAAGTTTTAATCATGGCATCTAAGTTCTCATGTATTTGAATTCACTTATTATATAAGGAAGATTAATGGTCTGTATAATAATATTAGGTTCTTAGTACTGTTTTCTCAAACCAAGTGTTTTTAAATCACCAGAAATGAAGAGCCAGCCCGGGCATGCATATTTGGAAACACTGAAAACACTACAAGATATGCTAAATGATTCAGAAAGTAAGGCCCAGATGTCTTTGGATGTCTTGAATGACCTTGCAAAGGTGGAGAAGGCCCTGCAAGGAAAAAAGGTGACATATATTTTAGCTCTTGGAAATCTAGAATCATTTCTAATACAGGTCATATTTTGAAATATTTTTTCAACCATTTAAAAAATATTAATCACTTTTGGTCATAACTGGTCAAAAATGTCTTACAGTTTGGAGATTAGTTACTATAATGTAGCACTTTAGCTAGAAGAAAAGATAGTTATATTAAATGTTTTAATGGGACGAAACCCATGTTTTTCTCCTGTGGTAATGAACTTAAAATTCTCAACCTGCTTATAATCTAAAATATCTTTAATAAAATGAACAGTGTCAGTTGAATCGATGGGTTGTCCTTTTCCACTGTTGAATAAAAGTACTTCCCTGGTCACTTAAGATACACGGCTCTGAGCCGTCTCACCAGCTACAACAGATCCACCCGTGAGCCCCGCACACGCGGCCCTCACCAGGCGAGCGGTTACAGAGGTCTTTAGTGTCGAGGATGTGTATTATGCACGGCCCACGTGCAACTCATGCAGGGAAAACTTTAATGTTTTTGATTGTGCTTGTTTTTTTTAAATGAGTTTTGCACAGTTTTTTGATCAAATGCATTGTAAAAGTTTACTTTTTCACAGCGCATGTTATTACTTCTGTACAGGCAAATGGTTGTGCATACTGTTAATGTCTTAAAATTTTTTCCAGGCCCTTGATGAAATCCTTGAGAGCCAAAGACCTATGTTACATAAACTTGCAGAAGAAACAAAGGCTTTAGAGAAAAGCGTTTCTCCAGACGTAGAAAAAATGTACAATCAAGAATTTAACGATATTCAAGGGAAGTGGAACAAAGTCAAGGCCAAGGTTTCCAAAGACCTGCATTTGCTTGAAGAGATTATCCCCAAACTGAGAACGTTTGAGGTAAATGCAGAGGCGGTTAGGAGTTTATTACAGGGTAAAATAGTGTAGTCATTATCATGTAAGATTCAAATATCTATTATGTGAGTATTCTGCATTTTTTCTAGTCCTACATTTATTATGTACTTACGTTGGGATTTATAACTTGCTTACCAAAGATATACTAGAGAGCACAAAGGTAAAAGAAAATTGCTTAAAATGGCCAAAATAATGTTCTGGGGCTGCAGACCCCCCTGATCTGCAGGCCGGTGACTAGATCGTAGTGGTAACGCAGAGTGGTGCACGTGGCCCAGGTAGTAGCAGAGAGGTGAGTCACTGAGGCTGGTCTTTTTTTTTTTTTTTTTTTAAAGAATTTAGACAATTGAAGTTGAAAAATCTGAAGTAGACCCTCAACAGACAGTGTCAGTTTGGAAAAGCAGGTACTTGGAGGTTCACAAAAACTCAGAAACAGGACCTTTATCTGAGAATGGTATAGGTGAAGAAGCAATAGTAAAGCTCCAGAAGAAAGGGTAAAGGTAAAGACATAAATAAGGAGAAAGCGGTAAGAGTCAGTGTCAGGTGAGACAGCCAGAACGCTAACACTTGACCTGCGAGGAAGTCAGAGAAGTGGCGTTTCCAGATCACCTGGCTTTGCAATAGGAAGGGTCTGGAGGATGAGTGACCCCCTCACACCCCCTCCCTGCAGGCTGCCTGTCCTCCCACAGCCTCCTTACCTCGGTCTTTTGGGTTTGTTTTTATGCACCTATGTATCTGAAGATGCACTTCTGAAGCAGCCTGGCACAGAGAGGCCACTCCATAAATATTTCTCAGTGACCGAAATGGGACCAGTACTAGGTTTGGATAGGGAAATTTATGTGTTGTGATCTCAAGAGAACATGTATAAGAGATTGTGTATATGCAGGGTATTTGGATTTAGGTCCCAAGAGAATTTGTGTTAAAGATATTGCTAAAAAAAGTGATAAGATTGCAAATAAAAAATGATTGCAAATGATGTTTTAAAAATTAAAATCAGAGGACATGCGGTGGAAGAGGGAGGGGTAGGCTGCCCAGATGAGTGTGAAAGGATCCAGAAGGATGAACAGCAGTGGTGGCCGCTGGGCTTGGAGGGAAGCTCTTTGGCCCAGGAACCACTGGACAGGCCCCGTCAGTGACCGGGAGGAGGTGAGATGGCCGGAGGGGGGGGTGGGTGTGTGTGTGTGTGTGTGTGTGTGTGTGTGTGCGTGGTGGTGGAAGGAGGTGGTTTTCTCTAAGTGTGCATTGCAACTCTATCCTGAGTTCTCATTAGAATAAACCATTAATGTTGAAGGGAGGTGTATTGTACGTAGTTTAATTGTTTTGACTCATTTAAGATTGTGAGTGGATCCACTTCCCTTGGTCTGTGTTTGGTTCTACTTCATTCCAACTTTACAAACCAGAATTACCCTTACTTGTGGTTCTAAAATGTTGGGTTAGCACCCAAGCATTGGATTATCTGTGGTTCTCCGCCAGGGGTGATTTTGTACCCCCAGGTTACATTTATTACTGTTTGGAGACATTTTTGTTTGTCACACTGTGGGGGTAGGGAGGGTGCTTTGGGGACCCGGGTGGCAGGTAACATCCTACAGTGCATAGAGCAGCCCATGACAATAATTTGGGGGGCCCAAAATGTCAATAGTGCCAAGGTTGAACAATGCCAGATTAAATCTTTTCCATTTTTTCAAAATATCATTGCTTTGTTTTCAAGTTTAAATCTGAGATGTAGTTAGGGAAATTTACAGGTGAAGATTAACCCAGAGATTAATCCAAAGGTTAATCTCCTTTCAATGCTTAAAAGTGTGTAATAGGGTTAGCTACCTGTGTGCCAATATGTTAATGTGGAATTTAAAGATAATAAGTGTTCTTCAAAACACAAAAGAGAGTCCTGTGGTTATGGTAATCCGGCTTTAGGCTTTAGTGAGTCGTTAGTAATGTAGCAAATTCAGGTCCTAAGACTGGCCAGTTTGAGTGTGTGCCAAATTTATTTCCATTAGAAATATTCCACGTCAAACACATTCATCAGATAGATTTTCTTTACTGTTATCGAGGTAGGTAGCAGATTTGTAACATCCAGTTATTTCTAGTTTACTTTTTGTGTCCTGACTACAAGATTGTTGACAGTGTCTGTATTCTTTCATTGCCCAGTGGTTTTTTTTTTAATTGAAATATGCACTTTTAAATTCTAAAGAACACTTTTACTTCTTTATTTGCTTTGAATAAATTGGTTGTTACTTAACTACTTACTGTTCACTTAGGAAAGCTTTTAATTCTCCCCTCCAAAGATAATTACAATCAATAGTCATGTTGAGGTTAGCCTTCTTTTCCCTCTTTTAATTCCCTGATTTACAGTCTTTTAGGCATTTTAGTTCTGTTTGTCTTAAAGCAATGAGGCACAGTAGGTTTTTGATTGAATTCCAATTTATGATGAGTTTTCTAAGGAACAGAGAGGGTGACTTGTTTCTTTTTAAAATGCGTTATATAACCAATTATACAGGCAGTAGATGAGCAGAGCTCTCTGGGGAACTTGAGCTCCTATCGGGAGGGAGTGTTTAGAGCAGGCACTGAGCGTGCCCTGTCGTCCCCGGCGCCACCGGTGCCTGTCCTGGCGGCAGTGCACATTAACCGTGACTCCTCCTGGAGGTTAACATATTCAAAGTAAAAAAAAGTTTATGAATATCACTAATTCTAATCGCTCTTCTCCCACACTGATAGAAGTAAATGATATTGGGACATCACGAGGGGCATTTAAATAGACATCATCCAATGCATGAGCATGGAGCATGCATTTACATTCCTCAGAATAAGGATACCTTTCCCTGGCGCAGCACGGTTAAACTTTGACGGTGTTTTTGTAGCTTTGGCTCACTGTCTCCACCGTCCTACAATCCGCGTAAGGCATCACATTGTTGGGTGTGTGTGGATTTTAGTTTTCTGTTATCTGTCAGTGAAGAGCGTTTTCCTCAGGCGCCTGCATTTCCTTTGTCTGCATGGCTGGCTTCTTTTGCACAGTGTTATGGCCAAATGTGTTCTTAAATTTAAGAGAAAAATCTATTCCATGCCAAAGTAATGACCTCAGTTCCTATCATTAACAATTAAAATGTTAATTGGTACACTTAAAATTACCTCATGGAAAGTCCTCCCACTCCTTCCAGGCACCAAAACGTCTAAAAAAATACATGAAAAAGGTAATTTTAAAAAAATTATTGATTTTACTGACAAGATTTTCTTATGAATTATGGGGATTAAACATGATGAACTCCTATCCCCAGCAATAATACCTTGGATTCAGGGGCTGAAAGATATTTCTTATTACTTCCTTTCTGCTTTTCAAGACCTCCTGCACTGAGGGTTAACTGCAGCATGACCAGACCATCCCCAAGGCCCACACAAAACTTGGCCTTAAATTCACCACCTCTGTGGCCTCTTGGGACCCCTCCTCCAGCCCCGCCCAGCTGTGCTCATACTGTCACGTGACCTCTGCCCTGACCGTCTCCTTACCCTCGAAATCAGGCCTGCTGCTTCTGATCTCTCCCCTCTTGAACTCACCATCCCCGTGGTGTGAGAGCTATACTTCTGGAAAGTATTCTGTTGTCTTTGCCATGGTCATACGAAACGTTTTCCCAACTAGCTCTGAGCTCCTGCCTCTTCCTTGCCCCCAAAGCCCACCTCATTTGCCCCTGTGAGCTGAGTTGGGTGGGGAGACAGTGCTAGGCACCGAGACCACACTGGACCATTGCTTTTCTCAGGAAATGTCACCAGCTTGCTAGAAATTTACATCCCCCTCTGCTCATGCTCGCTGTTTATGTATGTATGTATATATGCATATATGTATTTATTTAAAGTACTTTATTTCTTTTTAGAGAGGGGAAAGGGAGAGAGGGGGGAAGGGAGGGAGAGGGAAAAGGAAATGCCGATGTGAGAGAGAAACATCAGTCAGTTGCCTCCTATATGCTGCCCAACTGGGGGCCGAACCCACAACCCAGGTATGCTCCCTGACTGGGAATTGAACCAGTGACCTTTTGCTTTGCAGGCAAAGCCCAACCCACTGGGCCACACTGGTCAGGGCCATGTTCATCCTTTAAGAGTAAGCTTCTTCTACAGGCAGTCTTCAGCCTTGCTTGCCACCCCACCCGCGGCTGCCTCCCCTCCCCTCCCCTGCGATTCTGCACCCTCACACTAAGACCGTCTCAGGCCAGCCTTTATTATGGCTGCACCTGCTAGTCTCCCCTCCCCCAGCGCATGGGGAGGTTAGGAACCTTGTCAGGCCTACAGCAAGGACGCAGGTGTGAATGTAAGTACTTTGGAGGTACCTTCAGACGTCTTAGGACCCTATTGTACCATCTCCGTTGGGGTTGGATCTCTAAAACCTAAATGCTTCATTCTCTCACTGGCTGGACCCCTCTGCAGTCACACTCCTTTCCTCACACATCATGGAACAGACTGCGCGCTGTGCTCTGACCCTGAGTGAGGAAGGGCGTGTGCTGGGACATGCAGAACCTGCTTTCGAAATTACTTGGGAAGTCACTTTAGGGTAAAGCACACAATGGAAGGTACTTTCTAAGAGGGATATGCCCTATGGCAGTGTGGCTGATTTAACTCCTTCCAGGTAACAGATAATTGATATGATTATCTTCTAAGGTTTTTTTTTCCTCATTCTGAATACATTTTACTTCACTGAAGGGAGTGTTGATGCATTCTCAGCCCGAGATTTAAGATCCCTGCTAGTTTCAGATGAGGACATGTAGCAGCAATGCTGTTGCTGGTCTTCCTTTCTAAATTAGGTAACACTGTTTCAAAGAGCATTCTTGAGGTTAATGAGCATCATAAAGCCAAACAAAATAGAAACCCTAATACCTTATTACTGTTTGAATTCTGGTTTCTCAATTTGTTTTGCCTGTGTCCTGGTTTAGAAACGTACTGCTTCAAAAGCTGTGGGCATTCCAGTGGAGCAGGGGAGGAACAAAGCAAAGTGCCAAGAATTTAGCTGTAAACAAAGACTCAGGGGGTAGTTGTGTGCCTTGGGGTCTTACTGCCTGAAATCCAGCCTGGCCAAGCTTCCGATTTCAGCCACCCTCAGCTCAGGGGCTGCTCTGGGGGAGGGGCTGTGGCGGGGTGAAGGAATTGTTTCAGTGACCTCAGCAGCAGGTGTCACCCGCCCCAGTGCCGCAGACCGGCGCTTCTGAGCAGCAGCGCTCAGTGTAGAGTTTGGGCCCTACTAGTCTGCAATATCTGCTACTTTGCTTTTCAGAACTATCGTGGTGATCGTTTTATGTTTGAGGATTTGTGAGTATTGCTTACAGTTTGCCTTTTTTATTATAGTATTTAAAATTTTTTCAATTACAGTTCACATTCAACATTATTCTGTATTTAGTGTCAGGTGAACAGCATAGTGGTTAGACGATCATGTGCTTTACAGAGTGATCCCCTCAGTATTTCAAGCACCCACCTGGCCCCATCCATAGTTACTGCAACATTATTGACTATATACCCTGTGCTGTAATTTACATCCTTGTGACCCTTCTGTAACAACCAATTGGTACTTCTTAATCTCTTTACCTTTTTCATCCTGTCCCTCAATCCCCTCCCCTCTGGCAACCATCAGTCTGTTCTCCGTGTCTGAGTCTGTTTCTGTTTTGTTTGCTTGTTTGCTTTGTTCTTTAGACTCCACAGATAAGTGAAGTCACGGGCTATTTGTCTTTTTTTCCCTGATTTATCCCGCATAGCATAATAGCCTGTAGGTCCATCCATGCGGCCGCAAAAGGTAAGGTTTCATTCTTTCTTATGAATGAATACCTTGTGTATATGTACCACACTTCTTTTTATCCACACCTGTACTGATGGGCACTTGGGTTGCTTCCATATTTGGCTATTATAAATAATGCAGTTTACATATTTTTTTTGCATGTGAAATAATGACATTTACTTTAGAAATTTACTAATAAATTTTCAAAAGACTGAGGTCTCCCAGAGAAGACAGAATATTAGAATTTACCTAATTTAATATATATGTTCATATATTCATTGATTCAATGAATATCTTCATATTCTGCAAGTGGATGGAGGTGCAGAAAACGTTAAATAGGAGCTCACAGTGCATCAGTCAGCCCAGTGATTTTCAGCTGGGCAGAGAAACACTGCCGTGACTGCTTTCACTTTCTCGGCAACCTCTTTGCTGTGTGACAGAGTGGAAGATGAACGAACAAACTTGTGCTATTTTTGAATCACGGGAAACAGTATTACAAGGGGATTGACACAACGTTTTCCTCCCAAGGAAGGTGGAGACACTGGAGGGGAGCAGAGCTCCCCATTTCCCCATTTCCTGTCCCCACCCACCCCGCCTGGTGTGGCCGCAGGGGCAGGTGTGTGAAGCTGCCTCCAGGTTTGGGTTGGCGTTCCCTCCTTTATTGTACTTGTTTCCCTCCAGCTGAGCTGGATTCTGTCAGTTCCAGTTAAGAGATGTCCTAAGTAGCAGCTCCTCTAACAGTTATTTTGAAATCAGTCACTTTTGAACAGTTTTAGGGTAGAATAGGCATGAATGCTGGCAGCATTAACACTCATATGCAAACATGTACTGAGCCTTGCTTATTCCTGCGGAGTCTCTGATGGGAGTGAACACCTGAGTTTGGAAGTGGTAACTCTTTAATGGAGGTGATCGTGGTCACAAAGCACTTGGTTTTATAGACCTTTGTATTAATAGCTACCATTTGCTGCACACCAGCTCTGTACCAGGCCCTGTTCCAACATTATCTCTGTTTTTCAGAACAATCAGGCAAAGTATTTGTCATTTTTCTTCTGCTGTAGATGAGCCTCTGAGGCTCGGAAGAGAAATTAGTTTCTCTCGGCCTCACGGCTGGGAAAGTGCTGAGCTTGGAATTCAGACCTCAGTGTTTGTCTTCCTGGGGGCGCACGGCGTCTCCTACAAGTCAGCCCGGTCAGGATTACGTGCAGGATTGTTCGTAGTGAAAACAGCTTTTCAGATGCTGAAGTGTGAGAAAGAAGGCACAGGTGTTTGTGACCTGGGCGTGCTCACGTGGGTCTGCGTGTGTGAGAGACGGAGGAAGGAGGGGGGTCGGTGCTGGGAAACGCCCTCTCGTGCCCACGGCTGGGATCCTCGAGGCCACTTGCTCTGGTCAAGGCTGACTGTGACTGAAACTTCCTTGGAACAAAATGCTTCCTTACCAAGGTCAAAAGCGCTTGGCCTCAGAGACTCTCAGTTTTCTTATTCGAAACTAGATTTAATGGATTGCCAGTTATGTCGCTGTAACGCTGCCTCAAATTCTTAAAAAGTTCAGAATGGGAATTAGCAGCCCACCAAGGGGCAACAACTTATTTGGGCAGCGTCCTTCTAAGGGTGTTTGCAAACTTTCTCTCTTCTTACACACTTGCGTGTTTGCACACCGTACCTGACCTTGCCCCGACCATGTCTTTCTAATCAGTCTTCTGTGGTGAGGTCTTAGAATGCTGGAGCAAACAGAAGGAAGATGTGTTAGCAGTTAAAGTGACAGGGAAGAGAGAGTGTAGCGTGGGCCTGTGAGGACAGGGCGGGCAGGGGAAAGAAGGGAGGGGAGGGAACTTGTGGGAAGTGCACTATGGGACTAAGGGCTTTCAACGCTGTGGGTGGACTGAGGAGGAGGTATAATACTAACAGAGACAGAAAAGCCTCACCTTGTCGGCACTTTCTGCTTTCCATCCTCCTCAGAGAATGGCCCTGCAAACTAGAAAGTGTGGAATGGTCATTACTGACAGTGCATTAGAACCTGAATTCTGAGTTAGATGGGAAAGCTCCACAGATCTTTCAGATGGGGCTGAATCTATTTCCCCAGGCACATGCTGGGGATTCTACCCATGATCTTGAGGTTACACTGTGCATCTTGTGAGAAATTACCAGGAAAATGGAGATTGGTGAGTGTCTTAATGGAGGGGGAACGTTATTTTTTTAGAAGCTAAAGACCTGAAGCAAGATGTATGTCCATTCTTGGCTGCAGATGAATGACCAGAGGTCTTCTGTGTGATAGGAAAGAATGTGTGGTCGCCAGGAATCAGCGTGGCTGCCACTAATAAGCCTTGCCCACGCTCATTTCCTTTAAGTACTGCTTTCCTGTACTTATTTTTTGGAGGAGGGATATTAGATTATTAGAATCACAGATTCGTGGACTCACTGAACTAAAATATTTGCTCATTTAGTTCAAATAATGCCACAAACCATCATTTTGGGCAAGCCACGATCTCAGTAAAGTATATGAGAAAATCTCTTCTGACCTTGCAGGAGAAAGATTGAAAGCCAGTTGGATGTGCTAGTATTAGGTCGATTCCCATATTTTGAAAACTAAGCCAAAAATTTGTTGATTGATGAATGCTATGGTGTCCTCCTGGGGGAATGCTCAGATAGGCACTGCCCTTGTCCTTGTTTTTCACCCAAGAAAACCCCAGCTCCTTCCCTGGAACTCAGTAGAACAGGAATGCTGCACTCCAGATTTGTGCGTGAGAGCGAGCTGGGAGGTTAGCTGATATGAAAGTGGAGAGACTAAAACTTCAAATCATTTTGTGAATTCACAAGACAAATTTTGTTATTTCAAAACATCAGCTCCTGAATTTATGACAGAAGCCAATGAAGCAATATGAGATGGGGAAATGTAATTTCGAGGAAGTCCTGGGAATTCTGGAGTTTCAGCTAACCACACTGTTATGAATAATGTGTCTATAAACAGTCAAGTAAAAAGCAAAAGAAAGAAAACATCCCTGCGATAGGAAAAATAAAACAATTTCAGATAGCATTTTATGAGTGTAATTTTCAGCACACGAAGTACCCGTGAGGTTTCATTGTTGTCATTCATTCCAGCATTACAATGATAAGGCTTCTAGTTCTGTGTGGCCTATTGTAAGGGCGTGAAAAAGTTGACCTGGTTTCCAGCATGCGTAGATCAGAGTGGTGAGTGCGGTACCCGGACATCACAGCCTACAGCCGTCGTCGTGGGAGGAGCTGGGGACGTTTAACCAATGGAAGGCCGAGGGAAGACAGGGTGGTTGCCTTCAGATCTGAAGGGGTTTTTGAACAGGATAGGAAAATCTGTCTTGATTCCTAGCGTTGAATGAGAAGCAAAGACTTGAAGACGGTACAAGGAAACAGACTCAGCTGAGTACAAGGGGAACTAGGAAGTCGGACTGGCTGATGATGGACCGGGATGCCTTGGAGAGAAACGACGGTTACTTTGCTCCAGTATTAGGCAGAGATCAAGTCAGGCCTATTTATTTGCATTCTTTAAGGGCCAGTTGCAGTGTTACTGCCTGTTGAAGTCTCTCTCTCTCTCTCTGCCCAATGTTTCCTTTCTTATGTGTTTTAGACCTCCCAGTACCATACATAGTTAGTGCGGGTGTTAGAGCATTTTGTCTGAAAGACTGTCTGTCCTAGGTTCTCTGATAACAGCATCCAAATCAGAACTAAGACCAGTGTATTTCACTCCCTTCACTGTGCTCTTCAATGATTTCTGCTCTGCAGGTAACTTTAGGAGAAATTTGTTCTAAATTATATAAGAACAGAAGATTTTTTTATCTGATTATACCAAGACAAGCATTTTTCCCGTCATTGGAATTTTTAATCATACATATTGTTACATTTAGGTTTGCTGGAGAGTGTTTTGGAAATTTTTCAAATGATCAGGAAACGGTCATCTCGTGGGGATTTTAGTTACTTCTGAAGAAAATCGTTATTTTCAAAATGGGAACATTTAAAAAAAGAAATTAAATGAAAATGATACTATCCAAGTTTTGAAAAATTGCCATTTTTTTTTCCAGCAGCAATAGATTTTGAGATGTCGTAGGTTGAAGGTCACTGAGTAATATGCCCCTTGGTTCTTGTGTTTGATTCAGGCTCATTCGAAAGTCATGGAGAGGTGGCGGGAGGGTGTGGAAGACTTCCTGATGAAGGAGCCGGCGGCCCAGGGAGACGCCGAGGGGCTGCAGAGACAGCTGGACCAGAGCTCGGTGAGTCCCAGCGACCCAGGAAGCCCGCCGCAGCGGACAGCGTGTTCTTCTTGTCTCTCATTGTTTGCTGCCGTTATTAACATTGTAAGACTAGGACCTGACAGTAAACGGAGATAAAACAGCCTTCATGATAGAGCTTGTTTGACTTCAGAGTTCATAGAAAGTGCCTGATTATTTACGTTTCCGTTTGGGCCGTGGCTGTGGGATTTTGGATAGAGAGAACCAAGAGCCTGTCGGTCATGGGGAGCTGCTCTGTCACGCTGCGTGACCGTCTTAGTGGCGTTGTTACCATGTGTGTGTTGCCCCTATTGTGCCGTGTGGTAAAGCTTAAAAAATATATTTAACAAATGAAATTCCCCAGTAATATTGCATGTAATTCATATTTGATGAATTCATTAGGCTTCTCTAAATTGCTTTAAAGTGGTATTTCCGGCTGAGGGTCAAGTATTTCTAATCTAATTTGGCAGATAGCTAGATGAAGAACCCAAGTGAAATGAATTTCATAAGGCACACTGTTTCTGAAGCAGTTAAAAGTTTTGACTCCCAAGCAGTCTGTTTTTATAATATCTGCAGGGGTAAAAGCAGACAAACTGTAATTATGGTATGTATTTCTATGGGAATGAACTCAACAAAGGCTTAATTTATGTGTGCAGGCACTTGTGAATGAAATCGAAGCAATTGAATCCTCGCTGAAAGATATGAAGGAGATAGAGACGGCCCTTCGAAGTTGTCCCGCTGCTGGCATCAAAACCTGGGTGCAGACGAAGCTTGCTGACCACCAAACCCAGGTGGAGAAACTGAGCAGGGAGGTGAGTTTCTCTGCTTTACTGTCTGTTTTCCAAGCAGTAGATTAAAGCGATGAAATTGATTATATAGCCCATGCAGTTTGGATGGCAGAGAGGGTACTGATTGTCCAGGTGGCCCCTTGGGGGGAATGCGCTTGGTGTGGTTGATAAAAACCAAGAAAGGCCCTGGAGCTGGAACTGCGTGAACAGGGGAATCAGAGGGCTGGGGAATGTGAGACTGAGGTGAGGAGGTAGTTGGGCGTGGATTGTTGGTGGCCTTGGAGGCAAAGATTTTTGCATTTTATTTCAAGGACGACTTCACACGCAGAAAGCAGTTTCAGAGTTTTGAGCAGGGAAGTGACATGGGATAGATTTTGTAAGGTCACCCTTGATTCCATCTGGATGATTTGCTCTGGCAAGGCAAGGGGTTATTGCAGTCCGGGAGAGGGAGGGTGGCTCCTTGGACGAGGGAGGGGGTGGAGGTCAGGAGAAAGGTTACGCTTGGACTGTATGTTGTAAAGAGAGATGAGAGTCTAGTAATGGATTGGGTGTGTGAGGTAAGAAAAAGTGAATAGTCGAGGACAGGTTAGGGTTTCAGCAAAACTTCCCCTTTGTGTGAGTTGCGGTGCCCTTTACTGAAGTGGTGAAGACTCGAGGAGAAGCTTTCGTGGGAGCAGGTGGCACGATGATCTCCTTCTGGGAGGGCTAAGTTATTTTGTGTGTGTTCGAGCTTAAAGAAAAGTTGGAGTAATGGTAGAGGGAGCAGCCGCGTAACGATTCCTAAATTCGACCGCTTTTAATCTTTTACCACGTTTGCTTTCCCATTTTCTCCCCTGCTCTCTTTACATATGCACACAAACACACACGCACTCTTTTTTTCTGGTGAAAGAGGCACTTTTCACCAGAAGTGCATTTGACAGAGATTTGAAAATATCATGACACTCCACCCCTAAATACTTTAGTATTCTTCTCCCCTGAATGAGGACACTCTTATGCAAAACCACCAAACCATTATCACACTTAAGAAAATATTCTATAGTACCACCTAATAAGTTAGCCAAATTCAAATTCCTCTCGGTGTGCTATATTCTGATAGTATATGCTGAGTGGGGTTTTGGGGGAAGTAAATGGGGAACACGGTTTGGGAGTGGCCATGAGGAACAAGGAGACAGATACATGTACACATGCATGTAGGTATAGGCACAGAGACTCAGATCATGTCTGTCTCCACATATATCTATGCACACACATGAGAACATAGAGTTCATTGTGAATTACCACCGATTCCAACTATGGGAATAAATGCATGGGATGTTAAATGCCCTCAACGAAGAGGCAGCCCCCCAGTCTCTTGCATTTTGCTGAGTCATAAAGAAGTTGAAGAAATTTTAGATAAAATAATGGGACCAAATCCTTATTTTGCTAAGGAAGGACAGACATATAAAAGCAATAAGAAAATAAAATCTATGCTATCTATTAATATATGCATGATCTCATGAAAGGAAGAGCGTTATAGTGACAGAAAATAGGAAATTTACAATTTCAGGGTAGTTAATTATAATTTTGAGCTTTTCATTTTTCAAAAGTTTGCCAGTGACTTTATCCTTTGCATTTCCCTATGGACCCAAGAAAATTATGTTACTAACTGGTGTCCAGGAACTACTAGTAAAGAGAATTTCCTGGAAGTGGGGCCCAAGAAACCTGTCTATGTGGGTGTTGTTTAAAGCCGACCAGATTGAACAGGTGACCAGCCAGGCCTGGGGCCAGGGCAGTGTGTATCACTGGCAGCAGGCTCCCAGAGCACTACGCTGGCTGGGAAATCAAAGCTCCCATTTGATCCCTTCCTATTTTTATGACAGTGGTCCTGTCGGAGAGGGGGGACAGGAAAGCCACGAAGTATGGCCCCTTGCTCTCCTGAGAGCCATCCGATTCCTGTCCTGGCCTTGGGTCACTGTCAGCTTCACAGCCCAGCAGCAGGCCCTGGCAAGGGGACTGCTGCTGTGAGATTGAACCTGAGCGGGAGGTGGAACCGTGACGTGAGCTTGATCTCTGCACGGTGTCTTCTCCCGTGGTGACAGTGAGCTTGTAGTTAGAGGAAGGCTCTCTCTGAAAATACTTTAGGCTCCTGTGAAATGTTTAACCAAGTTACTGAACCAGGTTCAAAACAATACCTACTTTCTAGTGTAACTTTTTTTGTGTCTCTTTAGGATATATAAATATAGTAAATGATCAAAACCAGAATTTTATGGAGTAGTGTTTTATGAACACCTTAAATAGAAACCTCTTCTTTGCTTTTAAAAGTCAAATCTTAACATAGAATCCTGTTAAAAGGAAAAAAAATGGATATTTTGGTTGTATTTAGGGTTTGTTTTTTTTTTTTGCCCGTACTCAACAATGCTACTGTAGGTTTCCTTGAAATATATGCTTTGATTGCTGTATGTTAGATTCCTTCATGTGGGATTACTTTGTCAAAAGTTACGCATTTTCAAAATTGTGAAAGATATTTCCAGATTACATTAATAACCAAAATGTGCACTAGAATCCCAGGTATGATTATTGTTTTCATTATTGCTTATCTTTCAAGTCAGCTCAGAGTGTTTATAGACTTTTATCTGAATTTTAAAATGGAAGGCTCTTTGTGGAGGTGTCGCTGTGCCCTCAGCCGTGAGAAACCTGACATTTGCTGTATTAGCATCGGTTTATTTGGGTAAATGGCTTTTCTTTCCCAGATTACTATTCAGAAAAATAGGCTGTCTGAAAGTCAGGAAAAGGTGGTGAACTTGAAGAAAGACTTGGCAGAGATGCAGGAGTGGATGACTCAGGCGGAAGAAGAATACCTGGAGAGGGATTTTGAGTACAAGTCACCGGAAGAACTCGAGAGTGCCGTGGAAGAGATGAAGGTGAGGCCGGGGCGGCCAGCGGCCACAGGCTTTATCTCTCCCTTCCTCCCTGTAGAAACCAATCAATCGATTCATCTTCTATTCAGCTGTAAAGTGTGGTTGTACAGCTAGTTGACCCTTGAACAGCACAGGGTTGAATTGCGTGGGTCCACTTCTACAAGGATTTTTTCAGTAAATACTGTAAATGTATTTCCCCTGTGGTTTTCTTAATAACATTTCATTTTCTCTAGCTTATGTATAGCATGAAAAATATGTGTTAATTGACTCTTGATGTTATCCGTAAGGCTTCTGATCAACAGTAGGCCCGTAGTAGTTAAGTTCTGGGAAAGTCAAAAGCTCTACGTGATTTCGACCACTCGTGTTGTTCAAGGGTCAACTGTGCATGTCAAGTTTCACAGTAGGATTTCAAATTTAAGAAAAAGGAAGGGTAGCCGCTATGATTTTGTAGGGAAAGGAAGTTCAGCTTGGCCCACGAGTCAAATCCACGAAGGGCCCTGAGAGGTTTCCTTATGTGAGAACTTCGGGAGCCACGGAGAACGACTCAAATTCAGTGGCATCACTCACGTGCGTTCTGTTGTGCAACCGCCACCACTGTTTCCAGAAGTTTCCAGGAAGAGTTATTTTTCACTAGAAACAAGACAGCCTTTCCAATCTGGTTGGGGTTCATCCTTATTTCATCAGATATGTTCTTCCAGTTACTCTCACACATGGGGCACACGAGAATGTAAACATTTTGCTAGTGCAGGTACACAGCAGCGGGGGCGCCGTCAAGGGGGTTGGTCTCGGTCGGGGCCACAGGATGCATTGCCTGTGAAGTTTCGTTCCTGAGTCCGTAGTCTCGAACACTGTCCTTTTTAATACAATGAGAGAACTGGGCATCATTCCCAAATTTCCAACACTGCTTCAAGTCTCCTTCAGTGTTTAGGCCAAAGGAGATACTGACTAAAGGCTATTTTTAAAAATAAGATTAAGCAACACATGTAACATTTTAGGCCAAAGTTAACTTGCTTAAAAGTGTAACCATAGCAAAAATCTGAGTGTACGTATTTTAGAAAAGGGTTCGATTTCATCCAAGGATTATTGTGTATGAATAAAAGCAAAACAACAAGGGGCTTTCATTGTAATTATGGTATTTTCCTTGAAACATATCCTTTCTTTAGTGCAGCTTTTTTTTGAAAGCTTTTAAAATATTCAGCATATAAGGTATTTTAAAGGTAGCCCATTGTGGTAAGAACCACCTTATTTCATCTTTACACCACAGGCATTGCCATTTTGGGGTTCACTGAAGTCTGTAGGCACGAGAGTTTAGAAAAATAAAATTCACACCCTTGATTGGGCAACATTCTGTTTATTTTTATTCTTCCAAACAACCATTAGGATTTTAAAAACCACTATGCTTACTTATTTTATCCAACCTAGGAAAGTTTAAAACCACTAAGCAGTAAAGAAAGCTGAAAAAGAAAATAAAAAGCTGTTTTTGGCTGGTTTTCCTGAAAGTGAGGCTTTATCCTATGTGTGGGGCCGGAGTCAGGAAAGAAGCTATTTTTAGATCAGATCTTTCTAGTATAATTTCATCCTCTTTGAAATACAGTTAATTATCAGAAGGATAGATATACCTGTGTTGCAGGAGAGAATAATATGTTTGAGTAATTTTTAAAGGATACCTCTACAATGGTGCATCTGAATTTTTGTGAACATTCATTTATTTCAGGCTGATATGCTCAGGACTCTGGTGGTCAATTAAAATGAACTCATTATCACGGGCCCAGACTCTGAAAATGCCTCATGGCCGTAAACATGACTTAGGATGCCTTAGGTTAAGTTAACATTACCTGTCAGTAAAGGGGAGAGTTCGCATAGGACTGTGTACCCTGGGGCATGTAGTGAGTTAGCATTCTTGTTTCAAAAGCACTCCCTGTAGTGATCACCTAAATAGTGTTCCAAACGGGGTAGCTGGAATCATGCAGATGTTTTAATTTCGGTTTAGTTATTTTTAAAAAGAAACAAATTGGTTAGTGAGAAAGGGAGACAGTTTTCAAGTCCATCCTTTCTCGGAACAGAGGGCGAAAGAGGATGTGCTGCAGAAGGAGGTGAGAGTGAAGATTCTTAAGGACAACATCAAGTTGTTGGCTGCAAAAGTGCCCTCTGGTGGCCAGGAGTTGACATCGGAGCTGAATGTGGTGCTGGAGAATTACCAACTTCTGTGCAACAGAATTCGAGGAAAGTGCCACACGCTGGAGGTAAGTTGTTTTCCCAGTGATGCATTTACGAGACCAAAACTCTGTAATGTACTGACTGTTTCCATACCTTGGAAAAAAAATTCCATTGTTTTCAAGTAGTGGATCATAAAAGAAAAGTAGTTCTTGTGTAATAAGTTGATCAAGTGAAGCAGGGATTTAAAAAAAAAAAAAAGAGACCAAGAGCTTCCCCAAATCAATGGAAGGTTCACAGGAAAGTCATTTAATATCTTCAGACTTTACTTTTTTAACATGTAAAGTCAAGGTTTTCATATCACAGGTGACCTGTAGGGTCTATTTCAGTCCTAAAATTCTAGAACAGTATACTGAGAACATCTCTTTTGTTTTATTTTGTCTGGTTAGTATGCAGACGTGAGTTGAGGGTCTAAAAAAAAGTTATTTAGAGTGGCATCTAAAGTTAGAGTCGCCTGAAAGAAAGCAGAACTTAAATATGCTGGCAATTTTCTGGACCATCACCCGCCTCAAGCTGTTGGGTTTAAGATGTAGATCAAGGGTGTCTAACCTGCAGCCCCCAGGCCACATGTGGCCCAGGATGGCTGTGAACGCAAAACGTTAAATTTACTTCAAATGTTACTTAGGTTTATTACTAAGTTTACACTAAGTTTTATTACTTCGATATGTACTTTTTCTGTATCAGGGATCACAAAACTTGGGACCCGCTCAATGGTTTTAAAAGATTATCAAAAGGGCCGCTGCATAATTAGGGTTATTATGTGAGGACTTTTTTGCTCATCTGTGGTGGTGGACATCTCAAAAATTATGCATGGACCTTTTTTTGTTTGTCAGTTTTCATTGGTGTCTGTGTATTGAATGTGTGGTCCAAGACAACTCTTCTTCTTCCAGGGTGGCCCAGAGACGCCAAAAGGTTGGACACCCCTGATGTAAATGAGTCCATGAGGCTTTTTAAAAAATAAAATTAAGTTCTTGCTTATTTTTTATATTAGTGTGACTTTTCTTACTGAAAAAAGTTTAGGAAGCACTTCAATTTAAATTCAGTTTAACCTCAAATAAATGGTAATATTGTGGTAAATCCTATAATGGTAAACAGCCACAACAGCAACAGTTAAACTGCCTTCACTCATTACTTGTTCGTTCTGAAACTATTTTGTGGTAAGATAAATATGGGTGATGGAGACTAGTTCATCAGGAAGCTATGGCTCAAAACCTCCCTCTTTCATATTAACATATTGTGTAAACACCTAAGGTTACTTGCGAAATTAAAATTGTGTATGTCTAATCTTAAATCCTGGTGAACGATCTTGGAATTGAACTTTACTATAGTCTTATCTATGTTTTCTTCTCTGTCATTACCACCCTTGACTTAGCTCTTTTTGTTGTTGTTTCCCTACTTATTTCTAGCCAAAATAGCAACTCATAATATGTTTACATAGTGAATGGAGTCCCCAAATTATCCCAAGCTAACAGGGGGCTACCATGCACTCTGTATCATTTCTTCAAGCTGTCTTTATGACCCAGGCATGGCAATTTGAAAAAGAGGAATGAAAGAAATATTTTGAGGGTTTGGAATTGCTGTAAGAATTACTTTTAGAAGTACTTTGGAATTAATTTGAATTACTTTGAAAGGAGAATAGGAAAAATGCAAGCAAAAAGTGACATAGGTAAAGGAGAAAAGAGAAGACCTTGATGTCTTTGAAATGGGAAACAAAAAGAAGGAAAAATAAGTTTAACAATGGAAATACTTTTAAAATTGTGTCAGAGATTACCAAGGGATATTGGGCAGAAATAGTCCAAATTTCTAAATTAGAATAAGAATGCCTTTCAATTTTATGACCTTGATCATTTTTAGATTCCTTTAAAATGTATTAAATCATGAAATATTTCAGACTCATGGAAGAGTAGAGATAATACTACTAAAACATCTGTTAGCTATAACGAATGTTAACTTTTTGTCATATTTTCCCAGATCTTGTTTTTAAAATAAAATAGATTAGTATTACAGAACCTGTTTCCTTCTTTGCCATCCCATCCCATCTCTCTCCTGAAGTAATCATTATCCAGAAGTCAGTGTATATTCTTCCCAACTGTGTTTCTATATTTTTAACATGAACACTGATGTCTCGGTTATCAGTTGCTGTGCAACAACTTCACCAAGACTTAGTGACCTGCAAAAACAACCATTAACTTTTTCTCACGATTCTGTGCTTGATTTGGCTTCGCTGGGTGGCTTCCTGCCCCCTGTCGGACATTGGCTCACTCAGGTAGCTGCATTCCCTTGGGAGCTCTGCTGGAACCTTCACGATGTCCTCTCGTCCTCTGGGGCTCCCTCCGCGTGGCCTCTCCACCGTACAGCTTCTCTCCAGTGTGGCAGCTGGCTGTTCAGAGGGCAGGAAGCAGAGGCTAGCAGCCCTTTTAAAGGCTAGGTGTGCAGTTTGACACGGAGTCATGTCTGTAGCATCCTTTTGGCCTAATCAAGTCACAAGGCCAGCCCACGTTCCAGGGGGCAGAAAGTTTCAACACTTAATGGGTGCAGGGGAAAACACTTGTGGCAATGGTTAATCCACCGCAGTTCATGCTTTGGTCATAAGTTAGTTATTCTCCTCCCACATGCAAAGTGTACTTACGCTCTCCCAGGGACTCCCAGATCTTACCCGGTATAGCATCCAGCTCGAAATCCTTGTGATCTGCGTCGGGTCTAAACACAGAGGTGGTTGCTTCAGGCAGTTTCTTCAGATGCAGGTGTTCAGGTGTGGCAGCACTCGATCTGGTGACCTGGGCACTAAAACAATACGTTACTGTACCCCAAATGCCCACATACAGCGGTGAGCCAGGCATAGGAGAGCCTCAGCTGGCACTTCATTCAAAAACACTGGGACAGTGGGTGGTAAATAGCAGGCACTGGTACAAGGAACTCTGAAATCTGGTAGGAGTAAGTCTGATCGTCTGATAGCCATTCTTTCTTTCCCATAAAAAACTGGGCTCTGTTTGCAGCTGAGTAGATGCTGCAGGCTGCTTTCTACCTGAAATTCTACTAGAAATTTGGGGGACCAGACACAACTTTTCTCTTTTTGTCTTATTTATGGTTGGCAAATTACATCCTGAGGGTCTGATCTGCTTCATGTCTCTTTCTCTATGGAATGTGACTGAACAATGGTTTGTATATTTTTAATATCTAAAGGGTTGCTAATAACAAACAACACACACACAAAATAAACAGAAAAGAATATGTGGCAGACACCAGAGGTGTCTTATAAAACTTAAAATATTTACTGTATAGACTTGTATGGGGAAATTTGCTGCCCCTGGTCCAGTAAACACAGCTCGTTTGGAAGGCTGGCTAGCATGCGCCTTCTCTTCGTGCATCTGAGACAGAACCAGCCTCTGAGGCTCCACGTCAATTTAGGCTTTCTCCTAAATCAATCAATCAACCAAATAGGCTCCGCCTCTGTGGGGAAGGGCTGTTCTTCCCATGGTTTTTTTTTTTTTAATTCTTCGTTTATTAATCTTCTCATGAAAAATCTGCATAATCACCACAGATAAAGTCACTGAAGAATCTTTACTCCTTCTGTTGACTAATCTCCAGCTCAGCCAATTTTTGCCAATTTTTGCCTGCGCCAACATTGGCCTTTGCAGTCCCCCTGACTTTCTTCATTCTGTTCTTACGTTCCTTTCTCTGTTTTCTTGAGGTCTCCTTCTTCTCATAGAGGCCATGTCTTGCAAGTCTGTCTTTGGGTTCATTTTTCTTTGCATAATTCAAGGAATCATAAAGCTTGCCAAAGCCAGTTGTCTTGCCACTACCAAAATGGGTTCTGAATCCAAACACAAAGAGGACATCTGGTGTAGTCTTATACATTTTGGCTAGTTTTTCCCGAATTTCTGTCTTGGGTACTGTTGCCTTGCCAGGGTGAAGGACATCATTGACCATTTGTTTCCGCTGAAGTAGTCTGTTGGTCATGAACTTCCTGGTCTGAATAGTCACTGTGTCGTTCATGATGGCTGCCGATCTTCATGCAGCAAGGGAGGGAAAGAGCTTCCCATGGTTTTCTCCTAGGAAGTGGGGGGTACAAATTTATCTCCTCTTCTCAATCCCCAAAAAACTCCCCATTAACGTGGGGAATAAATGATTGCCAGTAATACAGTAAGAACAGTATAAGTCCATTTGACTAAAATATGGTTCTTTGCATATACCGAGACGTTCATATGAATTTGGGAAAAAAGTTGGAAAGAGTATACAGCGAATTGTTACCTCCGTTAATTCTGAGTTGGAATAGGATGGATCCCGTGGAATTCAAATTTTCTATATAATTGTTGAAAAGTGTTGCAATTATGAGGGCTTGTACCTTTCTATTAAAAAACCAAAATAATAATATTTTCCTCTTGGTTTCTTCTACTAACTATATAATTTTTTTTGACTTTCAACCAGATCCTTGAAACGTAATTTCATGCAAAGAGTGAGGCAGCTCATTCCTCTTTGCCTCCTGTCTCCCTCCCATTGGTCTAATACGATTTAGTGAAGAATGTATTTCATTTACTTGAAATTCCAATGGCACCAGTTTCTGAATCTTCATGTATACTCCTATCTGAATGAAGTGGTTATTGATTAGAGAGAATATGTAGCCCTAGAGATACAAGCGTCTCTCAATGGCTTATTTAATTTAACTTCTTTCTTGCCTCCTGTAGGAGGTGTGGTCTTGCTGGATTGAGCTGCTGCACTATTTGGATCTTGAGACCACCTGGCTAAACACGCTGGAACAGCGGATGAGGGGCACAGAGGCCCTGCCCGAGAAGACAGAGGCTGTCAGCGAAGCCCTGGAGGTGGGCGCCTGTGGCATCCGGGGAGTTTCTTCCTGTTGTCATGAAGCCCAATGAGTGTGAAAATGAGGAACATAATGCCTGACACCAGCAAACATGTTTTCCCCCGCAGTGGTTTTCAGTGGAACTTGTGTTGCCTGCCTTTGCCTGAAATGTTTATAGAATCATATCTATTTAGATCATTGGGGACCTACTAACTCAGCCTCCTGAGGTGGTTAATTATTTGTTAATTAGTTCATTTTAGACACTGGAAAGCACTCTAGTGATTTTCCAGCTTTTTTTTTTTTTTTTAACCAGTCCCTGGATAAAACTCAGCCTTATGCTATTAGGGCAGATAACATATGTCCTGTTGCTCTCCTGTTTCTTCATGGAGTTATTTTTGCTCATTTGACATGGCTACGGCTGTGTTTACAATGGCTCCTGCCCTGTTGTCTGCAGACGTGGGAAGCTGGAGGACACACTGGGGAGGGAAGAACTGGAAGCGGGGGATCCTGTCCCAGGGGCTTGTCTCCAGGCCTGGACTTGAGTTCCTTGAGGGCAAGAAATGCACCTGATTTTTCTTCTTGTTACCAGCCCAGCGTGTGGTGCACGGTGACTTCATAACTGTGTCTTCAGTGGATTAAAATATGAAGAGAATAGATTTGTTTTAAAGAGAAGGGAGGAAGAGGATAGATAGGCTTTCACAATTGTAGGGCCGCTTACAGTCATCCAGTAGATGGCTGGATTGGAAGTCAGAAGTCAAATGTAGTACCTCAACTTTGGGAGCTGGATGCTCTGCGGGAGAAAGGCTGTCGCATCTTAAGTAAAATAGCAGAGTGGGAGATTAAGGGCATTAAAAAAAGGGAAAAGCTTAATTAAAAAAAATAGGTATTTTCTTAGCATGAGAATGAAAACATGTGCAGTCTACCCGAGGGGAGGGTGGAGGGGATAATGGGGGGAAGAAGGGGAGGGGTCGTCAAGGGGCATGTGTAAAGGACCCATGGGCAAAGCCAGAGGGGGAAAGGATTGAGGGTGGGAGGTGGGGGTGGGTGGGGGAGGGTTGAGGGCAGAAATGGAGGCAACTGTACTTGAACAACCATAAAAATAAATAAATACATAAAGTTAGAAATCAATGACATAAAATAAATAAAACATGTAGTCTAGAAATGTGAAAATGAAGAAAAGTGTAAGGCAAACCCTAAGATAAACACTTTTAAACATTTTGGTGTTTTTCTTCCAATTATTATTATTAGTATTTTTTTTTAACATACATACTGGAAGGTGGTACATTATAGTGACTAGATCGAAGGCTATGAAATTGTAAGGGTTCTGGAGTCAAGTTGGAATCTGAGCTCTTCTTTCTACTGTGCATATGTAGGCAAATTATTTAACTGCTCTGAATTTAGTGTTCCCATCTGTGATATGAAGTAATACTTAACCCCGTGGCCAATTAGATTTGTGTGTATACAAAATTGTGTACATAAACCAGGGCCTAGTGCTCTGTGTGTGTGTTATGGAAAACTGAATACCTATTTTTAGTAATGCAATCAATAAGTTAGAGATAATTTTTATAGTATTATTTTCTGCTTTTGAATTTTGTATCATACCCTGAACATTTTCCCATGTAGTTAATAATTATTACAATTGTTTTATGGAGTTACTTTTATCATATATTCATACCAAGTCCTCAATTTTATATATTTTTTAATGTCATGATGGATATTTTTGCAAATTAATTATTTCTAGTCTTGTTCCTTAGGTAGATTTCTAGAAAAATGGAATTACTTGTTAAATACATGGAAATTGTCCTGGATCCTTGATACATTAGCCTCCGTAAATGCATTATATTTCCCCCCATCCCTGTCCAGTCTCTGGAGTCTGTTTTGCGGCATCCGGCAGATAATCGCACCCAGATTCGGGAGCTCGGCCAGACTCTGATTGATGGAGGGATCCTCGATGATATCATCAGTGAGAAACTGGAGGCTTTCAACAGTCGATACGAAGAGCTGAGTCACCTGGTAAGAACTGGGACGTGCATGCATGTAGATTAGGTGTTTGTGACATGGAGCTGACCTCAAGAATTTTACCCAGGGGAAAAGTGGGTAACCAATATTAATGGGGCGTTGTGGGCTTTGAAATACTAGCTGAGGAAGAGTAGACCTAACTCTTACAAGGCAGGCAGAACTTGGTGATTAAAAAACATCTATCTTTGAGATGGTTTCTACTAATGACTCTTAAATTTCTTTTAAGGATCAGATTATAGCTGTATGTAAGAATAATAACTTGTGTTATTCCAGTAAATATTAGAGCAAGCAGAATTTGACATAAGCTGTTGTTATAAAATGCTATACTATCTTAATACACATCCAGAATGAATTACAACATGAATGTTCATTTCAGTAAGTAGAGAAAGGAGACTCTTGATTTTTAGGAGTGTTGGGTGGGTGCTAGATGCTTTCAAACACATATCAAATAATAACTGTTGATGTTTAGGTTATCAATAGAATCAAGCTTAATTCAGAAGTGCAGCAAATAGTGGTTTAACACATATGAACATCTGTGAAATTGGTTTAGACCTTGGAAAAAAAGATTTATATGTTCATTCTACTTATAGAAATTCTTGTTATGTTTTGTATTCATGTTGATAGGCTTATTACTGGTTCCTAAAAATGTCCTAGATTTATAATAAATGAGAAAATGACAAATTTTGTTCTCTCTTTAATAAGCAAGAAATCTTTATATTTTGTTACTGTATCTAGACAGAAGTAAAAATCAGTAATTCACTATAAGATATATAAGATACTAGAAGGACTTTTTCACTGTGACCATTGCTAGTTATTTAATTATATCACAGGACCAAGTCTTGAACTAGAGGTTCGATTTCTTGGTGCTCAGCATAGTAAGGTTTTCTTATATTCAGCTCTTTATATTTGTTCTGAGTGACTAATGATTCAATTTTATCCCCTGTGTAGGCAGAGAGCAAGCAGATTTCTTTGGAAAAGCAACTCCAGGTCCTGCGGGAAACTGACCACATGCTTCAAGTTTTGCAGGAGAGCTTAGGGGAACTGGACAAGCAGCTCACGACATACCTGACGGAGAGGGTAGATGCCTTCCAAGTTCCACAGGAAGCCCAGGTACTGCCCTAGGTTGGAGGTGTTTGAGAAGAGCATATACAATTGCCTCCTCACCTGCAAGAGAACCAGCCCCTCCTGCCATCCCAGCCGATAGTCTGTGAGGAAGGGTGACCTTGCTTATGGGGCAGCGTGTGGGTTTTGGAGTTCTCTTGGTCTCTATGTGAAGCCCTGGTAAATGGCCACCATTTTGAAATTACCGCATTCTTAGCTATGAAATTGGGAAAATTCCTTTTTTATAAATAAGTGGTAAACATTAGAAATAACAAATGCAAAGACCATAGTTTGCGCACAGCATACAGTAGCCCATATGATTGTTATCATACTGAAAACTTACTAAAGCTTGCATAGGGACCTGCCTACCCTCAGTGCTAAATGACTATATAAAGCATAAAGATATTTTCTCCTTCTAATCTCTTCATAGAAAATCCAAGCAGAGATCTCTGCCCACGAGCTAACACTAGAAGAGTTGAGAAGAAACACACGTTCCCAGCCCCCGACCTCCTCCCCAGAAGGCAGGACTGCTAGAGGAGGCAGTCAGCTGGATGTGCTGCAGGTGACAAGGCGGGGGATGTGTGGGGAGTGAAAAGAAAAGGAGGAAGGGCTGAGTACTTGGACTGGCGTCTTCTTCTTGATGTGAACAGTGAGACTGCAGTGATGCATGGCAGGCACACTGTACCCCAGAGCAGCAACAACGAACTGTTGCATGGGTGCAAAATAGCGAATCTGATTCTATAGTTGAACTGAGAAGAGATAACGAGCTAGATTAGAAGTTAGCTTTATAAATCTTTTCCCTGAATGCAGAGCTCCTGTCAGTTCTGCGGGGCTGGTAGGCGGAGCCGGCCGAGAGCCTGGGACCCAGCACCACTTAGTCCCCTAATGGTGGATGCAGGATTGGCTGTCCCTCTGAGCTCACAATGAACAGCATTTTGAGTTCTAGATTCCTGACTGTATTTGCTGAACAGGTGAGAAATTAATGACGTTTTAATTCTAGCGAGGCCGTCTCAGCTTTTTATGGTATCTAATATTGAGACACTGAGCATCAAGTAATTTATGACACAGGGTAACCTCACTGAGTGAGTTCCTTTACGGCGCTTTACGGTTTTTATTGGTGCTTTATTTTTACAGCTCTTTCTCCGTATGTGTTATACTAATACTGTCTGCTGAGAGATAATTTCATTCTGATGTGAATTGCTTATTATTTGCATTTCTAAAACAGAGGAAACTTCGAGAGGTGTCCACAAAGTTCCAGCTTTTCCAGAAGCCCGCCAACTTTGAACAGCGCATGCTTGACTGCAAGCGCGTGCTGGATGGTGTGAAAGCAGACCTCCACGTTCTGAACGTGAAGGATGTGGACCCTGATGTCATCCAGACCCACCTGGACAAGTGTATGGTGAGGCCATTGGGTGGTTAGGGGGCCCAGTGGGTTTGCCAGCAGCTCGTATGGTTTCATCTAGCATAATGTACATGATTTCTTCAATGATTATTTGTCTGTGGTATGCTAAGATCTGGGATCCACGATGAAAAATAGCTTATAAAATAAGAAATGTGGTCTTCTCCTCCAAGGAAATTAAAAGGGGTAGGAGAGATAGATAGGAGAGAGTAAAATCAATTGTTACAGTGTCATGAGATAAGGAAATGAGAAAAGGCCATATACACACACATATACATGTGTGTATACATACATACATACATACATACATATACACACATATACCTGATTAAAAAACCAAAGGGAACTCATTGTTATGAAGAATGAAGTTATAAAAGGCTTTGGAAGAATGTGACTAATAAACTAACTTTTAAAGGTTAACTTTGAGTTAGCTAGAAGAACCATGCATACTTAGAATGGATGTTAGGAGTATTACAGTGTAAAAAAAATCCTTCTTAAGGATAGTTAAATTTTAAATTTTAATTCTTAAAGTTTAAATTTAAAATATGAAAGAAGACATTATACTTAAAATATATGTCAGAAATATTATTGCAGAAAAAATCATTCTCTAGGAAAATTAATTTTAAATCAAAGTTTAAACCCAGGGTGTGAAAGAAGAAATTATTCAGAGGTCTTTATTACTACTGTAGTCTTGAACTTTAAAATTCAATTACAAATAAATTAAAAAATGGGGCTAAGCATGCACAGTCTTAGAATTAGTGTCCTGCTGGAGAAGAATCATGAAGAAGCTCAAGATGCCGCTTGTTAAGAGAAGAAAAGTTTGGGATGAGTGTGCTTTTCAAAATTATAATCTACACATGTTTGTTACATAGCAAAGATTATTTGATTATTTAAAAGCTGAAACAGGTGGCAGAATGAATAAATAGGATAAATTTCTATACATAAGTGTGTGTGTACACGTGCGTGTGACATATGTTAGTATTTACCGAGATATAGAGGTCAGCAGAGCAAGTGCTGTCCTTGACTGCATGTAGTGTGGTCCAGTGGTCTGTGATGATGTGACAGAACCATGGGAGATGCTCCAGGTCAAGGTCAGCACAGAGTGAATATTTTGTTTTCAAGGTGACTAGGAGGAGTGCAGCTCTGTTTGTCTTGCATAACTCTGACTTCTTTCAGCCATATCCACCTTGATGTATTGGGCTGTCATGTGTTTTTCCACCGTGTGAATAGGATGTATTGATTGTGGTAGACTTGGTTCTTCAGAACAGTGTTGGAAAGAAAGTGAATGTTAATGCTTCCAAATTCCCATAGCCAGAAAGATAGCCGGAGTTGGCTTTTTTCCTAGTAATAGCATTCAGGATTTTTTTAAAAACATAATTTTAAAGGTGATAGACATTCAATTTTTCATCTTGATGTTTTCCTATTTTATGTAGGAAAAGTGTTCATAAACTTTCATAAACTTTTAAAATACACATGAGGGTTTTTTTTAAAAAATAATCTTTGTTTATTTTCTTCTCTGATTTTAAAAAGTTATTGCATCTTTGATTTCATTTCACGCATTTGGGAATCCAAATCTGGGGAACATAAAGCCCTTTGATGCCCGTGGTGAATTCGTAGCCATCAATCTGTGTAAGCCATGTTCTGAAATGATTCCGCTTACCAGATTTTCACTATCATGTGTGTGATTTGTCTTGTTTTATTTTTAAGAAACTCTATAAAACTCTAAGTGAAGTCAAGCTTGAGGTGGAGACTGTAATCAAAACAGGAAGGCACATTGTTCAGAAGCAGCAGACCGACAACCCCAAGGGGATGGACGAGCAGCTGACTTCTCTGAAGGTGCTCTACAATGACCTGGGCGCCCAGGTGAGGCCCCCCCCCCCCACCCGGCCCCGCTCGCTCTCTCTGTCCCTCTCGTGCATCTATCTTAAAATTTCACTCCTGGGAGAACACATGTGTAAATTTTATGGCATTAATAATATCTTCAGTAATTCCTATGAGTTTTATTAATTTTTTAAATGTTTATGTTGCTCTTAGAGCGATTACTAGTTGCTCTGAAACTCATTTTAAATCATTAATCCAGATTCACTTTATATTTTCTGTGACTACTGATATTTCAGAAATTATTCTAAGGAAACTTTACTTAAAAAGTAGACCCTGTTTTACACTGAAGTTATTCATCCTTGGAGATTTAAATTGAATAGTCTACCGAGAATGTTAAAACATCAGGAATCCAATAAATACGTGATGGGAAGTTCACGTTAATTAGCAGGATTTAAAATCCTTTCAAGAAACATCTATAATTTGGGCGTTTTGATGAAGTCGTTGGGGAGTCATTGGGCTGTTTACGACTGATGGGATCAATAGGCTTAGTGTCTCCTTTCACGGAGAGTCTCGGCTTTGAAAGCAGGGAAGCAAGAAAGAGTGTGAACTGAAACCTCGGCAGTGTCCAAGAACTGTGGTACATACGATTTTAGATCCTTCCTGGGTTAGGAAATAGCAACTGAGCTTCTGCAAGAGCCCGGAGAAAACTAGCTGAAATGTTTTCACTTGGTTCAAATCAGTAAGAATGAGCAGCCTGTACATTTCCTGGGCAGTTTAGAACTCACTCCTGCAAGCTGAGGTGGTTGATTTTGTATCATTTTGATATATTGTGCCTCTGGAACACGTATCTCAGGGCATCTTTTTGCTATTACACTGCTGAAGTGGCTAATTCTGATTCACTCTTATTCACGTTCCGTTCCCGCTCCCTCCCTTCTTTCCAGGTGACGGAGGGAAAGCAGGATCTGGAAAGAGCATCGCAGTTGGCCCGGAAAGTGAAGAAGGAGGCTGCTTCTCTCTCAGAGTGGCTTTCTGTTACAGAAACGGAGCTGGTACAGAAATCCACCTCAGAGGGTTTGCTTGGTGACCTTGACACAGAAATTTCCTGGGCGAAAGTAAGTTGTAGTTCCGGTGAACCGCCGGCGTCACGCCAGAGTAACCTGAGGCATGTTGTTCAGGGCAGTTTGGGTGGGTGTCGTATTAAATGCAGCCTTTTCTTTTCTTCCGTTATTTTTTCTACTTCTCTGTCCTAAGCAAAAACAATGGGAATATTTTTAAAAAACAGTTATTTTAAGAAGCTTTTATTGTCTTGATTCCAAAAGCACTGAACTCAAATGGATCACCAGTGGGTCTTCGTAAGTGTTATGCTTATGTGGCACTTGGAAACATAGCTGGCACCTTCAGAACTGATGGCGTCTTTCTGGGTGTTCATTCTTCACCAAGTGTTGGGCTGAGTTTATTTGTTAATTCTTCCATAATAACTTTCGTACCAGTCACGGATGTTTCTATTGCAAACTGATGTAAAGAGCACAGGAACAGGATTTTCAAACGAATTAATAAAAGATACAGAGTTTTCTTTAATCTTTTAGTTACTTTGAAATTGCCTAGATCAGACAGTGGATTTGCCAATGCTCTTTTGAGATGGGCAAATGTCCAAGGCATTTTCCGTTCCCAAATTTATTCTGCAAGAAAGAAACATGTACACTAGAGAGAAGTACTGAAATAAACCATCCAAGTTTCTATAAAGTCACAAGGTTGGCTCTGACGTGCTGTGCTCGTGCTGGCCTGTGGGGACTGAAGAGGACATGGTCTGAGAACGTGGGTGATACAACTCCTTCATGTCAGTGCTCTGGGGACAACAGTTGAGTGAGGGCCAGGATATTAGGCACTAGAAAGAGTGTTCTCGGTTTAGAAGAGAGCTTGTGAGAACGATAATTATGCCATGGGCTGTGTGAAGTGAAAAAAAGTGTGTGAAGGAAATGAGCAATGCTAGCATTTAGGGCTGCGCTGTGGATGAATGCAAAGCAAAGGCACCAAACTTTATTTTTGTTATATTTAACTTTTTCCGGGAAATATTATCTTCTCTGTACAATATACTTTGCAAGCCCTTGTTTTCTTCTTAGTAATACAAGTTATGTAAGCTCATTGAATGACACTTGCATAGTGTAGCAATAAAAAGGCAGGAGCAAAACCCGTCCACAGTCAGAGACCGCCCTGTTCCTGTCCCGGTCTCTCACGGGACGTGCACAGGTGTGGGCAGGCATTCAGACAGAATCCTCCTGTGTCTAGTGTTGCGTGACCTTCTCAAACAGACTTATCTTTAACATTTCTCCTTACCTGCAAGTGTTTTTGTATCACATGTTGGAGTTAAGTGTAGTGTTTAATTGCACATTTTATTTTTTATTGTTCCATTTCTCCATTTGTGTCCATTTAATTTATTGCCGATTTTCACTATTGTAAAAAGTGCTATGATGAATGTACTTATAATTAAGTCATAACATGTATTCATAATTATTTTCTGAGGCTAAATTCTTAGACCTAAAAATATTGGGTCTAGGGATATATCCATTTTAAAGGCTTATGCGTATAATAAAATTGTCCTTCAGAAATGTATACCTACCAGCTCCTACCAAGAATTTCTGCTTGCTTGTTTTAACCACAACTTTGACAATGGTAGGCAAATACCATGTTTTGGTTATTTAATTAGAACATTTTCCATAAGTTTATAGACCATTTGTAGTATTTATTTGTTTCTATTTATTTATTATAATTTATTTATTAATTTTTATTGTTGAATTACAGTTGTTCCCATTTCCAACCATTACTCTCCCCCACCCTACCCGTGCCCACCTCCCACTTTCAATCCTCTCCACCCCCATTGTCTTTCTTTTAAAAAATTGCCTTTTGTTGTAATTCTGACCATTTTTCAATCACCAGTTAGTCTTTTAATTTAGAGCTCTTTACCTGTTATAATTATTAATGTATAGTGTGTTGTCTGTTGCTGCAAAAATATTTTTTGCCACTTTAGTTCCCTTTCTGTTCTGTATATAGTTTTAAAAATGTTGTTATATGTTTTTTAAAAATAAAATCATCTTTTCATTATTTATGCCATTAGTGCTTAGAAAAAGGCCAACTCTTCTCTAAGGTTATGTGATTATTTACTTATATTTTCTTCTAGCTCTTTTATAGTTTCATCTTTTTTATCTTTAATGCTTTAATCCTTCTGGAATTTATTTTGGTGTATATAATGAGGTAAGGCTGTAACCTTTTTTCCAAGTAGTTAACCAGTTATTTCAGCACTGTTTACAGTAATTATCCCTTCCCCATTGATTTGATGTGCTAACTTTGTTCTTTTTGGCTGTTGATTTTCTTTGTTTTCTGATTCACTGATTGGACCCTGTAAAATGTTCTTCAGCTATTTCACTGTGTGGCTTTATAATATATTTGAACATGTACTTAATGGACTCCCTGCCTTTATGCTTCTTCTTTTGTATACACTCACAGGAACTTTAGGATTATTCCCAAATTCTTCAAAAATTCTGTTAGAAATTTTTATTTGAATTGCCTTAAATTTATAGATTTGTTTTGAAGAGAATTGACATCTTTGTTATTTTGCTTTTTAGTCGCATGATATGTCTCATTTCCCACCAAGTCCCGTACATCCCCACATGCCACTGTGATGATTTTCCTCAGAAACATTATACAAATATGCAAAGCAGTTTATTCATACTTATTTATTTTGTGTACTGCACACCTTTTCTCTTTTTTACTAATTGCCTATAGCTGGTACATCGATGTTATTGATTTTTATGTATTTAATTTTTATTCACTCATCTTTGCATACTTATAAATTCAATTAATTTTTCAGGTAAAAACTATAAATAATAAGCTTGTCTCTTCTGAAACTACCCACTCTTCACTTGCCATTTAGTCTCATTTCAGATTTGAAATAATGAAGATGGTATAGACAAATCGTGAATTTGTAGCACATTCTCTTCATGAGAATAAATCAAATGAAACATCGTTATGTAACATAACCACCCATTTTTTTCAAAGTTGTGTTTTCAGGTTTAAGAAATATACATATTTCACAACATTTTAATGTATTTGCACTTAAAAAAATTGGTAAAATGATTTTCAATGCAAAATTTAAATAGCATTTTTATTCCCAAACTTAATGTTTTTATAACATAGCTTAAATATCATTATTTTCAATGAAGTCATTTTCTCTATAGTAAAGCCTGTAAGCATAGCTAGCAGGTGTACTATTTCAGTTTAATTACTTATAATTAATTCTTTCTTGTAGTTCTTAAAAACTATCTCATCAGTACATAACCACTGAAGGAATGCAGAAAGTCTTACCTTCAGGGAGCATGGCTATGGGTATTCTATTTTTTTTCTACCTGCTGGAGAAGGACACTTATGAGAGACGTTTTAGTGCCTTTAAAAATATCAGTAATTGACATGGCCAAGTGAGTGTTTAAACCTTGACTCACTGGTGAATTTGCAATTTTTATGCCTTCCCAGCTATGACTTAATGATATGAGATTAAATACAGACTTGAGCTCCTTTATTTAAAGGGTTTGTTTAAATGTTGGTTTAAAAAGGTTCCACAGCCATAAGTTAAACAGGCACATGTCACTTTTCCATTGAGAGAACATTATAGTTTTTATTTTGGAACTCAGTATTCTCTCTGTAACTGTCTACACTTCGTTTACTCAAACTTAGGAATGTGAGAATCCAGTTGTCAATACCCCATGTAGAGTGTTACCTTTGTTCATTATGACAATTGTGAGACCAAACCTAGATGTACCTGTTCTTATGATTTCCTTAAGATGAAACATTGTTTGTAGATCTTATATAGCAAATTATATGTTAAGTCATCTAGTTATAGGATGTAGTCTTTGCAAGTAAATATAGTACACATCAGTTGTATCCTGTAGTAATTAAGGAAATCAGTTCACTATGAGTTTTTTAGAGTTGTGAGTTCTGGGATAGTTCTGCTTTGCTATCTTGTAGTTATAGAAAATGAAATTAATTATTTACATCTGGAGTTATGATGAAGATAATTAGTGTTGTATGTGATACATGGAATTTATACTTCAAATAAATAAATTACCTTTTTCATGCCTGAATTTAATACATTTCTTGCTATTTGCATAATTAAATGTTTTAATTTTTATTATCAACCTAAAAGCTCTCACGTGTTAATAAGTTATGGAATTTTGTAAGCCTTTGGCAATTAAAAGGTTTCTAGGGAGTATGTGGAAGAAAGATTCTTTTAAAAAATGAAAGTTGTAGAAACTTTTATAATGTGAAAGATCAAGTGGGTCTTGTTTGGTATTTTTATTTTCTAGAATATTCTGAAGGATCTGGAAAGGAAAAAAGCGGATTTAAACGCCATCACAGAGAGCAGTGCCGCCCTCCAGAGCCTGATTGAGGGCAGCGAGCCCGTGCTGGAAGAGAGGCTGTGCGTGCTGAACGCCGGGTGGAGCCGGGTCCGCACCTGGACCGAGGACTGGTGCAATACCTTGATGGTACGTGTCCGAAAAATTAATGATGCCGTTTTCTCCCCTTTAATGATTTAAAAGTGAATACAGTTTTTTTTTTTAAGATTTAATTTATTTATTTTTAGAGAGGGAAGAGAGGGAGGGAGAGAGAGAGAGAGAGAGAGAAACATCAATGTGTGGATGCTGGGGGCTGTGGCCTGCAACCCAGGTATGTGGCCTGACTGGGAATCGAACTTGCGACACTTTGGTTCGCAGCCCACGCTCAATCCACTGAGCTACGCCAGCCAGGGCTAAAAGTGAATTCAGTTTTGATTTGAATTCCAAATGCTACTTTTTCTGCCACAGTAATCTTTTGCTCGTGAACTCATTTCATTACATTTTATTTTTTTCCTTTAAAAAAAGAATAACTAGAAGGAGTTCAAAATGTCTCTGTTAGGTAATAAATCATTTGTAATTCACATAGAAATGTGTACTTTAATACCTTAGTAAGTGTACCTTTCGTTACATTTTAATGATTTAATCTTATTTAATTTTCATATTATTATAAACTATATATAATATTTACGATGTTCTAATAATAGTGTACTAGTTAAGAGCACAGGCTCTGGCATCTGGTGGCCTCAGAGAATTTTGACTAGTTGGGTGACATTGGTCAGCTTACTCAAATGCTCTCTAAATCTCAGTTTTCTCATACATAAAATGGGCATGTTACCACTTCTACCTCGCATAGTTTTTGTGATGATTATATGACATGAAATATGTAGTGCTCTAATATAGCAATACATAAAAGAACCAATTTTAGATTCTATTATGATGGTTATGATAATTGTTAAGTTGTATGTGTTATTGCTCTTTGGTTATACCAATACACTGGTAATTACTCTGTGGATGTAGTGACCATTTAATTTTCATAGTGGTTTTCTGTTTTTCTTCTACTAACAATGAATATTATCAGTAGAACTCCCTTAGAGGGAGTTGTAATTTAGAAATCATTATTTTGTTCCGACATACCATAGATAGGACTTTCCCCAAAATTTATAGAATTACTAGGACAGAGAAAAATAGATTATTGTGTGTGTGAACGTTTATTGAAATGAGTCAGAATGTTTAGGGCATGGGAGGTCATGGGCTCACATTGTGATCTGTCAGATTCAAATCCAGAGTTCATGTAAAATTCATCATCTGCATAACCTTGGGTGTAAATTACTTGATGTCACTAAGCTTTAATTTTCCTAGATATGCAGATAAAAGAACATACTGACAGAATTGTTAAATGTTGAATAACAATTGTGAAATTCTTGGCTCATAGAATATGTTCGTTAAATGTCTTTGTTTTTGTTATAAGTAGCTTCGCTTTACATTCTCACACCCCTTACTTTTTTCATTCTTCGTCTGTACCTTCTGAATTCTTTTTTCAAGAAATATCTTTCTAGTCCTATTAGAATACTGATTCACCTGCTTTACTGTGGTAAATAACTCTGGTGCCTATCACTTCTTCTCACTTAAAATGCAGATCATAATCGAAACTTTTCTCAGGTCTTGTATTCTCATTTTATTTTTCAACTATTGTTCATATCATAGATTACTGATTTGTTTCCTTGTCTTTTAAACACATTTCTTCTAAGTTTTTTTTCTAGTTTCATTTATCCTATAAAATAGTTTCTAAACTGTACTTTCATCATAAGGCCCCCTTCTCTTTTTGATCAGGTTCTGAATTCTCACCTTAGTGTCAGTGGTTTTGCCCAGTTTATTTGGCTTAACTAGTTTGCTCTTGTGTTCGAATTTGTTATTTCCATTGTATTTCATATTCTACTGTAGGAAATACGCCTGAGGTCTGACCCAGGTGTTCTGTTAAGTGCTGGTGACACGGAGGTGAAAAAGACACAGGCCCTAAGGTGTTACAGTCTATTAAACGGGCAGAACCTTATTCAATCCCTATTTTAATCATCCTTTTATATTATTACTGTTAAAAATGACATTTAAAAAGTGTTTGCTCTGGCCTGGTAGCTTAGTTGGTTAGAGCATCTTCCCGATATGGCAAGATCTAGGCTTTGATCCCTGGTCAGGGCACATATAAGAACTTACCAATGAATATATAAATAAGGCGAACAACAAATTAATGTTTTTCTTTCTCTCTCTCCCTTCCTCTCTCTCTCTCTCTCTCAAATCAATAAATAAAAATTTTTAAAAAGTACTTAACCATAACTATGCATTCTTAGGAATGAGGATTTATTCCCTGGGAAGAGTCTTGTAGTAAGATAGAAACCCTTTAAATTCAGCATGATAATGGGCTCTTTGAAGGTTTTTTGAACTCTCTCTAAAGATTATCATCTTAAATATTTTATATAATTATGATTGTATCAGCATTTTATTAATTCTCTTCTAGAGCCATCAGAACCAGTTGGAAATGTTTGATGGAAATGTTGCTCACATAAGTACCTGGCTTTATCAAGCGGAAGCTCTATTGGATGAGATTGAAAAAAAGCCAGCAAGTAAACAGGAAGAAATCGTGAAGGTAGCAAACACGGGATCAGTACTGCTTGTGGGGATGGAAGGTCTGGCCGTGGTCTTTTCTTTGGTAGGATGTGCCAAGTTCCTTGTGCCCACGTTCTTCCCGTGCAGGAGATTCATCAGTGTTTATTTGGTTGGAGAAACTGAAGTCTTGAATAAGTCTTAATGTATGAACAGTTATTATGCAAGTCCATTGTATTAAAAATCTCTTATTAGTAACCCCAGACATTTATTTAATTCTGAGTTAGCATCACATCCATGTTTGGTTTTGATTTTTCTCATGTGATAAATTTGTGTTTTCTTGTAATTAAATTAGCGTTTACTGTCTGAGCTGGATGACGCCAGACTCCAGGTTGAGAGTGTTCACGATGAAGCTGTTGTTTTGATGAATGCTCGCGGAGGCTCAAGCAGGGAGCTTGTGGAACCAAAACTAGCTGAACTGAATAGAAACTTTGAAAAGGTGTCCGAACACATCAAAAGTGCCAAAGTGAGTAATTATATATATATTTTTAAAGATTTTAGGTATTTGTTTTTAGAGAGAGGGGAAAAGCAGGAGAAAGAGGAGAGAAACATCAGTGTGTGGTAGTCTCTTGTGCGCTTTCTACTGGGGACCTGGCCTGCAAGCCAGGCATGTGCCGTGACTGGGAATCGAACTGACTGACTGGTTCGCAGGCTGGCACTTAATCCACTGATCCACACCAGCCACAGTGTAATTATATTTTTATATAAAGCTGTTTTCATATAATTTTATATCTAAATTATAGATGAGTATGTGGTACATAAGTAAAAACTTTTAAAAGTACATTTTTCATTGAATGGAGCATTTTTTATTTGTGGTTGTGCATATGAAGGAGAAAAAATATGAAATGAAAACTGAATAAAGTAACCAACTTGAGAGAAGATTTCAGAGGCTCAGGAAATTGTTAAAATTGGCTATAAAGTAATGTAACTAATTCCCAACCAAAGCATGCATATTAAACTCATTTTATAGTCATAACTTTATGTATTTGTGTACGCTGTACACTTGTGAATTTGTTTTTTGCGTGTGTTGACACTTCTAAATGTTACAAGAAATTTCATAATTTAGGTCTAATGTAGAAAGCTGCTACCTTGTTTTACAGATTGGAAAAAGGGACTTATAAATTTAATTAAGAGGATACTAAGTAATAGCTTTTCTAAAAATAGCTTCAATATTATAATTTCTCTCTTTTTGAGTATATCTTTTTTATTCTCTCTTTTCTTACCTTGTTTCATGAGGGGAGGAAATGAAGTATTTTACAATATTATAGTGATTTCAAGGCCAGGCATGTGGTTAGTGCTCAGAACTAATGTTTTCCTTTGATGAAAACATTTTGAAAGTTTGCTAGGGAAAAATAACAAAACAAAACAACACAGCTGACATGGAGATTATTTAAACCATGCTGAGATAGAATTCTGAGATTTTTTTAGAATCTCCACTATGCCCACTGAATGGCATTTTTTGAGTATTCAAATAATTACACCTCTAGAGAGTTGTGTTTTGAAATTATTTAAGAGGAAGGATCCTCTTTTTTTTGCAGGAAGTAAAATACCCTCTAACTTGGCTTTAATTTGAAATATCTGATGTAATAGACCATCCTATCTTTCATAGCTTGTGAATAGATTCAGATTATTCACAATTTAAAGAAAACAGACAAATGTCTCGCTTTAACCTTTATCTTCATTTGCTTTAACCTTGCCTCCTTATCTTCTGACCTGCGCTCATTTATTTTTTCAGTAGATCTGTGGGGGACGTTTCTTGTCATAAAAGAGTAATGTACAAGACACAGGGATAGAGCTGGAGGAAGTGCAAAGAAACAGAGTTATCATTGTCCCCATAAATAACCTCTGTTAACGTTTGGGTGTATGTGTCCATTCTTACTTATGCGTATAGGATATTCAAATGTCAATAAATTTGTGTTGTTTGCATATTCCCTTTTGGCATGGTTTTTAATGGCTATGAAGCATTTTAAGTGAATTGTTATAATTTTCTAAATTAGTTTTTACTTTTATTGTGCTTTTATAAATATTGCTTCTTTAAAATTCTTTTATGCATGTCTGTTTTCTCATCTTTTAATATACCCTTTGGATCAATTCTTAGAATTCCTTGAAATTGTTATGAAAGTTGTGTATATAAATACTGTTAAAATGATTTTCAAAAGATTCCTACAGAAAGTCTGGACCAGTTTATACTTTCACTACTATCATGTCAGAGGTGACTTTGCCCATGCTCAGCCAACACTACATATCATTCTCTTGCATGTTATTTAGTTTTATTCAAGTTGCTACATTGGGTTTAGTTACACGAATGTAAAGTTTTTGTCAATGGGCCTTTCCTGAAGTTACTTCTTTGAGAAATATGTACTTCCTAGGAGTTTGGCTGTCAAAATCCAGGGGCAGTTCTACTGGGGAAAGGTAACTAGAGGGCTTTCTTTGGGAGGTACCTGTCCTAGGTGGTGGCCTTTCTGTCTGTGGCCATGGCAGGGATGGCTTTTGGATCACGACACTAATTCCTGCGGTGCTCACGTGTGGTCTCAGGGTCCTCCACGCAGCCTGCAAGGCAGCCGCAGTGCTTTGCACGTTACTTCACATTTCTTGCTGGAGTTTGGAGAAAATAGGGAATTCAGAGAGGCTCAAATCAATAAAATCATTGCAATAAATGAGTGAAATTAAAGTCAGTTCAAATAAATGCTAGGTCCTCTTTTGACACTCCACTCCTCTGATCAATGACAGAAGGTCAAGTTCAGAATATGTTTTCAAAGGACACTTTTTTTTCCCCACAGTTGCTAATTGGCCAGGAGCCAGTATCCTACCAAAGCATGGTCACCACTGAAGCATTTGAAGCTGAGGTGCCTCTCTCTGACTTGGAAAAATTAGAAAATGACATAGAAAATATGTTAAAAGTTGTAGAAAAACACCTGGAATCCAGTCATGAAGATGAAAAGGTTTGGTTCAAAAATTTAAAAATCAGGATGCTCTTATTTTTCTTCTTTGTTAATTGTCTTTTTACATCAGTGTTGCTTACCCAAATATCTGCCAAACATAACAGAACAGTTCAAATATGATGTTCTGAGTGCAGTGTAGTTGATTTATGTGATGCTTACCAAAATAGACACAGCACTTTCTGACTTCAAAGTAGTGTCCTCTTAACACTATCTAAACTAGCGTTCTTTATGAGATGTTTTAGCATCAGATATTAAATATCTCAAAAAACATAGTATTTTTGTTGTATATAATTTAGATGAACATATGTTGACTTACAGGTTGTAGGGCAGGTCTCCTACTTGGGAGCTGATGGTGAGTGACCTGACGCCTTTTTCTTCTGAATAAATTTTTTTTCTTTTGAACATTCAGATGGATGAGGAAAGAGCCCAGATTGAGGAAGTTTTACAGAGAGGAGAAGAAATGTTACATCAGCCTATGGAAGAAAATAGAAAAGAAAAGATCCGTTTGCAGTTGTTACTTTTGCACACCAGATACAACAAAGCTAAGGTACGTTCACGAGAGCGTGTCCACCTGTATGACGCGCTCTGCCCCCTTCACTCAGGTGCTGGTCACTGTGCGAGCATTCACGGACACCTCCACCGCACCGGCTGGAATGCTGTGTCCTCTCTTCCAGTGTATACTGCTGGATACGTTTGTATTTCTAGATGGGGCAAGAGTCAAAGAAAGTAGAAACATGAAACTTTATCATCCGTCATCTCTTGGATTTCTGATAATGTGCTGAACCGTAAAAAGGATCTGTTTCTTTTGGGAGGGGTTTCTTCCTTCGGATCTGTATTTTCTATGTACAGGTCAAAAAAGTTTCTAGTTTAAAAATAACCAGATATATGAAATTGGTAAACTATGATTTATATTCTAGAAAAAGACTCAGTGCCAGCTCCCTTTTCAATGGCCACATTCCCAGCTGCACTGTAAATGGGCTGGTGGTCCCCAGGGGTCTGTTCTTGTTACAAATAAATGCAGACCTCTAGATTAAATGCCATTATCAACAGCATTGCTTTTAGTTTGATTTTTTTATTTCATTTAGGAATTGTAACCGTTTTCAAGGTCACTCGCACAATGAACATGTATTCACTATCACCTTTGAATTTGCAGAGGAATATCATGTTTTAGAAGTTCAATATAGGGATGTAGTGAGACTATGAAGAAGCTACTTTAATTCATGAGTAGAAGAACTTTGGCTATTTGCAAGTAGTAGACAGTGTTATTAAATTGCAGCCGTCTAGAAGCAAAAGACTTCAACTCCTTAAGGACTAGTTGGCCCAGAAAGTACTGTAATTAGGGAAAACAAGCAGTTCACTCAGCTTAGTTTAATTTTGCCTGAATTTAGTGTGTTAGTACCTATCATCTGATGTAGGGTGTTCATGTTGTAAAATATCATTCACATGGGTTAAGATTATCAGGATTATCTTAAACAGGATTATCTGCATGTTATTATAATCAAAACAGTTTATGAATTGTAAAAAATTGTTGTTATAAATACATGTTTAACTTATTTACATTTTTAACATTGTGTCCCAGAAAGTGTTGACTGTAATTGTGAGATTTTAAAAGTGGGTGAAGTAATAATGGTATTGAAGTGTTTTATTTTATATAGAACTTTATGATTTGCAGCGTATTCTCGTGTCCTCCGTGACTCAGGAGGGAACATGTTATGCTTTCCCGTTTGCTGAATGAGTTTAGGTGGCATAGGTTTTAAAGTGAAACCTTTCTGTTCAAGAGCGGGCTACAGACAAAAATCAGAATAGAGATTGTTAATAGAGATTGTTGCCCTGTGAGGCAGGGTAAAAGCATAAAAAATTAAAACTTCGTTTTTAAAAATTTGGATCAGAGTTTTGCAGTTCTCCCTCAAATAGTCCTGTGTTTTTTTCAGTTTGCTGTTATTCATTGTGGGGATGTTTCAAGAGTGTACATCATCATCATCATCATCATCATTATTATTATTATTATTCATGATTTTACAGGTAGTCCCTGTTCAACAGATGAGAATGGGTCAACCAGCTCCCGGAATCAAATCATCAGCTCTTCCTGCGGATTATATGGTTGAAATTGGCAAAGCTTTACTGTCCATGGATGATGTTGAGTCTTCACTGAATGCCCCAGAGCTGAGCACTGCGGTGTTTGAAGATTTCTCTTTTCAGGAGGATGCTCTGAAGGTAGATCTCTAGGCAGGGCGTGTGAGTAGCTGCAGTTAATGCAGTAGAAGTTAAGTAAGGACTCTGTCCTTGTGCCTACTTAGATGATCTATAACTTTCAAAATTTGTGCCAAGGAGTTAATAATGTGTATGAATGATAAACCTTTCCTGTATTCACCAAGGAAATATTATAAAAAGTTTAATTTTTTAAAAGTAGGTATAGATTTTTAGTGGGCAGTTATTAATTCTTTGCACCATCAGAGACATTTTTAATCTAACACCTGCAGAAACTGCATTTTTTTCCTCGTGGACTTCATTGCCAGTTGATATGAAATGTCAACATTGATCATGCTACCTATAACAGTTTATCACTGGCCAATGGCTGTGGTGTGGGATTGTATGTTGATTGTGAGTTAGTTAGGGATCTGGAAGTTTTTAGTTAGCTCACAAAATTATTCATCAATATCATCAAGGCTTTTTAATGTAACCTGATGGCACTTATGTGTAATGTCACAATGAAATTGCTGATAGATATGATAGCTTTGATTGATAGCACATTTCTGTCACTTAAATTAGCATTATTAGATATTCAAACACTGCATTACCTTTAAAGAATGTTTGGAAGCTTTTTATATGTCCTGCATAACTGCTACTTGGAACGTCTGTGAAGATTTTTTCCCACCATTGGGATATCATGTAGCATTCCTCACACTTTGGCCAATCCAGGGTGTTACTATTTTTTAATGTTTTCAGTTTTGAATAGCCAAATGATGATATATCATATGTCAAATAAGTGTTATACAGTATAAATTTTTGGTCTATGATTTCACTTTTTTGTCTTTTTGCTGCATTTTACCAATGTCTGACAATATATTACAGAATATCAAAGACCAGCTGGACAAACTCGGCGAGCAGGTTGCAGTCATTCATGAGAAACAACCAGATGTTATCCTCGAAGCTTCTGGGCCCGAATCCATTCAAATCCGGGATGCACTCACTCAGCTGAATGCAAAATGGGACAGACTTAATAGAATGTACAATGATCATAAAGGGTAAGTAAATTAAGTTAATACTTAATTTAAAAAACCAACAGACTCATGAGCCACAACAAAGGGCATATATACATTAAGATTAATGAGACTATGTTTCATGTCTTTGGAGGAGGTCCTGTTAGTAAATTGTGATGAGTGTAGTTCCTTAAAGAAAGCAGAAAGAGATTACATGTAGAAGGTCATTTGCAACATAATAGCTTAATAATTAAAGGAAGCACCTTTAATTTTTAATAGCTAAAAGGCATCCGTTTTCATTAATGTCCACTTTCTCCATGTTTGATGATTAATGTGAGTGAGAGACAGGAACAGATAATTGGAATCCGTATATAACCACAAACCATTTTTAAAAATAACCTTCTGTTTAACAGAGTGGTTTTGAGTCTTCTTATTTCTAGATTTTGACCGGGCCTATTAATAGGTAGAAAGAAAATGGGAAGATTTTTGACAGGAGCTGGGCGTGTAGTGGAGAGGCAAATAAAGCAAGTAAGATGTGAAACAGTACAATGTACAGTATCACAGACGAGGAAAGGTAACACAGAAAGTACATTGGGAAATTTTAGAGACATACACACAAAAATTAGGTATTATATTTTTATCATTTTTATTTTTTGTTTGGCCTTTTGGTATATTCCTTTGCATGGATTTTAAAATTCATCTCTGTATATTTAGAGAATCTTGTTTTAAGTACATCTTTGTGCATACTACTATTTAACTAAACCTGATTATTAGATGAAGATTAAATTGTTAAAAAGTAATAACACCTTAAGGCTCTATACTGCATTATGGACTTGAGTATGATAGCCCTGCTAACAGTGTATGTGAAAGTGTCCTTCTCACTGACCCCTTGTTAAGATGAACAGTTGGCTACTTTTTAAAGACCTTTGTCAGTTGTGTAGTGATAGATAACATTGCATTGCAATGTTATTTTCATTTTTTGATTATCACTGAGATTTCAATGACAATAACATGTTTTATTGGCCCCAGTAGTATTACTGCTGTCGGTTGTTAGGTCATGTTCTTTGTTCATTTTTCTTTTATGGTATTACTATTTACTGATTAATTTGCAAAAGCTTTTTTCTAGATTAGGGTATTAACTATTTATATTTATTGTTTATTATTCAAACTTTGCATGTGCTGTCTAATTTTGTAAGTGGTGTTTTTTTGATGTATAGGTTTAATTTTATGTAATTGTATCTCATGAGTCTTTTTCCTTTGTGAGTTTGTTTTGTTGATATGCATTCAAATGACTTTTTCTTTCTGATATTAGTTAAATATTTATGTACACTTTAAAATGATTTTGTTTGATTTAAAATTTACATTTAATAACTAAGTCACCTGTATTTTTATTTAAAAAAATGTTTTGTGCTAAGGTCCAGGTCAATGGATCTATATAGTAGCTCTTCGGTATCCAGAGTAGGGTGGGTGCATCTCTGCTTTTAAACACTCCCCAGCTCATTTTGTACTGCAGCCTGAGATAGGAAACACTAGGCTGTTCTATTTTATTTTATTTTCCATAAATGATCAAGCAGTTTTTGTTGAATAAGTTAGCCCTTCCTTGTCAGCAGTATTTCCTTTATCGTAACTGTAAGTGTATTCCTATCTCATATTCATTTAATTTTTGCTAGTTCTGTCTTCTGACACCATCAGTTTTCGTCTAATACCATAACATCTTTCTTATGTCTTTTTCATCCAGTACAGTAAATTTTCTCAAATTATTCTAACTTTAAAATTCTTACTATTTTTCTATATTTTTTCTTGCAGTAAAATTTTAGTCATTTTAATTGTTGGTTAAAAATGATTGATTTGAAATGTAGTCTTTCCTTTGTTACCTAGGTACATTTCTGTGTCCATAGAAGCATTTTAGAGGTTTGTCTCCCTGTCTCCCTAGAACTTACTACTCCTGGTGGTTTTGTGTTTTTATTGTTGTTTATTATTGTAGAGTTGGTATATGGTCGCTTTCTTCTAGACCCCGTGTGTGTGTCTGTGTCTCTGCGTGTGTGCACAGGTGTATGTGTATAAAATTGATTCCTTTAGCCTTTATCAGTATACTCACACGTCATTTGCACATGATAACATTTTTTGATTACCCCATTTGCATATATGCCTCTGGCCAGTGGGGTAGAACTTGAAGAACATTGTTGATTTATAATGTTGATTGCAGACATTCATGCCATTTTCTTGATTATAAAAATGTTACCTTTTGGAAAATAATTTATTCCATGTGAATTTTTAAAATTTTAGGAACATGACTGAATTCTCTTACATTCTCATGTCTTTTATTTTCTTTTTTTCATTGTTTACTACATTACATTTGCTGGAAGGATTGTCCCTCATTTTATTTGTCCCAGTACTTGGGTACATTATTTGATTATTTTCTTATTTTTATTCCTAATTTTGCTTTGTTTTTCTCTCCCAATCTTGGTAACCTATCCTAAAATGTTTGTTTTTCTCTATCTCTGTTTATGTGCATTTACAAGCAATACGTTCATTTCTATTCTGTCCTTTTCGTAAAACGTCAAGGCAGTGGCAAAGGTTCTGTGTTTCCACAGTTTCAGTTATCATCAGAATCGCACCAGGGTGACCATGAAGTCCCTTTGTCCCTTTGACCGGATTTCTCTGTGCTTTTTGCCTATAAACTTTTCCAGCTTTGTCGGTCTACAGTAAAAGTGAGATAAATACCATGAAAACAAAACGGATCCTCTTTCTCTGAGATCTCCCTTATGCCTATTTTGCAGTGGTTCATAGCATTAGCTTTCATATTTTTTCCAAAATGCAATTTTAATTTTAGAGCCGTCCTAGATAATGGAACTTCCTTCTCCCTGTCAGATTTCTTCCCTTTCTTTAAGCCACTGATTTCTCCCTTCTCATCTTGGATCCTTATGTGTCTTCTCTCCCAAGAATGCCCTCTCAGATGTTTTATCCTCTGTATCGCCTTCAGCGGACTCTCAGTGCTGTGAGAACAAAGTCCAGCCTTCTCATGTTAAACTTGGAAGCTTTTAAACAGTGTTCTCCAGGTGGCCTAATTTCTATCCTCTTGCACATATTGTTCAAAAAAGTTTCCTTCACTCATTTCATATTAACTTGATCAAGATTTTCTTTGCTTTCTTTACTGTCTCAGTTGATTTTTATGCAGAATTCCATCTTCTATGAGGAGTAATTTTCTTTCTCAATTTCATCAGTCATTATTTTTCCATCATTTAAAAAGTTTTTGTAACTCAATATTACTATAAAAGTTTTCACCCATCCCTCTACCTATATGTACCTATCTGTGCCTCTATATACACATAATTCTTTTGATGTATGTTTATGGAGTGCTGATGAATGTAAGGCACATGTAGCCACAGGTAGCCACATGTAAGGAGTTATTAAGAATTGAATAAATACAATAAATAGATGAAGTCTGTTTCTCAGGGTCCAAAGGTATATGGCAGAAAAAAGTAACAGGCACTTATCGCATAGGCTGTGACAGGGACATTGCAGGAGGCCATGTTAGGGACCCTGAGGAATCTGGGAAGGCTTCGTGGAAATTGTGAAGAGAGCCAGGGGAAGGAAGAGAGGGAATGCAGCGTATGTTGCATAAGGTCATAGGTAAGGGAGAGTGCATTGCTTAGTTTTAAAGATTTTATTTATTTTTAGAGAGAGGGGAAGGGAGGGAGAAAGAGAGGAAGAGAACCATCGAGGTGAGAGAGGAACATCTATCAGCTGCTTCTCACACACGCCCCTAACTGGGGACCTGGCCCGAAACCCAGGCATGTGTGCTGACTATAAGTTGAACCAGTGACCTCTCGGGATACACAGTGATGCCTGAGCCCCTGAGCCACAGCAGTCAGGGCAGTGTGCGATGCTTTTGAGGAAATGAAAGCAGTCCAGTAGAGCTTGAACTCACAGCGGTGAGACAAACCAGGGAGCTGTAAAGGGACCGTATCAGAAGGGCCTTGTGTGTCATGTTAAGTGGTGTGGATTTTACTCTGAGGATGGTAGGGAGCCATTGCACTATTGTAAGAAGGGAGTAATAGTTTGCTGACTGCAGAATAGATTGCTAGAGGACAAAACTGACAGCTCAGACATCCAGCTGTGCCTGACAAATGATGATAACTTGATTAGGAAATGGCTGTGAAAGTGGAGACTAGGGAAAAATTTGAGAATTAAATAGTTGAATCAATAAAAGGCGGTGATGGGTGGGATGTTAAGAGTAAGGAAGAGGGAGGAGTAGAAGTGACCCCAAGTCTTTGGCTTGAGGACCCAGGTAGGTGGCACCCTTGCCAGAGACCAGGAACATAGGCAGTGAGAGGAGTTTGTGAGGGAAGATATCGGTGTCAGTTGCAATATTAGAGACAGCAAACTCAAATGCTTTGAGATGACAGCTGGGGCTTGGAGTCCTGTGGCTCTCTGGGAGTCCACAGCTTTTCACGATTCCATAGAGCTGACCGGATTCAGAGAGGAGGTGATGGCCTGGTGAATCCTAGCTGAACGTTGATTTCTTGCTCTTTCTTTTTCCAACTCCTGTTTAATCTATAGCTGGACTGCTTTGTTTAGGTTCTGTCACGATAATAATGATCTTTCCTAGGGTTACTGCTTATATTCCCAAAGTCTTTAGATCTTTGGAGGATGCTTTCTAACAACACTTTCTGTTTATTATTGCAGTAACTCAAAAGTTGAAATTTGTGGTTGTTATTTAGTTACTGCATATTCTTACGAAAAGTAATAAAGATTGTCTTAATATTTTCTCATAGTGTTTTGTTTGAAGTGCTCTTAATTTTGTCATGCCCAACAGACTTGCTTCATTGTGAGTACTCAACAAATATTAACTGAATTTTCAAAATGAGGTTCATGGAAGAAAGAAATAAAAACATTATTTTGGGGTTAGCGATATCAGGGATCATTTTATTACTTTTTCAAAATAATATCTTTTTATTATATAAATAAAGATTTTATTAATATGAAAATCTCAGAAGTATCTTCCAAACCTCTCCCAGCACCACTAATTTAGACACAAAGGCTGAAGCAAATTCTTCAGGATCCAGATACAAAGCTTATGCTGTTTTATATTTTAAATATGACGAGCACTGGACTTTGACTTTATCTCATTTCCAAAGGCATGGGGTTTAAACAGGCATCTCAGTAGTCCTTCGTCTCATTGCCTCACCTGGGCTTTGCAGGCACGTCCTTGCCGGACTGTGTTCAGGTGAACGGGGCACTCTGGAGCAGTCATCACCCAGTGCGTTCATCTGCTAGGGCTACCACAATCAGACACCACAGACTGGGGCACCTAATCAACAGACACTTATTTTCTCTCAGTTCTGGAGGCCATAAGTCCAAGATCAAGGTTCCAGCAGGGTTAGTTTGTGTTGAGGGCTCTCTTACTGGCTGGCAGAGGGCCACCTTCTTCCTGTCCTCACGTGGCCTTTTCTCTCCACCCTCTCAGGCAGGAAGATGTCTCTGGTGTCTCTCCCTCTTCTTGTGGGGACTCTGGTCCTGAGGGATTAGGGCCCCATCCTTGTGACCTCGTTTTTAAAACCACCTCCCTGAAGACCCTGTCTCCAAATACAGTCACTTTCGGGGTTAGGACTTCCTCATAGGAGTTTGGGGGACAAAATTCAGCCCATCACACAGAGAATAATGGAGGGAAAAAAAATTTTGAAGTGCTTTGGCATTTCAGGTTTTGTTCTACCTGGGAACTAAATGTTCAGGAAGTAAAATATAGTTTTTTGTAAGAGGATAGAATAATTGATCATATTTTACATTTTATGGTATTTGACATGTAGGTGGCTAAACTTGGGTGGGTTAACTGCCTGTAGCTAATCAACCTCGATTTTCTAGGCTGGACAAGGCATTCTTTTCAGCAGATAAGCTGCCTAGTGTATGCACGTATGTCCATAGGCACGTATGTCCATAGGCACATATGTGAGCGAGAGAGGGACAGGTGGTGTGTGTGCCATTTATTTTGCTCTTGGTATGAAGCATGTTTCTCTGAAAGGAATAATTAACTGTAATCCATTACGAAAACCAATCCTATAGAGCAGTGAGCTGTGAATTCATGGATTTAGGAGCTTTCTCAACAGAAAGCTCATTTCAACAATGAGATTTGAATTTACCTAGAAGAGCTGCTTCTTAGACAATCCTGAGAAGTTTAGAAATGTATTTTATTTTATTCGTTGTCCTCTAGTTATTTTGACAGGGCTGTGGAAGAGTGGAGACAGTTTCACTGTGACCTTAATGACCTCACCCAGTGGATGGTGGAGGCTGAAGAGTTGCTGGCTGAGTCGTCTACCCCTGACGGTGGCCTGGACTTAGAGAAAGCGCGGATACATCAGCAGGTGGGTGCTTTCCATCAGAGGCTGTGCATCTGCCAAAAAGGGGGTGTCTTTTTTTTAAAGATTTCATTTATTTAATTTTAGAGAGGGGAGGAAGGGAGAAAGAGAGAGAGAGAGAAACATCAATGTGCGGTTGCTGAAGGCCGTGGCCTGCAACCCAGATATGTGGCCTGACTGGGAATTGAACCTGCCACAGACTGAGCTCAATCCACTGAGCTATGCCAGTCAGGGCAGGGGGTGTATTTTTTTTTAGTATGTGGCATTTAAGATGTATTTTGAAAGAAGGGGATAAATATATTCATTTTCAGGCACATATGGACAATTTGTAATTTTTGTTCCAGTTCTAGTTTCCAGTCATAAAGGCTTAAGAAAAATTGTTATTTACATTTTTCTGTTTTTTTTTAAATATTTATTTTTTACATTTTATTGTTGTTCGAGTACAGTTTTCTGCCCTTCCCCCAACCCTTGGTTTTGGGTTTTGCCCGTGTGTCCTTTATAGTTGTTCCTGAAAACCCTTCATCCTTTTCCCCTCATTATTCCCCCAATCTCCGCTCTGGTTATTATTTTACATTAGGACTTCAATGAAATTTCAATTAAAAATAGTCTTTAGTGGTTATTATGAAAACAACTTTATTTTACAAATTTTGTATTTAGAATAACATTTGTAAAATTCTGTACTCAAGACTGTAGCAGACGGGTATCAGCATACCTCACCTCTGTTTTCTGTTTAAACACTTAGATATCCTATTTCCACTTTGTATTATGATAATTATCATAAAAGTGAATTATTCTTGAGCTGTGTCAGGCCAGCTGCTCATGTAGATCTAATTCAGTCTTGGAAAACATAACACAGTAGCAAAATCAGTTCTGCTGATAACAATGGGTTTCTACAAATAATGGTGAAAGGCAAGCAAAATTTAAATTCACTGTTGTTAAAATATTTTTTCTTTTATTAAATTTCTAAAATATATTTTATGTAGAAGGTTCATGAGGAGTAAATGCTGTTATTTTTCTTATATATTTTGGTGCATTTTTCACATTTTTAAAGATATAGATGAATGCTTCAATTTTACTTTAAATTATTCTCTTTTAAATTTGTTGCTTAAGGATTTACAGACCAGTAAAGCAATATCTCAAGAAAATGCACACTGATGCACACTGGTGAGGCTCGGTGGATTGAGCACGGGCCTGTAAACCAATGGGTCGCAGGTTCAATTCCCAGTCAGGGCACATGCCTGGGTTGTGAGCCAGGTCCCTAGTAGGGGGTTTGAGAGAGGCAACCACACATTGATGTTTCTCTCCCTCTTTTTTTCCCTACCTTCCCCTCTCTAAAAATAAATAAATAAAATCTTAAAAAAAAACAGAAAAGAAAATGCACACTGAGGTTTACTTATATATGGTAGGACATAAGGGCATATGGGTTTGTTTTCCTTTTTAAGAGATGCTTTCAAGCACATATTTAGAAGAAGACAAGCAATTTAATCAAACCTGACTGATGCTTATGCTTTAATGTTGTAAGCAGCTCTTATTTATTTAATGGTATTTATCTGTCCTGTTTCACTGTATGACATTCATGAGAGGGGGTTAGATTCCAAAATGGATCTTGTTTTGTGTGTTCATTGAAATGTAATGAAAGTGTTTTTGAATGGCTTTCTCATGAACATACAGCAGCCTCGCAGGACTTTGTTCCTTTAACGCTGAAATGGACGTCACGTACCTGGGGGATGCACTGCATCAGAACATCTTGATTTAGCAGGAGACTTAATCTCTGGCCGTCCTCTGTTACAGGAGCTCGAGGAGGGGCTCAGCAGCCACCAGCCCAGTTTGGCTGCACTCAACAGAACTGGGGACGGGATTGTCCAGAAACTCTCCCCCACCGATGGAGGCTTCTTAAAAGACAAGCTGGCAGGTTTAAACCAACGCTGGAGCGTGATCATTGCAGAAGTCAGGGATCGGCGGCCAAGGTGATTTTGCCTCCGTAACTTAAGGGCACAGGGGTAGAGATGTTTTGGGCAGAGCCTTTGAAAGATACAATCAGATGAATGCAAAGTTCTTTTATTGTCTGATGTTGCAATAGAAGCTTTACTGACATTTAAGACCTCCCCGGTCCATGTTGTTGTGCATTGTAGAACACTTTCCCTTACTGTATTTTCAGGCTGTCCGTACGGTCTCCCCTTTCTGCACAGATATCATCCATGTAAAACATGCCTTGTTCTTTTCTACTTCTGACTGCTTATTCTGCTACGGTGACCATGTGGCAGGAAGTCGAAGTAGCTGAGAGAATGCTATGGATTTCAGTCTGAAGCTCTGGCTCAGGGTCAGGTTTCTCACTTGCTCGTTTCCTGACTGGGCCTTGGGGTCTCTCTCTGTTGTAATCCCTCTCACTCGGTGGTCCCTAGTCAAAGGGTGTGCTGTACCACATACCATGCAGTGCTTGGTAAACGATACAGTTCCTCTTCCAGCTAATATACTATACATATGGTATACTGTTTGTTTTTATGTCAAATTATGTTGCAATGTCCTCGATTTTATTAGGGTGTCTCTGGTTGCAAACATGTTTACCTGTGAATATACTGCTCAACATTGTCTGTATTTTACGTATTACAAAATTATTTGAAGTTATTTTTTTTTGAGATGGTCAACATTTAATGGATGCTTTCTACTTTGCCTAATACATTTTGTCTCTTAAATGACCATTTTTTGGGTTAATGGCAGTTGTGGGTTAAAAAGTCCCAGATACATGTTTCTGCTAGTTTTAAGTGTGTAGATGATATACTATTTTAGCAATATGCTATTGTTTTGTTAAAGGCCCATCCAATACTGTTTTCAAGTCCAGTATAGACGTACTTTGCAGACATTGGGGGTTTGGTTGCAGACCACCACAGTAAAGCACTTATATTAAAGTGAAGCCATACATTTTTTTGTTTCCCAGTGCATATAAAAGTTATGCTTATACTCTACTGCAGTCTATTAAATGTGCAATAGCACTTTGTCTATAAAAACCAATTACATACCTTAATTAAAAAATACTTTGTTGCTAAAAATTGCTAACCATCATCTGAGCGTTTCCTGAGTTGCAATCTTTTTGCTGGCTGAGGGTCTTATCTTCAATTTGTATGAAAATGCAATTCCTGTGAAAGAGTGAAGCAAAGCACACTAAAATGAGGTGTGCCTGCATTATAATATGTTGTGAAACATTCAGGTATGACTCTTTGCCTTTGCTGCTTTTTATAAAGTAGCATCATCTATTATTGTGTGTGAGTTTTGGTAAGAGGCAAATAACAGCTGGTGTGATTTGGTTGAGAGAGTGCCATGTGGCATGTGGCGGAGAGAACGTTTGGCACCTTGCACACATTGCCCTATTAAGCTACCACAGCTACCCTCTATCGCAGCGGTCCCCAGCCTTTTTGGCACCAGGGACCAGTTCAATCTTGAGCCCACCTCTCACCTCTTGCTGTGTAGTCTGGGCCCTAACAGGCCACGGTACTGGTACCAGTATGTGGCCTTGGGGTTGGGGACCCCTGCTCTAGGGGACTGTTAGGCCCATTGCACGGCTTTGGAAACTGAGGCTCAGAAGAGTGAGGCTAAGCACTTGCCCAAGGCCTTCCACAAAGTCAGTGATGGTGCTAACTTACGGTCTCAGATACTGTGCGTACCAACTTGGGAAGACTTCTGAGCTCTCTGGCTGAGTCTTTCCTCTGTGAATGAGAACTGTGACACCTTCTCAGGGGAGTGTCGTGAGGATTAAAGAAAACAGTGTTTATAAAAGGCATATGCCCCGAATATTCATAGTACACTCTAAATATCTAGTTCTTATAATGTTAAGTTAATATAGGATTGATTCTCCAAGCATATTGGTGCTGGATTTTGCCAGTGATTGACTGACTGATTTATCCGTATTTATTGAGCCTTGGGCTTAGCACTGGGGACATGAACATGACTAAGGAACTCAGAGACTAAGAAGAAGAAAATACTACACGGAAAACATGCTATGCTTTGACTGAAGGACACATTGTGAGGAAGATACAGTGTTGTCACAGATGGGGAGTGATGGGCCGTGGCGTTTAGGCGTCACAGTCGGGGGGGATCCTGAAACTGGGTTTTGAAGCATTTATGGCAATTTCCCATAAATACCCCCTAGGGAGGGCTTTCTAGGGGAAAGAAGAAGAACAGGCCTACATGGGAGGAATGAACCATGTGGCCAGGTGAGGGATCCGCCAAGGCTAGATGCAGAGGAAGATCCAGGGACCAGGGCCAGGACTGGAAACTGAGGTTGCATAGCATCTTCTGTGCTGCGCCAATGAGTTTGCGTGGAGAACCTTTCTAGCTTGAAAATGATGTGTCTCCCAGGTCGTCTTAAGGAAAAGGATGTGCCTGTTGGCATGGTATTTATTATCAATAAATGCAGCAATTCCCCTAAAGATTTTCAAATCAGTCGCTGTAGAGTGTAGTAATTATTGCTCCCAGAACTAATAAGGTGAAGGAAATACCTATTTTACTCATTTTTTTTTTTTGGAAGAGAGAAGAAGGATGCATCTCTTCTCCCACATCATACATTTGCACTAAAACGATGTTTGCTTTCATTCATGTTTAAATTCACTTCAGGTAGTCTTAACCTGGGGCCACCCTGGGATTTGAGGTCATCTGTGCCCTGTCATCGCAGTCACAGAGAGAGAGAGCACACAGTTCACTCTGTCTTGTGTGGACGGCCTCTAGTGAAATACTTGCGCGGTTCAACAACTTACGGTGGTGTTCCTTACAGAGAACAGTTGTTATCTGTTGTTTGAATGTGAATCTAAGACTTGCTTTTATTCTTAGGGGTAACATTTAAAATGTTAGCTAGTTTGCAGATGAAAATTTTGTGTGAGTGGAATGTGTGTGATTGAGATAACTTGAAAATGTTAATTTTCCTTCATACATACAGTTGCAAAACACTAAATTGGTCATGAGTAGGAAACATAAATTTACATTCCAACTTTTGTTTTGGAAATGCAGGTTTATTTATAATAGGATTTTAGGTGTTTCTAGAGTTGTCATTTTAGTTAAGTACTCTTTGACACAGAGGGTAAATTACTTGTTTCGTTATTGTTAGTCTTAACAATTAGTACTACTACTTGATTTTTGTCTTGTTCTTAATTTTGAAGCAGTGTTCTCTCCTGATGGATACTTAAAAATGGAAACTTGTGCTTTTCATTAATTTTTTTAAAATATTAAAATTCTTTCAAATGTTACTGATTCTCTACTAAATATATAAATACTCACTTAGCATTTTATTATACATATTTCATCATTATGTTCCATCTTTTTGTGGCTGAAAAGATAAAGCCATAGCCATAACAATGTTAATTTTTATTAGGAGATGACACAATGTAATTCATTAAAAATTGCATTCTATTTTTAAATCAGCAGCTAGTAGCAGCAGCTATAAAAATAAGATACCACCTCCAAGCTCTGAATAGCTTTCAAACCCTTTCTTAAAAATACATAATCATGTTAGTCATATGAGTTCTAATCATATTCTCATCTTCTGACATATGGTTTATGCACTTATAAATGTTATTCTTATAACATTTAGAGGATCTGCTTAAGGCAATTCCTTTTTTATATTCATAATGACTACTTTTTCTTATGTCATTTAAAACTTTTGCTTTATTTTCTACAATAGATACTTTTAATAACTTGGCTATATCAAACATAAGACTTATTTTAATGAGCCAACTAAATTTTCGTTGTCTTGTATTTTCTCATACTTGTAAAAATGTCCATTCTCGGAGTCTTGCCCTGTTCTTATTTTTTCTTTTCTGTGAGTGGAGTAATAGTTGCCACCTAATGTGAATAATATGCCATATGATGCTGCCTTTCTATTTCCATGGAGTACTCAGAGAGAATTATGTGTTTTTGTCTTATAATTTTAGATCAAGACACTTTTCATGTATTTTAAAAAGTCCATTATGTTGTACAGTAGTATCTAGCTTACCATTTTTTTCTATTAAGTATCTATGTAATTTTCCTAAGAGAAGATAGTATTCCTTAGTTTCCATGTTTTTGAATTTAAGGAGGGAAGAATTCTTACATCATCAAACAATCGTCAATATAGCAGAATATATACATTGACACATTTGAAATGCATATTAATAATTATCAGGAGTTATTTCTTTTGTGGTACATTTAGTCCAAAGTAAATATATGGTGTTCTGCTTAATTGGATAAGTTTCTCAAGATATTTCAATAATGTATTTTTTTCAGGCTCAAAGGAGAAAGTAAGCAGGTGATGGAATACAAAAAAAGACTAGATGAGGTTACCTGTTGGTTAATGAAGGCTGAGGATGCTGTGCAAAAGAGGTCAACCACTGACCCGGAAGAAAACCTGAGAGAACTAACAGTAAGTGGTTTGTCTCTGTACTTGCCAATACTTTTTGATGCATGAACATTTACACTAGAAATAAGATAAAATATTAGGAGAAGAACAGGGGAAGAAACTTTGTGCTTTGTGGTGTACATGATACACACTTTAAGGAGGAATATCTTTTTTCTTAAATTTTCTTTTAAAGAGCAGCTGTATTCTGTTCTTGCAGGGGTAAGACTACAGTCACATGAAAATGATAAATTGTGTGGTCTCAGTATTTGACCTCAGGTTTTTAGGATATTTTAAACAGACTTAATCATTGTAGAATATAATGTTGTTATGAAGTAAAGTTTTTGCTTTTAGAAGACAATTACTGATTGCTATCTATAAGATTGAGTTTTTATGGAAACTCAAGAAAATCTAAGTGACTTGAGAATAATTCACTGGAGATTATGCTAGACTTAGTGTCATGGTTGTATTAATCAAAATTTTTTTTCTACAACTAAGGATTGTTTATAGTCATTTATTTATATCATATATAAACATATAAAGATATTTAGGTATAAAAATGTACTCAAATATCCATAAATTTCATATTTTTGTGTTAGGAATTAAAAGACTTTTGCTAAGCAATAAGCATAATGAATTTATATTTTTATTTTTAAAAATTGAGTGTTTATGTGGATAAAAACATGGGCATACATCAAAGTATGCCTAAAAGAATGCCCACAAATTTGGAAAGAGATTTTCATCTAAAGGAGTAAGATTGAGGCATTTTGGGAAAGAAACTATTAGTAATGATGAAACAATGTTACGTGGGAAATGGTAAGTTTTCACAATGTGACAATAAATATCTTACAGACTTGTTCCTATTTCAAGTCAAAGTTTCAATAGTTTTCTTGGAACATCACTTTCGTAAAGAATATGGAGGCCGTCACAAAGGGTGGGGCGGTGCATTAGGGCAGGTACAGATAAGGTAGAGACAGATGGGTAAAAGGCTTCTGCTGGTTGGGTCTTTTTGGTCTTTCATGGGAACAGACATCGTTTCCATCACCTAAGAACAGGGGTTACATTCCCCGTGTGGGTGTGATTTAATACGACCCTGCGAAGAGATGGTGGGGAGCCCCTGGGCACGGGGTGCGCACTGCAGGTGGGTGCTCACTCCCTTACCAGTTACAGTGTGGTAACGTAAGTTGAGGCTTCTTATAAGTTTATTTTCCACTTAAGAAATTAAAAGTCCACATTTGTAAAATACTTAACCGAAACTTTGTTACTTTCTAATACTGTTCTTGAACTTTCTCTAGAAAGTTCATGAAAACCTTCTAATCACACCTCTCTGCTGTCACCTTTAGGACTTAAACCAGGAGATGGATGTACAAGCTGAAAAACTCAAATGGCTGAATAGAACTCAGTTGGAAATGCTCTCAGATAAAAGCTTGAGTTTACACGAAAGAGAAAAGATTTCAGAAAACTTAAGAACTGTAAATTCGACATGGAATAAGGTGGGCATTAAGAATTGCTTGGTGCCTTTCTTATATTTATTAATTTTGTTGTAAAGAAATAGGGTCACATAAATATTTTACTTTTAAGGATATTCAAATAGGGGCACATTTTAATAATGCTTACTAATATTTATAATTATTATTTTTTGACTCTGTCATGGACAGAAGCATATATTCTCAAAAAATGCTTTTTATTGTACATATATTTTGGCCTATGGGATTTATATGTTACATTCCCCATTAAATAACAAATATATATTAGAATAAGGCAATAAAGTGCCAATACTTATATCCTGAGGATGAAGACATTAAAATAATTTCCTGGTGTTGACCTATAAATATACATTTATAGGTATATTTTTTACATTTTTTTTTACAATTTTTTTACAAAAAATTGACTTTTTACATTTATAGGTATATTTTTAATGATTTTATTCATTCAACATACATTTACTGGGTCCCAAGTGGAACGTAATGGCACGTGGCTACGAATATAGCAAACATAAAGTCCTTTTTCTCATACCAATATTATTGTTGTTGTTGTAGTTGAAATAGTTAAAGGCAGACGAAGTTGCAGATTTCCATGTATTCGGGCCGGCACACCCGGTCGCAGAGCATGAGCTCTGTGTGGCGCACTGACAGTCTGCCCCTGGTTCGGACAGACCCCGTTTCCGTCATTTCCTCCGCGCTCCATCCTCTTAGAATGAGTCCGTTATCGTTGCTCTCATCATCCAGGAGCTTTATTGGTCTAGCGTCCTGGGTTGAGAATTACTGTCTTGACGAGTCGCTGATACTGATGGCTCCAATTTGTGTCTCTGGCGGAGACCGCTCTGCGTGCTCTGGACTCGCATACACAGCTGTCTGCTCGACAGCGCCCCCTGGATGTGTAGTGGGCGTCTCAAAGCAACTTTCACAGTGGAGCTCCTGAGCTCCACCTCCCCTCTGTGCCTTAATATACTTCCCCCACCTCAGCTACGGGTAATTATATCTTTATTAGCATTTATACTGAAAGCCCTGGAGTCCATCTTTTGGTATGTGAGTTATAGCTCAATTAAAAAAAAACTAAACCTTGGAATCACCATCATCAACTTCTTCCAAATATATATCCATTTGGTGTGTGGTTTGATGGGTGGCTAGGTAGAGGCATGATGAAGCAAACATGGTGAAATCTTGACAATTGTAGATGCTGAGTGGTGCATGGGTGTTCCCTGTACAATTCTTTCCATTTTTCTTGGGTTTGAAAAGTTTCATAAATTTGGCTGCTTCTCACTACCTCCATTTCCACAAACTTGTTTCAAGCCACCGACATCCCTTTTCTTGATCACGGCCAAGGCCTTCTCACGGGTCTTCTTGTTTCCTTCTTTGCCCTTTGACAATCTTTTCTCTACACAGCAGCCAAAATATTTGTTAAAACATCGTTCAGATCGAGTAACTCTTCTGAGCAAAAACCCACTAGTGGTTTTCTGTCTCACTCGAGTAAAGGCTAACGTCCTTCCTGTGACCTGCTAGTCCCCGAATGTCCTGGGTTTCTGCTGTCTCTCCGGCTTTATCTGCTACTCTGTCACCCTTACACTCTTTTCCGGACACACTGGGCCTGTGTCACACATGCTAAGCCTAGGTTGTGCCTACTCCGTCAGAGCACACATATTTATTTAACTCAGAGGGTGTCCGTGGGTGTTGTGTAGGACGGGGCATGGGGGACACTTTGTTGGGTAAAGCCAGTGCTTCCCTAACCCCAGAACTTCACATCGATTTCACTCTATCTGGGTGGATTATGAACATCTGAGAACAAGCGATGGTGACTGTGCTGAGAATTTCAACAAACACAGTTTGGGCAATACTACTCTGGGATATTACATTCACTCATGCAGTCATTCACTCACTGAATAGGTTTTGACTGGATTTTCACTTTATGCTGGGCACCGTTTTAAGGACTAGGAATACAGCAAAGAGTATGCCATTCCTTCAAGCCCAAAGAGCTTATAGTGGTGAGACAGGTGGACGAGCAATTATGACATAGAGGGATCGATAGGAGTATAAAAACAGTAGGGCACGTACCTGGCTCTGGGGGTTAACCATGGACGATTTTGTGGAGGACACTATTTCCAAGCTCATTTGTAAAGGATGAAGAAGCATTGGCCGGATGAAGAGTGGGGGATGGGGCGTTGCACAGAGAAGCGGCAGCAGGCGAAGTTGTCTAGAAGAGACGGAGTGAGCACAGTGCACTAGGGCCCCGGAAGTAGCTCAAAATGAAGTGAACGATGAGAGACACTTGCACACATCCGTTCCCGGAGGCCTCCCTGTGCATCACAAGGATTTTAAGCTCTGTCCTGAGCACAGTTCCTCACCTTGAGGGCAGTGGGCAGCTATCAGTGGGTGCTGACCAGGAGAAAGTTACATTTTAAAAGCTCACTGTAGCTGAACTGTAAAGATGGGTGGAGTTATCCTGGGGGCTGTGAAGCAACTCCTCTGAGCAAACCCACTCCCCAGACCAGGATCGCTGATCTGGAGAGACAAATTCATCATCCCCTTTGTGAAGGGGATGTCAGGGCGACAGAGGATGACTTTGGATGTGGGCATATTTGAATATCCAGTTGCCAGAGAGAGCCAGACCGAAGACATATTTTTGAGAGTCTTCTGCATCTTGAAACTCTGAATGGCAGATGAAATCATTAGAAACCAGGGTCTACAGAGAGAGGCCTCTAGCATGTTAGCATTTGATAGAGTAGTAGAGGAGAATGAGCCGGGGAAGGATACTTCGAAGGTCAGGCAGGGAGGTGGGAGGAAAGTCAGGAGCACAGAAGAGTCACAGAATGCAAGGGGCGGGGGAGTGTGGCAGCACCGAATGTTGCGAAGCGCCAGGGCAGCTCAGGACTGGACGGCGTTCTGGGAGTAACACTGGTGGAGTGGGGGCGCACGTGAGACTGCAGTGGACAGACGGTGGAAGCAGAAGCGCAGGCACTGAGTGGGAAGAGAAGTGGCAAAGCTCTGCTTTAGAGTAACACTTCCTCTTTCGAAAATACAATCATCCTTATTTATATCTCACTCTTCTTTCTTTGTTGCTGTAGGTGTGCAGAGACGTGCCCAGCGCCCTGAAGGAACACATCCCGGCGCCCTGCTCTGTTTCTCCCACGAGAGTTACTGGTAGGATGCAGTTTATTCCTTACCAGGTTTTTGTAAGCATAGCAGAATATTCTGATGATGAACATCATATATGAATTAGAGAAAACATTAACCTTAGAAGCACAATCCAGTTGTGATTTGTTATTCTATTTTCTTTTTCTTTTTTTTAAAGATTTTATTTATTTATTTTTTAGAGAGGCAAGGGAGGGAGAAAGAGAGAGAGAAACATCAATGTGTGGTTGCTGGGGGCCATGGCCTGCAACCCAGGCTTGTGCCCTGACTGGGAATTGAACCTGCGACACTTTGGTTCACAGCCCATGCTCAATCCACTGAGCTACGCCAGCCAGGTGTTATTCTATTTTCAGTGTTTGAAAAGAATGTCCTCTTTAAGCCCAGCACATATCTGACTGCCCAGTGTGCGCAAGGCATGGTGGTAGATGAGATTTGCTGCCTTTGCTGGGACGAGAGTGGGGCCTGGGCCTCCAGACAGCCCACTGGAGGGAAAAGATGAGGCTGGGTGGGGAAGCTGGGAACATGCAGCTTTTCAGAAAATCAGCTGTAACTGTTACACTGACATGTTCTGTGGGAGGGGTGTAATTAGATGCAGATCGTGAGTGAGAGCAAAGATTTAGGTATCCTTGGAGCCAGGTGGGAGACAGGGAGCGGAACAGTTCTTTGTCCTAGGGGAGCTGTTTCCTGACACATGCCTACACTCAGATGTGGAGAAAGAGACATGTTGTCACTATTTCCTCCTCTCCTTGTCCCGATGCAAGTGCAGGCCGTGGTGCTGCAGCGGCTGCACCTGCCTCACAAGCTCCCCGAACCCCTGTGCCCTGCTCTCTCTCTGTGGACTGTTCTTGGCTCAATTGTCCTGAATTTACAGATGGACTGTATTATTTTTAGAAAATTATTTAAGCTTCATCTAGTATACTGGATGCTTACATGGGTTCCAGATGGGTCCAACAATTAATTCAACTACTTTGTATAAAACTAAGGAAAAACAAACAGCCTTCCATCATGAAAAAAAAAAAACAAGACAAACACAGACAATGAAGAAAAAACATACTTATCCAGTGTTTGAAGAAGATAAAGTCTCTAACTTTAAAAGTTCTAGAAAAACAATCTCCCGTGACAGGTTTATGGGTTTGATCACATAACAAGTTATGATAACATCTACATGCTAAAAAGAAAAGAAAAATACATGAGAGATCCTGAACTAGAAAGTTTTCAGCAGTATGGCAAGGGTTCATCTTCCCTGTACAAATGAGCTCATGCAACTCGGCAAGGAAGCAGAAGGAGAACACAGTCGAGGAAGACAGTGGTGAAAGCCGAGTGTTTATCCCTTGAGACAGAACATCGTTGGTGTGGACGCGGGTCTGCCGGGTTCCACACACTGCTGCTGCGAGTCTGGATTTCCAACTTTTATAGGAAGCAGTTTGGCAACAAGTATTAAATACATTAAAAATTCTAATACTCGCTGACCCAGTCTTTCGACTTTAGCAAATCTCTAACACTAAGGTGTTAGTCAGAAATGTACAAAAAGTCATCCCTTGCAAGTTCTGTTTTAAAGTAAAATGTAAGGAGCCATCTGAGAACGCAGCTGTAGGAGAGTTAACTAACAGTGAATATATCCAGATTGTTACACAGGCATTCACAATGATGTGTATTAAGAATTACTAATGCTCATGTTATAAAGTTAAGTCAAAAAGAACAGAAAGCTCTGAATAAGTTAGCTTTTACGATTAAAGTGAACATTTAACAAACTAAAATATCAGTGCTAATTTTCTCCCTGTCAATGTATTTTTTATTTTATTTTCTCTTGGTATCACTGTTCATTACTTCTGAGTAGTTTCTGCCCTAGAATATTGTGAGACTCAGCTTTACAGCTACCAAATGCACACACGCTACAGGAAGTACCGCTGCTACCTTGCTATGAGAAAATAAAAACTCTTACCATTTTTTTACTCAATCTAAGTTTTACATAACACATAGACACAAGTCACCCTTGCACTGGCCCATTAGAATAGGCTGTTGGTTTAGTAATTAATGGTTTGCTGCATTTTCAATTTCAGCTCATCCTGGTGTCCAAAAGGTGGTGCTAGCATCCTCTGCCTCCGAGCTTCCTGTTCAGTCTCCTCGTGCTTCAGAAATTTCCATTCCTGCTGATCTGGATAAAACGATAACAGAACTAGCCGACTGGCTGGTATTGATCGACCAGATGCTGAAATCCAACATCGTTACTGTCGGGGATGTAGAGGAGATCAATAAGACAGTTTCCAGGATGAAAGTAGGTGCACAGTGTAAAAAGCCTTGTCATGAGAGCACATGGGTAGACAAGATGTGTCTGGATCTCCCTTGTTTACCCTAAGCTCTGGGAGAGTGAGCTTTAAAAAATCCTTATGTGTCAAACAGCCATCTCAGGCTGGCTCTGAAGAGTAAAGCTTCCCCCGCATTTGTGCTGTGTCGATAAGATCACCTCTCCCAACTTTAGTTGTCGGCTCAGTGTATATTTTAAAATCTAAAACTGGTATTGTAAATCTAGCCCCGTCAGTATAAATGTAAACTAGCGTTACATATTTTAATGCCTAATGTGATGTAGGATAATTTTCTGAAGTACCTTTTCAACTTACATTTCATAATGAGCTTATATGTTTAATTGCTGACAGTAGAAGTGAGAATCTTCTGACTATAATTATATATGTGTGTGTATAATATATATATGTATGTATATATATGTATATATAATGCCAATTGGTAAAGTTCCTTGTTCATGTTCAGTATATGTTAAGTTCTGGGCTGTGTGTTGTGTAGAGATACTGAAAAGAATAGAAATTGGGAATGTCATAAAATAATAACAGCAATTGGTAACTTTTATTAAGTGCCTAATATGTGCTGGGCATTTTCCTAAGTAATTTACATGTATTCTTTCACATATTTCCTTCACCACCTTTTGAGGTAGGTACCCCATTTATCCCAGATTGCAAATAGGCCCAAATGGAGATGGAGGCACCGAGCACGTGCAACCGAACACGTCTCTCTGGCAGAGCAGAGTGCCTGGTACAGGGCATGGGGCAGGTACTAGCGGCCTGTCGGGAGCTCGGATGAGGAAGGGAGCTGCTTCCACAGTGACAAAAGGCAGATAATGTGGGATTGTTGCATCTAGAGACACATAAATGGCATTCCTGGTGGAAGGAGCAGAGTGACTAAAGACACGAGATTGGGGAGGAGGAGGGACATTGGGTCAACATTTGTTCAGTTAGGAAGCGTAGTGGGAAGTAAGATGGCAAAGAGGCAGCTCAAGTTCACTCCAAAGGGGCTTGTAGGCCAAAACCCTCTGGACTTCCCGTCTGTAACCAGTGGGCATGCACCTGTTTTTTTTTTTTGTTTTTTTTTTAATTGTGGCTGGAGGCTAATAGCAACAGTGCTCTACTTCCATAGGAAGAATGGGAACAGTACAAGAGGTGCTTAATACAAAGAAAAGAACATTTCTGGGCAGCTGAGATGATGCTGTTGCAGTTAGCAGCAATAAGGAACAGAAGAAATGGAACGTGGATGAGGGTGTGATTGATTCAGTTTCAGATACATTGTGTGGAGAGGTTCTTTTGCCATTTAGAAGGAAGTGTCAGCCTTTACTGAACTCTGAGATTGGGGATTGGAAGTTGTGAATAAGCTACTTGGAAATAATAGATGACAATGGAGGAGTGATCAAAGTCTGCAAAATTAGTGAATTCATCAGGAAGAAGAGCTAAAAGATTAGAAAGAGATTCTCTAATTTTTGCCATACTGTTTGTACCTTTTGGAAATAGTGTTTATGGCTATTTATTCGTTCTGTACTAAAATGCACTGTTTTTTCTGATATTAACTTTTCTCCCATGTTCATCAGTACTAAGTGATAAACAATAGAGCAGCAGTTTTTTTTTGTTTAAAATTGTTTAATTTGCAAAGATTTCAATTAGTGTTTCTCTAATACCTTCCCCACCCCTGTAGGTGATGTTAGTTTGTGTTCATATCTGATGTAGGATCGATATGCAAGGTGTCATCTGCAGAAATCTCTGCTGATGTTTCTCAGAACATTTTTTAGTTTTTTAAAGGGGCTTTTTTTCATTTAATCTCCTCAGACTTGATGTAGCCGAACTGAATGAATTTTATTATTATTATTATTTTTGGTGGAAACAAAACCACAGAGAGGTGAAGTGCCTTGTCTGGTGCCCTAGATGACAAGTGGCAGAGAGGAGATTTGAACCTAGGACTTCTGAATCCAAATCCTGCCCTTTGCCACGTCGAAGATGCCTCACTGTCTCTTCTAGGAGAAAAACAACAACTTTGATGTCAGCACACGGGCTTTGCTTCTGCAGTATTCTTACCATATAGCCTATTAACCCATCTTAACAATCATTTCTTCTTAAACAGATCACAAAGGCTGACTTGGAACAGCGCCATCCTCAGCTTGACTGTGTTTTTACACTGGCTCAGAATTTGAAAAACAAAGCTTCCAGTTCAGATGTGAGAACAGCAATCACAGAAAAATGTAAGTTCAAAAAAAATTCTCTCATCATCCACTTACACTGAAAATGCTCATACACATTTGCAAAGATTATTCTATCAGAAATTAATATTATTTAATATCTGGTACTCTTTATTAGTAAATATAGCTTTCCCTTGTGTTTTTTATTCTTGTGAACATTGCCACAATTCTCTTATGAATTCCTTAAAGAATTAATATTGTTACTTTTAAGTGTTTACTGATTCATTGGATTATTTGCTTTTAAGTTAGTATTTCTTTTGAAGGAACCGAGGAAACAAATTAGAGAAACTTACAGGAATAAAAATCCATTCTTCCATTATAATTCATTAACTAGAACCAGATCTTATCATGTCATTTAACTCTTCTCAAATTCATTCCAAAAATATTTATTGAGCAACTACTGTGTACCTCTGTGCCTGGCAGCAACTTGGGAATACTTTAGCTGAAAAACAAACTAAAATAAAACAACTAACAAACAAAACCACCACAGCCATGAGTTTTGCTTCCCGTTTACTTTCTGCCTTTAAATTTCATATAAAACAAAGTCTAAATCCCCAAGAATGGATACACACAAGCAATCTGATAATTAATAAAAGGAGGGAGAAAGAAGTAAAATGGCTCATTCAGAAAAAAATAGACCAACATTGTGAAACACTGAAAATTCTCTGCTGCCTCATCTGTTCCAATGACCTTGTTGCCATGTTTATTTTTAAACTGAAACACACTTTAGGGGCTTGAAGGGACAGTCACAGTCTACTTTTATCACCCCGTCTCCTACCACAGCAGCCCTCGGCTCCGTCTGTCGCTGTTCTGTTCTATACATACCCTTTAAAACATCCTGACATTTCTTATTCTCCTCCTTTTATTTGCGTTAGTTTTTGCTCCTGAACCCTTTTCCCCAGGTAAAAATGTATTCAGCGAATAAAACGTCACCCCCTGTGGAAAGCCTTTCCCACTGTCTCTGGCCCCTGGTGTTTTCTGTCCTCAGCTCCTGCTGTGATCTTTCCCCCACAACTTCACTGTGGATTTCCTCCCCTCCCCCCCGCCCCACAGATGGTGAATACGCGCCCTTCCGGGGCCGCCCACGGTGCCCAATACAAATGATTTTTCAAGTACTTAAGTTGTGGCAGAATATAAACTGGAATGTATTTTGTCACCTTGTTTAATATTTCTCAAGGGGAGAAATTTGACAGTTTCTCCTATAAAAAGTGTGTTTTGATTTCAAAATAAATGTGGCAGCAAGGGCTGTGATAAGATGTGAGTTAGCAAAGAACTTTTAGTGTCTTACAATGTTGGTTTATTTTTCCTGATTTAGCCCTTTTCCTTCTTTCTCTTCCCTTTTATTATTAATCGATGGGCAGTTTATGTATGTCATGGAACTCCAGAGGACCCCATGTCCCACCGTGTTGGGGGGGCAGCTTCTCTGCTCCAGTGACACCAAACTCTATCCAAAGCCATTTCTGTTTGGCTTTTTCTACCGTCTTACTCCCCCCACCCCCCATCACCTCTGTATTTGTCTAAAGTTTCTTTTAGGGCTTTTTACCAGACTTTTCTCCCCCCAAATATCTTCCCTTTCCAATTTAACTCCCTCTCTTTGGTTTCTCTCCATTTTCTTGTGTAGATGCTACATAGTCTTTGTCACTATTTATTATATAAAAAACCATTCTCAGCTGGCGTGTACTAGCCATAGTAACTTGCTTTTAGTTCTTAGTCACAATTAATAGGATAAGTTGCTTTTTTTATGACAAACCTGTGATATTTGCTGTTGCTTGATGTCATTAGCTTTGCTTGTTCAGTATTTAAGGATTCTGTTCGTAGCAGATTTGGTGTAAGCGCTCCACGCACCTCTGCAACTGACAAGGAGAACATTACAATGGATTTGCCCTCTCCTTAAGTTAAAATCTTACACAATTTATTTAAACTTTTACCCAGACAGTGTAAAATAAATTACCTCCTTGAACAGTTTTTAAGAATTATTATATGTAAGCAAAATTTTTAGCTTTTTGAGCAACCTTAGATTGATAGCTTTAATGGTTTGCTATAACCCTGTATTATCTCAAAAATTTTACCAGAAGAAATGTTATTTTGCAGTTAAGTTCTTCTTGGCCTGGTATTTAACCATAGCCCTTCAGTCTGTCTGGCATTCAAAATATCTTTTAGAAGTTTATTTTTAACTTTATATCTATTTGTTATCAATGGGTTGTTGAAGGTATTCAAAGCTCTTGCTTACTGACTTCAGTTCAAGATCATGAACTGCCCTTGAATTAATCAAATGGAAGTTCGTTTCCTTACATCTTTCCTTTCTTAATTTCATGTTAAAAATGTGAAGGAGAAAGAAGGAGAGGGAGGAGAGGAGAGAAGGGGAAGAGAGAAAGAGGCAGAGAATGTCCCCTGAATAGCCTCAGCAATCTTGAGAAAGAAGAATAAAGTAGGAGGGATCACAGTGCCTGACATCAAACTATACTACAAGGCCACTGTAATCAAAACAGCCTGGCACTGGCATAAAACAGACACATAGATCAATGGAACAGAATAGAGAGCCCAGAAATAAACCCAAGTCTCTATGGTCAATATTTGACAAAGGGGGCATGAGTGTACAGTGGAATAAAAATAGTTTCTTCAATAAAAGGTATTGAGAGAGCTGGACGCTACATGCAAAAAATGAAACTAGACCACCAACTTAACCATACACCAGAATAAACTCAAAATGGATAAAAGACTTAAATATAAGTTGTGACACCATAAAAATCCTAGAGAAAAACCTAGCCAGTAAAATTTCAGACATCCCATGTAGCAATATTTTCACTGATATATCTCCTATGGCAAGGGAAATAAAGGAAAAAAATAAACAAATGGGACTAAATCAAACTAAAAATCTTCTGCATGATTAAGTAAACCATCATTAAAATGAAAAAGGAACCTACCATTATGGGAGAACATATTTATCAATGATATTTCAGACAAGGGTTTGATTTTCAAAATATATAAAGAACTCATATGATTCAACACCAGGAAGACAAACAATCCAGTTAAAAAATGGGCAAAGGCCCTGAACAGGCACTTCTCCAAGGAGGACACACAGAGGGCCCATAGGTATATGAAAGGATGCTCAGCATCACTGGCCATCAGAGATGCAAATTAAAAACAATGTGATATCACCTCACACCTGTCAGAATGGCCAAACAAAAAACAGAACTGACTTTTGATCTAGCGATTCTGCTGCTGGGATTCTTGCTGCTGCAAGAATCCTGAATCGCTAATTCAAAAGAACCTATGCACTCCAATGTTCATAGCAGCGCAATTTACAATAGCCAAGTGCTGGCAACAGTCTAATTGCCCATCAGAAAATGAGTGAATCAAAAACCTGTGGTACATTTACACAGTGGAATACTATGCAGCAGAAAGAAAGAAGGAGTTCCTATCTTTTATGACAACATAGGTGGAACTGGAGAGCATTATGCTAAGTGAAATAAGCCAGCTGGTGAAGGACAAATACCATATGATCTCACCTATAAGAGCAATCTAATGAACAAAATAAACGAATGAACACAGTAGAACCACAGGAGTGGAAACATGGAACAACTGACAGTGACCAGAGGAGAGACAGGAGGGGGATAATGGTGGGAAGAAGTCAAAATGACCAATCAAAGAACATGTATGAATGACCCATGGACATGGACAGCAGCATGGGAATTGACTGCTGGGAGCAGGGGGTGGGATGGGAGGAGGCGGGTGAAGGGGGAAGAATTAGGATAACTGTAATAAAATAACAAAAAATTAAAAAAAGAGAGACAGAGAATGAAAGAAGGAGAAATGGACACAATAAAAAAGAGAGCAGAAAAGAACCAAAATTTTTTTCATGATAAAAAGCTGCTGGGTTTGTAGAACTTGAATCCACTTTATTTTTAGTGTTTCTCTTGAACTTCAACACAGAAAAAGCCTTCCTTTTAGAGAGGTTTAATGCTGTAGTAAAACAAGTGTGAAAGTTTTCCTTCAAAATCAAGGCTGCCTTAGCACATCTCCCTTGAGATGGAGAGTGGCTGTGTCTGAAATTCCCACACAGTGCTGTTGCATCTACCTTCCTCACACCAGGTCCTGTAAATATAAAACAAGGCAGGAAACTATTTTCCTTATAACTTTTTGCTTTACCAGTTTGTAATAGCAGATATTTTAATTGTGAGGTATTTTAGTGCTCTTAAAATAGAGTTTAATCTGAGAATTTTCCCTCAAGAATGGTTTCAGAAATATATCAGTTGCATATTGCGACATACTGAGATTTCTTTAACAAATGTGTGTATCAACATTCCTCCTTTGTCTTTCCTATTGATAGCCTTATTTGTACTAAATTTGGTATCAGGTATTTTTTCTCTTTCCTGATAGTCACTTTCTGGAATTCTTTTTTTATCGTGCTTCCTCCAGTGGAGAAGGTCAAGAACCAGTGGGATAGCACTCAGCACGGTGTTGAGCTGCGGCAGCAGCAGCTGGAGGACATGGTGATTGACAGTCTTCAGTGGGATGACCACAGAGAAGAGACCGAGGAGCTTATGAGAAAATACGAGGCTCGCCTCTATATTCTTCAACAAGCCCGAAGGGATCCACTTATCAAACAAATCTCTGATAATCAGGTAAGGCTCCTTAGATATTTTTTGGCTGTATGGATTTGTTGGATGTAATTTTTGTTCTGTCTACTGTAATTTTTAGAACTCTTGTCATGATGTTTTCCCAAGTTCTTAGAGTGCACGTTGAAACTTATATAAGGAATTTGGGAAGGATTTGGAACATTTTCTGGAGGCACAACAAATAGAAATGCACACATATCTTAGATTTATTGCTCACTGACTCCTTGCAGACAGAACACACCCACACACCAGCATCCAGAAAAAGAACATTTCAGGGTCGCAGGAACCCTTCCTTTGTCCCCTTCATGTCCACCCTGAAGGTTATTGTACTTACAAAGTTTCTTGAGACTTTCATCTGAGAACTACTGCCAGGAACCAATCAGATAAGTTTCATTTCTGTTAATACCTTTATAACCAAACCGTTTCATCAATATCATCAGAGCAGGTACCTTTTGTGATCAGTTTGGTTATAGAGCTGATGGTATTTGAACTTGAAATAGAGGTTATGGTTGTTAGGTTATATTTTGTTGTAACATTTATTCGTCCTTCAGATAGCCTAAGATGTGAGTGTGGATTTGTGAAGAGTGTAATTACAAATATGTGGGGATCAAAATCTAAAACGTGAAAGTATGCTTCCACTCTTCACACAGAATTCCATGGTTACAGACTGTCTATGGTTGTAATTCAAAAAGCACGTGACCAGGTATTGTGATTTCCTGGATCATTCTCTGTGTTTATTGATTACCTACTGATTGTTTTCACCAAATGAAGCAAAGGTAATATTAGCCAAACCCCCAACATTTCACTAAAGGAATACAATTAAAAGTGATATCAGTGCTTTGGCTATCATATTCAGACTATTCTTTTCTTATCAGTACGAATGGTTATTTTCTTCTGAAACTTTAGGGTAGATTTTTCTGTCAGTGGCTACAAAAAAAGCACCAAAGGAACTTCATTTGTCATTTAGATTTTATGGGGAGTGTCTCAATCCAGGGACTCTCAGAGGTTAAAAATGTGTATCAAGGAGCCAGTGCCAATGGACATACTCAGCCTCAATTTAGCTATTCAAGCAACTCTCAGTGAACCTTGCTTGTCTGCATCATCCTCTCAAGCAGTTAACTTTGTAAACATACACAGCGATTGAGGGGCAAGAGACGGAAGATTTCCATATTTTTGGGCCTTTCCATTTCTCTAAGCATAGGAGGGTTCTCTAGTAACTTCATTCCTATACAGTGCATGTTCCCATAAGGATCAGATGTGTAGTAGAAGGAATGAAAAGAGACAAATGTCTTGAGCAAATTAAATGTCTAAAAGAGCGAAGGATGACATCATCTGCTATGTACCTGATCACTTTCTTAAACAGTTTTCTTTTCACTTCAGTAATTATTTTGGTTTAAACTTGCATGCAAGAGTTGGTCCAGTACTTTGCTTTCTTCCTTTGGAATGTGTCTAACACATGTGAAAACCTATTGGGAGGACCAGCTTTTTGGTAATACTAGTTCCTGAGCCACCAAGTCTAACAAGGACACCTGAAATTACACCTTAGATATTGCTTCAAGAACTGAGTCCTGGTGATGGTATCGTAATGGCGTTCGACAACGTCCTGCAGAAGCTGCTGGAAGACTATGGTAGTGATGACACGAGGAATGTGAAGGAAACCACCGAGTACTTAAAAACATCGTGGATCAACCTGAAACAAAGGTAAACGCTAATGCCCTGGCAGGGCGGTGGGTGTTGCCCAGTTGAGAATTTGGTTGCTTTGGCTTTCTCATAGAAACATAACCAAAATATGCAACTACTGGAAGTACATTTTATTATGTTTTTTTTTATTTTTACATGCAAAATGTATATACAATATCTACTTGAAACTCTACAATGGAGATTTTCCTTGAATAAGTCTGAACCTTGCCAATGATTATTTAAGTGTTCTGATTTTTTGGTGTGCTCTCAGTGTATACCATCTCCAGTATATCTTGTAGCACTGTGATGGTAAGGAACACAGGTTTTCACAGCTGCTTTAGGGTGACATTATCCCCAGTGGTAATTAAAATAGTGTGCTGTTTGGTGGATCTTCTGCACTAGACTTCTGGTATATGCGGTGTGTATTTAGGGCTTAACTAATTTATTTTCTTCCTTTCCATTACCCTGTCTTGTTGGTATATTTGGAACAGTCTAAAATAGCGTATGGGTTTATAAGAGAGATTTTTCTGTCACTTGAACACCTAGGATTTGAGGACCTGTAAACAGTGGTTAGCATCTCTTTAGGATGGCATATTTATATTCGGCATCAGGAAAACTGTGTTTACCTCCAGCATAGTGTGGGCTGTGCATCTGTGCCTAAGAGAGTTATGGCTTCACATGTGTCTTTATATATTCAAATGCAAGTGCTTGAAAGCTATGAAAGATATCAAAACACATTTATTTTTTCAGTGAGTAAAATGGTTACTATTAGAATACTATAGGATATATGTCACTGGTAATAAAGTATGCCCAAGCATTTAATAACAGTTTGACATGGAGGTGCTTTATACATTTTTGGAAGGCCATTTCTAGTTAGAATTTCTAAAGTGGATATTTGGAAAACTCAAAGAAATCGTGAGGGCAGTTTATGAGCCCTCTAGGGTTCTGGAGGAAATAAAACTGGGGTAGCGAGTACAGAACTTCATATGTGGTGAAAGCAGAATGTGGCTGGAATACTGATCTTTGTAGCAGTCTATACAACAGTCCTTTTGTCATAGCAGGCCATTCGGGTATAGTAAGGATCCCCAGACTAAGGCAGGGAAGAATGTGAATTAAAAACAACTTTAAGGTGCAAACTTGCACTTATGAGATCAATAAATTCTGGGCCTCCTGGGGCTGGGAGGTGCATCATGGTGCTCATAGCTAACAGAACTGCGTTGTGTATTCGAAAGTTGCTGAGAGGGTAGATCCTAAAAGTTCTCATCACAAGAAAAAACTCCGTTAACTGTGGGGATGCACATTAGCCAGACTTACTGTGCTAATCATTTTGCAATCTTTACATATATCAAATTATTATATTGTATTCCTAAAACGAGTACAAAATTATATGTCAATTATACCTCAGTTTAAAAAAACAACTAACACTCAAAGAGGTGGTTGTTAACCATCTGTTTCCCAAAACTTCATGTATAAGTCGTGACTTTATTTTTGTTGTAAACAATACCTGAAAAATTGATCATGTAGATGTGTGGCCTGCTTCATTTAGCACCCTCAATTCTTTTTTCGCTCTTACTTTGTAAATATTTGAAGACAGACTACAGCAGTAGTTAGGTTAGATGGAAGAGGCAATTAAAAATGAATTATATTCCAAGGGGATCTTTCATTTATCACAGCTAACGACAGCCACACTGTTCCCATTGTATGGTGGGCACAAGGAGTTGTCCTTATTCGTGTTTGTTTCTTCATTTTTTGGGGAAATAATTGAATATATTAATGTCTAGACGTGATTTAGGGGTACTTTTATCTGTGAAGCAGGAGAAACACAGTGAACTGTGGCTCCCAGGGTCCCTCCGTGAGGGACAGCCGGGGTTTTTGTGTGTTGGGAGGATTTTTTCTTTAAACACAGTGATGTTTACAATTTTTAACTGTTTCAATTTCAGATATTTCTAAAATATATGGACCTTTCTTTGCCTTCTTAAACAAATTTGTTTGAACTTATATTTAACCTTTTTTTGGATTCTTGGCCCTATTGTTGTGAAGATAGAATTAAGGTACTTTAAGAGGTGTATTTAACATTACAGTTCATTTAAACCAGTATCTCTCAGCCCCTAATTATACTCACAACCCCCTAAGACGCCTTTTTAGGTACCTGTCTTCATGAAATTTTCATGCCATGGGTATGCTGTGTATCTGTTTCTACTAGTTGTGCTTTATACTTAAACAGAGTAAACGTTTTCCCATTCCCCTCCTTCACCTTTTCACCTTGTCCTGCCAAAGAACACCTTATCACGTCTGTTAAGAATGCATGGTCTAATCTATGCCCTCAGGCTTGCAGAAGTTTAAAGAACATGTTCAAAGTCACCCAGCATCGCTAAGATGACATTTTTCTGTACTAAATTATGGTCGTGCTCTGGGTTCTGAATAGTTGACAGTGAATGTATTTAGGCAGCATGTGAGACACCGTGCTTTATTTTTAGTGTGTGCAAGTATGGAGTGCCTTCTCATGGTCAGGCTCTGTGCGAACCTCCTCACAGGCATTATTTGGCTGACTCCTCACAACAACCCTAGGGGACAGGCCGATTTGTGATCAAAACCACATTGGCGAATACACTGCAGCAGAGAGATGTTACGGAGTGCCCGAGGTCACCCAGCTCGTGTGGACAGAGCTGGGATTGGAGCCCAAACCTTTCTGTCTTTGCAGTGAGGAGGCTCTTACCTTCCTGACAACTAGTTTTATTTCTTCTTCTTTGTTATCAGAACATCAGCTGTTGCTGGCGACTGCTCCGTGTACTCACCTCATGGGTCTGTCTGTGATTCCACTTAGTGATTGTTAATCTGTGTTGAGTTTAGAAGCCAGATCCGATTAAAGATTCGGGGCCTCAGTTATGAATCATGCCACACTCTCCAGTGTGTGACCATTGTGCCCTCTGTAATGGCTGCCTGGAGGCCTTGTCCCGTGGCTCACCTTTGATTTCCCAGCTGTATTCTGAACATACATCATTGGCAGCCAAGTGCTGGAGGGGTGAAGGCTTATTAAACTTGCCAATGCAATATTGTTATTGCGGGATAATGTGTGAAGTTTAATATCAGCTTTCAAAGGAAATGTTTTCTGTGAATTGCAATTGGCCTAAGTAATTTGGCCATTCACAATAACGGGTCCTCAATCCCTTATCTGCAGTGCCAAAATCCAATATGCTGAGATATCAAGGCAAAGCTTTGCCTTGACATGTGGCTATTTATTATAGTCTTTACTTATCCTGCTTAGTGTGAATAGCCTTGTTCCTAAGTGCAGAAATATTAATGTGTTTGCTGCTTCAGCTCCTACTTGGGGGTAATATGTCATATAGATACATTCATAATAGTTTTCTAATGCACAAAAAAATTTTAAATTCTGAAACATAGCTGGCTCCTAGTATTTTGGATTCTGTATATAACAGGTCTGTCTCTAACATTTTAAACTAATTGATGAACCATTTTGACCTGTGATATTTTTTCTTTTATCTCTATTTAAAATATCTGTATTTTAAAATTTATTTATTTATTTTTTTATAGCGGGGAGAAAAAAAGGGAGAGAAACATCAATGTGTGGTTGCCTCTCGTGCGCCTCCCACTGGGGACCTGGCCTGCAACCCAGGCATGTGCCGTGACTGGGAATCCAACCAGCAATCCTTTGGTTCACAGGATGGCACTCAATCCACTGAGCTACACCAGCCAGGGCTGTTTTATATCTCTTAATGCCAATTAGCATTTGTTTTTTTTGTACAAATTGAGAAAGCAGTAGTCGAACTGTGTTCATAGTAACTTTTGGAGTGTAGATGCCTGATTTGGGCCTGAAATGCTATTTTAACCCTGGAGTGCCTGTGTGTATATACATGCGTGTGTGTCTGTAAATGTGTATAGATATAGGTATATGCATGTATACACACATGCTTTTATAGAGACATCTATACACACAGTTATTTGAGCCAAAATATTGTACATGAAGTGAGATAATGTAACTTTATGTTCTAAAGACTAGCCTAGAGATCGTTCATTACTATGCATTTTTTCTTTGCCCTCCCCACCAGAAGCCGTATTTCTGCCTTGCCTCTTCTAAGGCAGCCCTCGGCTTGTGCAGGCGGAATGGAAAGCACACTGGCCGTGGTGCCGGTGATCCTTGTTTAAAATCCCAACATACTCACTTCCCATCTGTGTGACTTACCACCCTTGACCCCCTTATTTCAAGTCATGGAGCTTCACTTTCCTTGGCTCTAAAGTGGAGAAAATATCTAAGCGTAGGATTATCGTGAAGATCAAAAATTATGTGTAAACGTTTCTTGTACATGTCATGTGCTCAACCAAGGATTAGCCAAATTTATCATCATGTGCTCTGTCATGCGATGTCCTCCTTAGAAACCCACTGCCCTGCCGCCTGCTTTACAGTGCTAGAGAAGTTAGCAAAGGGCTGAGTCACTCTGTCATTTGTCTGGAGTCATTTTCTGAACAGTCTCTATGCTCATTAATCATAAAAGGGCTGATGATCTGATTTACTGAATACAGTGTAGGTACTTTAAATATTTCTTACCAGATGGCACTGTTAGAATATGTGATTTTTCTCAGGTAGTGTCTTAGTCTGTTCCGGCTGCTGTAACAAAAACCACAGACTGGGGGGCTTAGATACAAGAGTATTTACTTCTCCCAGTCCTGGAGCCCAGAAGTACAGGACCAGGGTTCCAGCGAGGTCGGGTGAGGACCCTCCTCTGGGTCACAGACTTCTTGTTTTAGCATCACCTGGCAGGAGGGGGTAAGAGACTGTCTCAGACCTCTTTTATAAGTGCTTTCATCTCATTCATGAGGACTCTGCCCCTGTGACCTAATCACCCTCGAGGGCTGCATTCCATCACATTGAATATTAAGGTGACAAAATATGATTTTGGGGAAGACAGACACACTTGGACCATAGCATTTAGTAAAATCGTCGCAGGAGCTGAATTGACACTGCATTTAAGTGTTTTCTGCCTGAGCAGAAGCCTAACCATCCT